AAGGATTGACATCAATAATAATGATATTTATGAAAGGGTAATATTAACAAGCCGTAATGAGCATGCTAATAAAATCAATGATCAAATCACTAACTTGAATAACGCTTCGAGATAGTTTATAACAGCATTGATACTATGGATTCTCTTTAGAAATTTGCCTACCAAGAGAAAATAAAAAAAAACAAGGATAAAAATTAAAAATTTAATGATGTAGTTCAAAAGGGCTTTAAAACTACTATAAATATATTTGCAACTTCTTAATATTCTTACCTAAAATATATCTTCGTTTAAAAGAATACTGAGTCAGCCAATTAACAATGTTGTCCCCATGAAACGCCATTCTCTTTTCTCATTGTTACTTTCATATGGACTAAAAAAGCTTCTATATTGTTGGACTAGAAGACATGTCTTACTTGCTTTATATCCAATCTAATGGTTTACAATATTGTCCCCAAAATTAGAATTTCCTGAGACAGCCGGATATATGGCATGCCAATTAGTATATAGCATACTATCGTTTTAGTTTTAACAATACATATTGCTTCTGTCAGTAAAGCAATAATTCTATTTGTCACGCAAACATAAAAAGTTACACTCGTTTGTTCTATCTATCCTTCCTACAATCCATATGATATCTCTTGTATCGTCAGAGCTTGTAGAATTTTTTATAATTCTTCGGCAATACAAAGCACTTTCACCCACCTCAACTACAATACCGGCTCTGCTGAGTAAAACGCGATTTCTTTTAAATATTTTTTATAACATACAAAAAGCAGGGATTAATATTTTTCAATTGTTGCATTTGAAAAGAAAAAGAATTGTCACAATTAAAGATAGCTTACGTCTAAGATAAAACAACAAAGCAAGTGTACAACCAAGCACGATGGTTTATTTGTCATAAACAACGTATGTCTTTTCTGACAACCTTTCCTCAGACATCTTATACTAAAAGTTTAGATGTACAATTTTCAACAACAAACTCCACATTGTATTGCAATTTGGTTATGCATTCTTTAAAGAATAATATTTTTTCTTGAAGAAAATTCCTTAGTTTGGCGATGTCTGTAAATATAATATAGGATTATAAATATTTGTTTGCATAAGGGCAAAAATTAAAAAAACTTAAACTTATTTTTCATCCTAATAAAAATGCTTGAAACATAAGCATGAATATTTGGTACCGTTTTTTTTTCAAATAAAATTTGAGAATATTAATTTATTTCTGTGCAATAAGACAGAATTAGATATTGCAACTTTATTTAAATTTTTAAAACTAAAATCGTTATTTATTGATTTTCATACTTTTTGTATATAAAGTATCCGCCTAGAACATCAATGACTGAATAATTTATATTATGATATTTATCGAGTATAGTTTTTTCACACAGAAGTTTTTGAACATTTTCGTCAAATAAATTTTTAAATCTCTCAAATATTTTAGAAAACTTAGACATGTTAAATTTAGTGAGATGGTATCTTTTAGTAGGTAAATCTATAATAAATTCACCTTTATCATTCAATTCGACACCAAAACTATACATATCACTTGTAGTCCCCGGTTCACTTTCAGTGAAGGGATTTTTCTCAAGACATTCTTTAAATAATTCACCAAATCCAAATATTTGTTTTACTCTACTTCCTCGTCTAACAAAAAAAGTAAAAACGTCGAATTCATTAGTTTTTGCAGCCTGTTTAAAAATAAGCGACGCGTAATAAAATAATCTTACGATTTTTTCATTCTGATAACCTTTGTTTTTTTCTTTTAACGCAGCATAAATGTCACTCCACTTATAGTTTTCTACAACTTCAGAGTTCATTGTTAAAACCGTAATGGGCTTCGATTGTGGTTGTTTTTCTTTATGAAAATACATAAAGATCAATGAAAATATAATTATACCTAGTATTATGCCTACAAAGTTCTGGAGCTTCATTCTGAATTAAGGGTTTTACCAAATTTATTAATAAAAGGATAAACTTTTAATTTACTATAAAAGATTAAGGAGATTGTCAATTACTTATATTTAAATATACTAAATATATATGCTTACGATAAGATAAAAAAAATATTTTGTTCAATTTACTGAGATTATGATATCAGTATTTAATTAATTAATTTAAAAAAAATTAAAGCATATCTTTGAAGAAAAAGCAAAATGTCATGTAAAACAAGTGAGAATAAGATTTGTTTGAGTTTATCAACTTAATTGATAGTTGGTGTAATAAATTTCATCCCAAAGATTAAATAAATTTTAATTGTAAGTTTATGCCCTGCTTTTAAAAAGATCAAAAATAATTTTGCGAATCAGAACTTTTTAAATTGGTCAAAAAATAAATAGTTGATCTATTCATTTATTTTTAAATAAAATTGTATAATGTAGTTTAACTTTGAAAATGATTTGATATCTTTCAATAACTTATAGCAAAAGTTACTTTAAATTTTGAATTTAAACGAAAAAAAAATTAATAAACTTTAAAGTCTAACTATTATCGAAAACAAAAAAAATATTTTTTTAAATATCAACAGCATAATAACTCTTTTTTATAAGATCATCTTTTATTTTTTTAGTTTCTATAATAGTATTTGCAACATCGTGCAAAGATCCTAGGAGCTTATTTTTTGTGATATCATGTTCAATAATTTATTCTTATAAATAAGATAAAAAAAAGAATTGTTTAGTTTTAATCAAATACTTTAATGTGTTTGTTGTTCTATAAAACAATCCAAAATTTCGTACTTACACTAATATTATCAAATTTTAAAAATTCACTTTAAAACTTTTAAAGTTAAAAAACATTTAATGACTTTTTGTTTGTTTACACTATTTAATACGTGCAGAAACAAGCAATAAATTTTAGATAAAAGACTTATGTAAAGTTTTATTTTTTCTTTTTGCGTTAATTCTTTTAAAAATTTTCTAATATTGCATTCTTCTCCAAATAATTTACCTTAAAGTAAAACTGCGGCTTTAAAATTAAGGTTTTAAATAACTGCTTACTAACTTTAGAACTTACAATTTAAAATGACGTTTTTAGAAACCATATCATTGTTGACACGTTCTCCTTTTAGCCATTAAAAAAATTTTTGATAACAATCTTCGGATTTTCTCAGCATTAAAAAATAAAAATGGAAAATGTAAATTTGCCTATTATATTGCAAATTAAAAGGGGTTCAAAATTTGAAAGTACGGGTTTACATGTATTGTCATAAATTGTGTCTTACAGCTTATAAATGATCTAAACTTTTAGTTGTTTAAAAACTATAATTTGCTATTATCTTTCATGTCATAATCAAAATACAATTTTTTGTAACTATTAATCAAATTGGGATAGAATAATTGAAAATAAGAGTAAAATGCTCCTTAGTCAAAGTATATTAAAGTATAAACTTTTGTTCTCCACATTAAATATCTTTATCTGTTAAGTTTACTCAATTACTCTTAATATAATTTCTCGTGGTATTTTTGATTTACAAAATATTATATTTTTTACATTAGCCTACAGAATAACATATGAAAATTTTCTATCGTCTTTATTAAAATTTGTATTAGTATTGTTAAGACAAAACATAAGTTTATTTAATAATAATTATTTATAAAACAGATATGTTAGGACCAATATCTCAATAGTGCTTGTTAGCATGTCTGCTCCTTTACTGTCTTATACATATATTTTCCGCAAATAGTTTAGTGCTGCCACAGACACATTTTTGCTAAAAAAATTTTGTAAAGTAATATAAGCTTTAAACCCTGTTATTATTTAAATCACTTTTTGATAAACTATTTTTTTGTTATTATTTAATATTTATTCCATTTTAAAAAAATATCAAGTGATAGAGTGCTTTAATTTTTAACAATTAACCTTCGCAAACTAACACTTATCGTTATTAACAGTATAATTTTTTTAGTAAATTTGCCCTTCATATGGATCTATTAGTAAATAAATACAGACCGAAAGATTTGGAATCCGTAATTGGAAATGTTGATACATTAGAAACACTGAAATGTATTCTTAAAGATCATTCTATGCCCCATTTACTATTTACTGGTCCTCCTGGAACAGGAAAAACTTCTTCAGCAAAAATATTTGCTTTTCAACTTCTTGGATCAAAAGAAGGTATTTTAGAATTGAACGCCTCAGATGATAGAGGAATTGATACTGTTAGAACTTTAATCAAAGATTTTGCCATGAAGAAGATACTCAATGTACCATTTAAGATTATTATTTTGGATGAATGTGATAGCATGACAACGGCTGCGCAGCAAGCGATGCGCCGAATTATGGAAATTTACAGCTCTGAATGTAAATTTATATTGATTTGTAACGATTTTTCAAAAATTTTTGAGCCAATTCAAAGTAGATGTGCAGTTTTAAGATTTGACAAAATTGAATCTAAAGTTATTGAATCCTGTCTTCAAAAAATTGTACAAGCTGAGCATATGAATATAACAGACGAAGCTTTAAGTTTTATTATATATATCTGTGATGGGGACATAAGACAATCATTAAACATACTGCAGGCATGTTTACATATTCCGAATTTGATTGATGAGAACTATATTGTAAAATTGATTGGTATACCATCTCCCAAATTGATAAAAGAAGTGCTTGATTTGTTAACTATAAAGAAAGTGGATAAAGCAATTGAAAGATTTAATAAGCTTTGGGAAGATAAATATGATCCTGAAGATCTAATTACATCTTTTTTTAGAATGGCTAAAAATGACGAAAACTACGAAGCAGTAAAGATTATAGGTCTTACACATATAAAGATAGTCAAAGGAAATCATTCTAAGTTACTATTTTATGGTATGTTTTATGATTTACTTGAAATCAGCTAAGAAATAGTATGTTTTGTATCAATTAAATTTTACCCGAGCAAATTGTACGGGCAGTATTGTTTTTCGTAGATTTATTTTGTAATATTTTACAAGTTTAATATAATTTTTAAATTTAAAATTTTTTTTTCCATTTTTGATTGTATTTTTAATATTCTTACAATAATTATTATTTGTCTTGACTTAAATGTTATTTATTACAACTATAATTATACTTAATTTATTTCTTATTTACTTAAAAATTTCAGCCTAAAATATTAGTGCTTAAAGCTAATTAAATCTTAAGTTATAAGTATAGTATTAAAAAATTTTCACCTTTATAACTACATTCTATTTTTTCTGCAAAATACAAATAACATTTGGGTTTTTTTGAAATAACATTTCAACAATAATTAGATCAATGTCGGATTTGACGAATTTACCAAAGTGGATTAGTCTAGATTCATGTTTTTACGAAATTACGCCATTTATACGTGGAATGAAGCAGGCGTTTCACTACTGATAGGTGGCCAATTTCACGACTGAATTGCAAAGAAGCAACAACGGTAAAACTTGAGATGAACCCATCACCTATGTTTTACTCTAGACATGAGCCTACGACAACCATATAAAATTAATCTGTATATGAATTAATTAAAACGATAAAAAAGAATAATGTACTTATAATGTGTATCTTTTTTACATTTACTTAAAATTTTGTTATATAAAAATTTTACTGTTTTTTTTCTGTCTCTACACTATAAATTTTGATAGAATAAAATGTTAATAGAAAAAAATTATCGTCAAAATTTTATTTTATTGCGAAAGAAAAAAACTTATCATTTTAGAGTCTTCTTCAGTAATTCCCAATTCTTCACAGCTGTCTAAATAAAACTTTTTCGACAGTTCTCTATTTTTTCGAGTTTTGTATTGTTCGTTTAGTTTTTTTTCGTTCTTAATGACAGAAGATACCCACATTTTAATAATTTTCTTTTTTTCGTTATAAGCGGTTGTGTTTTTAATATTTGTTTCAACAGTAGCTAAAGGGCGTAAAGCATCAACAGTGGCAATTTCAATGCTATGATTTGATATGCTGCACAAAGTATAGTATTTAAACAGACTTATAATAACAAATTGAAGCATATTTGGGGGTGTATGTTTTTTTTTATATAAATTAAAAGTTAATTAAAAATAATAATTAAAATGGTTTTATTAAAAATTTATACATTTAACAAAAAGTGAAGAAAAAAGTAAAAATATTAATTTAAAATAATTATTATTTTTATAATATAATTAGTCACAATAGTTTAAATAAAAAAATATTTAAATGCTACATATTTAATAAGCTTATATAATAATGTTATAAATATCTAAAATTTTGTATTTAAAGTAAAAATACAATTTTTTACAATGAGGTATTAATTTACGCTTAATTAACAAATTTTAAAAAAAATTATATTTTTAATGGTAGTGCTCTAATTAGTTTTTTATTATATAACATACATAAATAAATTTTTAATTCATATTCAGATTTAAAAAAATAACATTTTTGTCGAAGAACAAAAATATTTCATTTTATAAATTTTTAATAAATTTCTTATCCATGCAGGAAGAAAACAAAACTAATAAAAATAATATTGATAATTTTAATTAAATAGTTTACATAATTTCTTTTAGTATATTTTTACTGTTTATCAGATGTATATCTAATTTTATACTGTTTAACAGTTATAATATGATTATGCATGCGGAACAATAAAATATTTTAAAAGGTAACAAAATTATTGCGAACTTATAAAGGTTAAGATATTGTTTATATTTTAGGTTTTTAATAACCAAAAAGTTTTAAGCAACATTTTAAAATTAAGATCATATCAACTATGCTGTGATGTTACAGGTAATCTGAAAACTTTGTAACTAAAGAAAATACTATCAAAAATCTGACTAACTGACATTTTTTCAAAAAGAATTAATCAAAAAATAAAATATTATTATTAGATCACAGTAAGTGTCTAAAACATTTACAACGATATTATTAATAATTAAGTTAAGTATATTTGATAAGCTATAAAATTTAAAAATGCAGAATTATATTATTATCATTGTATAACCAGTACAATTTTATAAGATCTTTTAATTTAAATTGTTTTTATTGCAATAAAGATAATATCTTTTTAGGATTTTCATCTAAATAGTTTATAGTAGGTAGCTTTTCTTTAGACTTCTTGTACATTACATATTTAATATTTGAATATCCATAAAATCTTTTATTTAAGTGTTTCAAATCTTTATTATCTTTTAGAAAAAATATACAGATGCAATCTTTTGGTATATCTTCATCTTCTTTGTACACTTGTTCTCTTACTAAATATTTATCTATAGCAACTTCATAAGGTTCAATAGTAGGTAAAGTCTTAAAATTTTGATTTAATAAATAATTAATTGAAATTGTTTTTCCAACTTGTCTGTGCCCCGTAAATATAATTTTTTTGTATTTTATTTTCTTTTTAAATAGGTAAGTCATGCAAAAAGATAGTATTAGCAATAATAAAGTGAAAAAGATTTCTAGTATCATTTAAAGGGTTAAACTTTATTTAATAAAAATTACTACAAACAAAATGCTTGAATTTGTTTGTTTGTATTATAAAATTATAAATACAGCATAATTTTTAAAATAGCCCTTATGAAAACAGAATTATTACAAACAATTATTAAAACACAAGATTACAATTTATTCTCTAGAAAGTACTTGGAGATAAATAAAATGTTAGACATTACAGTTTTACAATCTTTAGTATCTAATAATGAAATGGATATTTTACTAAAGACACTAGAATTAATGCTTTTTTTTAAAAATAAAAAGTATTTAGAAGTTATTTCTTGTATTGAAAATGATATTAAAGGATTATTACTAGGTAAAATAAGAGCCTATGATATTTGTATATCTAAAATATTAAGGTTATATTATTTATCAAGAAAAGAGTTAAAAATGAGTAATGATATTTTTTTTAATCTTATGGTACCTAATAAGGAGTTAGGAAATGAAGAATCTGTTTCAGTAATAACAAATTGTTTATTAGATTATCTTATTAGTAATAACATTTATAAAAGAATTAATAATAATATTGTTCAGTCAGAAATGTCAAAATTTAACTTTTATAATGGAATAATAGAATTAGTAGAAGGTAATTATGAGTATGCTTATCAATTATTTGATTCTTCAATCAATACTTTTACAAAAAAGAAATGCATTCAAAACAAAAAATATTTAATATTAGCCAGTTTACTACAGTCTAATTATAATATTAATATTACTTTTGATAAAAAAATTAAGATATATTTTGATCTTGTTAAGATTGTAAAAAGTGCTAATTTACAAGCATTTTATAAATTTCTTGAAGATTTTAAAATTGAGTTAATTCGAGATAAAACATTTTTTATCATTTTGAGATTATCTCAAATTGTAATACAAGAAAAAATACGATGTATGAGTCTAGTGTATTCTAGAATATCTTTTGATGACATGAGTGTTAGGTTGAAAATGGAAAGAGAAGATTTAGAATTTATTTTAAGAAAAAGTATTAACTCTGGATTAGTAAGTGGTAGAATAGAAGGAGAAATATACTATACGAGTAAGCAAAAAGGAATAGAAGAAATTAAATTACAATTTGAACAAGTAAAAAGAATTAATGAACAGATTAAGAGAGAAATGAAATATCCACCGATAATACCATTATCATATGACAAAGCAGTAAATAATTAAATAAGTTTGTTATGATATTGTTTTATAAATTGTGTGCAATATAGTTTTTACATTCAGATTGTAAAAGAAGATTGCTTTCTTTAAACTTTTTGAAAATATCACTTGTATTTATAACCTTTATAAAAAAAATAATCTTTATTTTAATGCGTTAAAGAAATATATCTTGCATTTTAAGTCTCTTTTAAAAATATTGATTAAATTAAAATAACTTAAAAAATATTAATTGCATTTTGCTACTTTATAAAAAAAGTTAGTTGTAGTTCAATACTTTATAAAGATATTAGTTATATTTCAATATGCCAGAAATAGGTGGCAGATTGTTGTTCTTTGGGTAGTACTCAATTAAACTACTAAATTTAAAGATATTTTTATTAAACTTGTTTATTGATTGCATTTTTATATTTTTGTGACGCTATTTTTATTTTTGATTAAATCAAATCTTTCTTTGATACACCAATCATTACAAAGATACAAATAAATTTATTGGTTTTTATAAATGTAACTGTTTTAGATTACACCAATAAATTTAAGAATCAAATGTTATGATTATCCATAACACAACATTTTATAAAAATATTACTTGTGTCTTAAAACTTACTGACTAAAATGCAACTTTTCTACAAAGTTTTTTATAAAATAAAATAGATTTAAAATATTCATATTTTAATAGCTGTAATCATACAATTAAAAATGTATCACATTAATAAATCATTTGTTGTATTTTCTACACTTTATCAAACTGTCAACTACAATACTTTTTTTTTCATATTTATTATCGTCACTCTCAAAATCTTCCAATTCCATAAATTTTTTATATTCATCCGTATTTATTAACTGATTTAATATTTCATCATCATCAGCTTCATTTTGTAAATCATAAGAATTAATTTTGTCTGTTATTATTTTCTTATATTCTTCTGGAAGTTTATCAAACATTACAAGGGATTTGTTGTTTTTTGTTTACAAAAAAACTATTTATGCAATAAATTTTTACCCCTATATGGCTAAATTTGTTCAATTCAACCATGAAGAAGTTCCAAGAAAACTTCTTAAGTCAGGACAATATATTAAAATAGACGAAAACGGTTCCTCTAAATACTCGAAAATAGATAAAATTGATTCTGTTAAAACTGGAAAACATGGATCTGCTAAGACAATCGTTGAATCTAAAGATATACCCAATAATGCAACAAGGTTTGTAACATTAACCACAGATGATACAGCTGTTGTAGTTAAAATGGTTAAAGTCACTACTAAATTAATCGATTTTGTAGATGGCAGTATTATTACGATAAAAGATGAAAACAATAATTTTATTGAATTTTATGTAGACACTGAAATGTCTGAACAGGATAAGGAAAAGATCCAAGATACGTTGGATGCTTATCCTGATTGTGAAGAATTTGATTTTGTGTTTAGAGCACTTCCTGGATATTATAAAGTAGATTCAATAAAGCCAGCAAGAAATTTATAATTAAATTTTTTAATTAAATGTCATTTTATTGTATTTTCTAATGATTTAAAAATTAAATCTTACATAAACATTTAATTATCAATTCAAAAAATACAATTTAATTTTTGAAAATGGCTTGATAGTTTTTTAGCACTTAAAAAAGTTGAATGGTGTGTAACAATTTTAAAATTAAAATATAAAAGGAATTTTTTTCTGATTAAAAGTTTTTGATATACCCAAAAAAAATATTTTTCGACCCTTATTTTTTAATTTCCAAACATAAAAAAAATGAAAAATTACCAACTAATTTTTTAAAAGACGGCTACAGATTAAATAAAATTCTTTTCTAAAGAAACATTTATTGCACGAGGATGCATATAATACAAAGCTATTATCATATTTATAGTGAACCTATGGTGCGCTGTAGCAAAAAATACTGCAAATATAGACAATCTATTTTAAAAATATACAATTTTTTATAATAGAAATATTCTTGTAAGCACAGTTATTTTAGTCTTAGATATATTTTTTCAGTTCAGCCCCATAGCAGTAATATTTAAGCGCAGCGTATAATCTTAAAGAATAATTTTTTTTACAAAAAAAATGAAAAGTTATTACTAATAAATTAATATTTAAAAACTTTATACACAAGCGCAATGGGCAAGCTTTTGAACTTGATGAATCTAAATTTGGTAGGAAAAAATACAATCGAGATAATGAGGTAGAAGGTGTATGTTAATGAAACGATTGATAGATTTATGAGAATGATAGTTTTTAGGCAGTTTAAGAGAAGAAAAAAAAATTTCTGCTTTTAATAATAGCATGACGCATACAAAGACATAATACAATTAAATAGTTAAAAGACATATTTTACTATAAAAAATAATTTTTTAAGCTTGGAATGATCAATTATTTTGCCAAACTTAAAAATAAAAAGGTGTGTTTTATATTAAAATTATTGAAGGAGATTGGTCTGACATAAAAAAATATTCCTTTGGAAATAGAACCTTTTTTTAATTAATATTTACCACCTTCTACGGTTTATTGTTGTTTAAAAATTATCCTTTTGAAATGCGTAAAGACCAAATAAGATTAACTTATACTTGATTACGAATAAATGTTTATTCTTTTTTAATTTAAAATCTGATCACCAAAGATTAATTAAGTTTTCAGTATTTTAATTTAGAAATAAAAAAAAAGATAAAAAAATATTTTTTGAAGTATATAAAAACTGTAAAATAATGTACATTTTATTTATAAGCATGTTAAACCTTTATTTTCATTCAATATCTGACTTCTTTTTTAAATCACTACATCCTCCTACAAATTGTTTATCAAGTACTATTAACGGAAATGTTCGATGTTTGTATTTCTCTTGTGCTTCTTCTTTAAGCTTAGTGTATTCATCTTTATCATATTCAGTTATTTTTATTTTTTTATAGTGTAACATCCTTGAGGCCTCTGCGCAGAAAGGACATCCTTTACGGACTATCATAAAATTATCATTTTGATATAAAGCCTGTTGTAATGTCAAATCTTCCATTGCAGGGGACTAGAAAATTATATTTATAGACAATGTATCAAAATTGATAAATAAAATCAAAGCAATGAAACACGTACAAATATGGAAATAAAATTTTTAATACATTTAAGTATAAACTTTACAGTTTAATAAATATGAAAATAACTTAAATTATTTCCTACAACTAAAATTTATTCGAATTTTTCCTTTTTAACGTTCTCTCCATGATAGCACCAAAGTGGTATAAAACTGTCTACAAATCCGCAATCAGCAAATAAATTGGGAAACAACCAAATTCCAGGTGAATGTGTAAAATAAGTAATAGAAAATATTATAAGACGTATAACACCAAGAAGTAATAAGAAAGCTATAAACGCACCACAGAGATATGAAGCATAAGATGCCAAAAATTTTAAATTAGAAGGCCACATTTGGAACATTCCAAGTGCAAGCCCAAGAAAAATAATACCAAAAACAATTAAAAGACTAAAATGACTAGATTTCTCTTCACTCCAGATATAATAATCTTTTTCTGAATACCTATAATCAAGTAAAAGATCACAGTTCTTATTTTTATCATTTACTTGTACTTTAAGAATAATACTGTTTACCAGTAAATAGATTATAAACTCTTTTATGGTATCTTTTGAGAATTCTAAAGATTCAAGAATTTTTATAAAATCTGCACCCTTAAAAACATTTACTCTTTTAACCGATTTAAGTATTTTTTCTTGTGAATTGACTTTTCTAAGTTTTTTTTCGTGCTTACGAAATAAATTTTCCATTAGGGGGGTAAAAAATATAAAAATTTTATTCACTATTATTTTTAGTCAATGTATCCAAATTGCTGAACTCTAGTTCTGTTTTATATACTTCATTATTTTCTTCTTTAACAAATTCATAATCCTTTTTAATAAACTTTACACCCTCTACATCTAAATCTATTTCGCTAAATTTTTCTTCTTTTTCTTCAGAATCATCTATTGAAATAGTAATGTTTTCTAAATTTAACTTTTTCTTTTTACCGTATTTAAGCTTTAGTTTTTTAAGAATTTTATTATCTTCTTTTTCTTTCTGTTCATAAAATAGTTTATTTTCTTCTATATATATTTCTTGATTGTCTATAATTGATATATCACTTTTAGCATCCTCATCAGAATTTTCTGATTCATTAGAACTACATTCTGCTTCTAAATCAAGATATTTATTAAGTTTAGATTTTTTATTAATATCCAAATTACACTGTACATGTTTATTAGTATCACATTTACTTGTAACACTTTTTTCAATATTTTTATTACTAGATTTTTCAATAATATTAGTACATTCAGTACTTAGTAAATCACTCATTTTATTTATATTAAATCCTACAAGATGTTTCTTATAAAATATTAAATCTATATTGTTTTTTTCTTTTACGTTATTAATCTTATTTTTTATTCTTTTTTGTACTTCTTGTATTTTCAATTCATTTAAGATTTTATGCCTATAATTTTCTAAATATAAATTTATAGCATCTTCTTTAGAATAATTTATTTTCTTGAGTGGCATTGTGAGAGGTAAAAAAATATAATTTTTTTATAAAAGTAATATTTTGAATGATAAGTAAAGACTATTTAAAAACATATCAATCTTTATATATTATTACTAGCTTAAGCTATCCCGTTTAAAACGAAATTTTAACTCTATTCACTTGTATGCCTAATCTGTTTATTGAATGCATCATCTTGAAGCAAGTCTTAATTTTTAGAAATTAATAACTGCTTCTTTTTTTTAATTAGCATTTTGTAATAGCACACTATTTAATATCTTAATATATAATTTTCATATCTAAATATGACAATAACCGTTTTAGGATTTTTTAATTGATAAACATTGAATCATGTATTAAAGAAAACTTACACTAACAATTATGCATGATAAATTACAAATAAGAAAGAATAATCTACATGGCCTTAAGGATTTTATTAAATAAAAGGTTTTATTGAAATATACAATAAATATGATAAGATAATAATTACAACTTTAAGGAAAACTTGATAGAATGTTGTGTACATAAAATAATAAATTTATAATATCATGAATGTATTAAAAGTAAAATGAATTACACAAAATATAGAAAGAAGTAGCAAAGATAAATATTTTAAATTTATTCATTCTAAATATAATAATACAAAAACAAAATAATATTTAAAGCAGATTTTAAATGAATTGTAATGAAAATAGTATATTTATAAATTAATAACTAAATCTTTTTATTTAAAATAATATTATTTTTTTTTATATAGAATAAATTAGAAAACAAACTAGAAAAGAAATAGCTAAGTTTAAAATATATGATACGCCTGCAAAAACATCTTTCTATAAAGCAAAATCCTTGTAGTATGTATGCGCTAAAAAGCGCATATGTTAAGATTGATTAAAGAAAATTTTTCTTTAAGAAGGAGAATAAGAAAGAAAAAAAATAAACAAAAAGGTACAAATGGTTGGTTTAGATGTACAGTAATAAGAGGCTATGATGAATGTAAAATAGAAAATTATGTTACAATCTTGTTTAAATAAAACAAAAATTAAAATGTAAAAAGAAAAATTATAATAGATTTAATTTAATTTAAGAAACAAATTTGATGCTTATTGTCGTTCTATAAATATATTGAGAGAGACAAGTCACTTGTTACAGTCCATTCCCTTGAAGAAATTACACAGAATTTTTAACTTGTTGTTGTAAGATTTAACGTACTGTATATAAGTACTATTATGAGGTTGACGAATGTACCTAAGATATTTTTTACAATTCATAACCACTGAATGTTGACAACAAACTGTAAAAGGATTATTTATCTGGACAGATAATACGTAAAAAGATGACTATATTATTCTTTATATTTAAAAGTGATTCAGAACGTCTGTCATCAATAAGACCATAATAGTCTAAAGCAGGAAATAACGATGTATTTACGGTGAAAATGTGTCAATAGGGTTAAAATTTTCGGTTTCTGTGGAATTGCACATTATGATTTAGCTCATTTTCATCAATAACTATCATAATGCCTGGCCCATTCAATTCAATGGGGGTTCTTACAAAATATTCTTTATTTAACGATACAATAAACTTTTTCTTTTATTTATCGTATTTTTTGTCAATATTGTAACTCTTAAATTCAAATATTCAAATATTCATTGAAATAAAAAAATTTTTTTTGAAAAATAAATATGCAGAAATTTGAAATTAAGATAAAAAAAATTTTCTGATAGATGTAGGATACTTATTTTATCCATCATTTTATATACCACTAGGAAAACTTATCAAAATAACTGTCATTTTTTTAATGCACATTTTTATATCACAAAACTATACTTTATATCACCCTTATAGTCTTTGTTTCAAAAAAAAGGAACAATTATATTCTTCGGTAGTAAAAATTATCTAATATAGCCTGATCATTTATTTTAAGGGAATTTATAAATAAAAAAACAAGTCTAAATTACGATATTGAAGATCGTGATTAAAACTGATTGTATATTTCTACAAAAAGCTTTTTGTAACAATTAATTTTTTAGCAGGATTTAAAAGTCTTTTTTTACGTTTATTTGTAAATCTTTTTGAGGTCATTTACAAATTTTCTACGAGTAAAATACTTTATTGTTTATAAAAGTTTATTAATGATTTAAAACCATTTGAGCTAGATTGTAATTGATATTAAATGTTTATTTGTTTAATTTTATGTAATTAAGTAAAAATACTAAAGTAATGTCAAAATATAAAACTAAATTATTTTTTATCATAGACGTGTAGAAATATAAAACTAAATTACTTTTTATTATAGACGTGTGGAAATATAAATTATTTTTAATAATTATATCCAATATTTTGTTACAACAAAAAAAATATTAATGTTTTGTAACAAACTTATTTACATTTTTTAAACAAAACAAAAAAATGCTTTTGGTTTGCTTTCTACAGATTTCAGGTTTTTTTGAACCTCTTAATAAAATTACAGCTCCTAATAACACCCTTGACCCTTTTCTAGCTGACGAAAATTCATCATCAGAGCAAGCAGAATTTGATGCTACTAAAGATCAGTCGTTGCAATCTGATTCTTCTTCTACTAATAAAGAACTCTTTGACGACTTAGCGGACAATAAAATAACCAATACACTTCCTCCAGTACCGCAATCTGAGGATGCTAGTATGACACAGGAGAAATTAGAAGATTTTACAAAAAAATTTAATGACGCTTTACAACTGGATGACGTTGTAAAACCAATTACTGATAAAGATATGTGGAAGAGGCTACATGATTACATAATAAGTCATTGGGATAAATTTTTTATTGATGGGCACCTTAGTGTAGCTTTAGAATTACGATATATTATGTGCTCATATGTCATAGCTTTTATTCCTGGTCAATTCGCATTTGTAATACCAGGATTTTATACTTATTTGATACCTAAACAGGCTTATAAAATTCCAATTATTTCTGATGCCTTGAGAGGAGTAAAAAGATTTTTTAAATTTTGTAAAAAAACTTCGCGTGACAAGTTATTTTTGACTTTTTATTTTGGCCGAGCAAATTCGTTAAAACAAGATTTAGAGTTTCTTAAACGTATACCTGATATGATTAAAAATAATCCAGTAGGAATTATAAGAGAGCTACTGGCATTTAGTATTAAAGCGGACGGATATAATCCTGAAGATTGGTAATTTTACAATCGTAATTAGAAATGAAAATTAGAAATTTAAAATTAAACTATTTTTTTATTAAAGTACATTTTATGTATTATTACCATCCTTTATCTTGTTTATAAGATTTATATCACTAGGATTAAATGTCACACTTTAGCACGTCTACTAGCTAAATAAGATATCTTCATTAGTGTAGCAAGATGTGCCTTAAATACTTCCTGCAAATTTTTAAGAGGTTACGCAGTGAATCTTGGTGTATCAGAATTAGTATTGCGTAAATATTACATGTAATATCTCTGACCATACGAGTAAATAATGATTTACTTACTTAAAAATTTATATATTCTTGATAAGATTTTATCTCTGCAAAAAACATCGATCTAGATTTCTTTAGAACTTTGACTGACGTTATTATCGGCATTTCAAAACTAAAAATCTTTCTTTTTTTAGGATTTCTTTGTATAGCCTATTTGACTATCTCTGTGTTGATAGATTTATCACAGCATTTCTAGCCATTTTGTTAAAGGGCATAAAGAATAATTAACTTATAGAAAAGGCAGGAAATAATAACACAAAAAATGTTTATATGTACAGATATTAAATACATTTATAATGTAATTTTAAATATATTTCACACAGAGTATAAAAATGATTTTTAATTCCTATCAATTAAATTATAAAATTGCTAATTATCAGGGTTTGAAAGATTTTTATACTAAAGTTGTTTTCATTAGTTGTGTCTGTCTGAGTTCATGTTGCTTCGCGTAGGATTTTCAGCTAAAAATGTATTATAGTTATATATAGATTAATTCAAATAAATAAACTAATAAATGCTTGATAAAAGTGCGGAAACTAAATGTATGAAATTTAAATAGTAGAATTGATATTTTTTTAGAAAAAGAATCATTTTAACAGATTAAGTATAAACAAATAATTTAAAAATGTGATCATGTGTAGTTGCATCATGACACTATCCTAAGCGAAGTTAATTTAAAATATTTGTACTGCAAAAAGGATTTTTCGATTCGAAAAATTGATTCCAAACGATTGATAGTTTTAAATATATAAGAACCTTGTTTTATAAAATTTTAATGCTTTTTTTTACACTAAGAAAAAACATAGCTTTCATTAAAAATGTTTTAAATTGTTTTTTAAGCTTCACATGCATTAAATTGCGCTGTGAATAATTAAAAACAACTTTATTAATTTAATCGTTATTTTAAGAGTGCTTGTCAATACATTAATAAATGGGACACTAAGTATGATTTGTGAAGCAATTTTTAGAAAAGCGCCCAATAAAAAGATATCGAAGAATACATCAACAAAAAAAGCTGAATGCTACCGTGAGGTATACCTTTACCTCTAATACTTGTATTATTAAATGTTTATTATGTTTGTTTTTTTGACTATTCGTCAGGGACACTTGAATCTATTTGGGGGCTCAAGCTTATCCATATTTTTGTTTGTTTGTTTGTTTTTGTTGATCAACGTAATCTTGAGATTTATTGTAAACAAACAACAATAAAACATATAACTAATAAACATGTAATGTGGAATATTATCACAACTAGTCCCATAAAAAATTTTGTAGGTTAATTAAAATTAATAAAAAAATAATTCAAGAAATTAAAATTGTTTTTAAATTTTATTAATAACTCATAAAAAACTTATAATATGGTTATTTTCTTAAGCATAATTTTAAAAATTTGTGTCACATTTTCACATATTTTGTATAATGATTACACTGTAATTTGATTGAACTAAAAAGTTATACCTTTTCTTCTTTCTTGGTAATTATAATATAAATATTAAATTTTTTTTATTATTTATTTAACAATTTTAGATTTATTTGTTAAGGTTTTATCATTAAAAAACTTTGTACTAAATTTATTGTATTATATAAATGACAAAAAAATATTATTTGATATTATAATTGTTGATTCAAAATAATTTTAGAAATTTTCTAGCCTTTAAATGTTATGTTGGTTGCAAACGATTTTTTGTTCCATACAAATAATGGATTTTGATTTCTTAGTAAATTTAGAAAATACATCAGATTATTTTAAAGAATTTGAGAAAAAAAAATTATTTGATAATGAAAAGGTGCAACAAAATGATCAAGAACAGGTTGAAATAGAAGATAAACATTGTTATGAAAATGCTTCTGATGCTAATAAATCGAATGAAGTGATAGATATTTTAGATGAAAATTTAAGCTATAAATGTACGAATGTAGATAATAACTACAACAATTTTTCGCCTTTAATAACTGCAGAAAACAACTTGGTGTCACACAATAGCACAAGTAATACATTTTTAACTAGTGAATGCAGAAATCAAAACTATACAATGGATAAATTGATTAATAACATAACACATCCTGAAATTAACAATAGTAACCAAAATGAATCATTTAATAATTTTTACATGAATGAATTTTGTAGTGATACAACTAATATAATATCACATACGATTCACAAAGATTTATTACAACAGCAAGATGTTGCGTCAAAAAATAACATTTCTTTACAGACAAATGATGGTGTTTTTGTTTTATCAAATAGCCATACGCATAGTTTTAGAACTAATCGTATAAATAAATCTAATAATGTTCAAATAGGTACTCCATTGAATGTTAGTGATTTATTTACAACTAACAACCTCGAGCCCAGTACAGTTTTAAACAATGCTTACGGAAACAGTTGCAATGAAGAAAATCAAGGGAAAAAATGTAAAAGTAACACAATATCTGATACTCAAATAAGACACAATAATAATATTTTTAAATCTAAAAAAAGAAAAAAAATTGGGAATACATTTTTAATGTATTATTTAACAGCCCACGAGGGTGAACTTTTTGATAGTTATAAATCTGGTGAATATTCTTTTAGATATTTTTGTAAACCGATCATTAAAAAAATATTACCACAGCATATTAAAGGACTCGAAACATCTAATTTATCTAATGACAGAAAGTACAACTCAACAATTGCTTTAACTAGTCTTTCAAATTTTTTAGATATTATAAGTGCAATTTCTATAAAAAGAAAGCAACCCACATTGCGGGATTTTTTATCATCGTTGGATTCAGCATGTGAGAAGTTTAACTTGTATTATGACGTTTTTCAACAATTATTAATTTTAAAATCAAGTTGGAGCGATTTACATATGGTTGACAAAAAATTCTTTTGTCGCGACAATTGTAACCTTTGTGATATTCAAAGGTTAATAAATAGTATCAATACGAGACTTGATTCTTTTTATAGCAGACTTAAAAAATTAAGAGAAAGTTTTAAAATAGGAGAAATTTATAATTTAATTTAACCGGCTTAATTAACTAACTAATATTTTCATGTAAAATGTCATGTTGCAGCTACCACTTGACCATTATTAAATGTTTGTTTAATCACATTTTTTATTTACGAAAATTAATTGACAAAGATAATAGTATTGTTTACCTTTTCTTCTAATTTTATTTATAATCTATTATTTTTTAATTTCTCTTTACTATCAATAAAGTTTTACCCATAAAGAAATTTAGATATATACATGGAGTACGGAATTTATGAGAAACAGAACAGGTCTAGAAATTTTTTTTGAATAAACAATGTTCCACAAATTATTCTTTTAAATTTTGCAATATAAATAATTAAATATTAAACAAAAAAATTTTATACTAAATAACAAATATTAATACAATTTTAAACTTTTAATTAATTTGCAAGTTTTGTATATTAATTTAATTGTAAAGTTTTATAAACATAATTGCAACGTCGTATTCAAATTCTTATCTTTATAATAATTTTAATCGTATCTATGCTTAAAAGGGTATAAAATTTTTTTATAGTAATTTAATATATAAATTAAATTTTATAATAACTTGCAATAGCGGAATTAAAAAAAAAATTGTTTCTGAGCTTACCAATTTGATTTTACAAATTCTAATTAGATTTAATGCATATATTTATAAATACGTTATCACGTGTATAAATGGTTTTATTTTAATATTTAATTAAATAGCTAGGTGGTTTTAACAACAATAAATTTTAGATAAAAATAAAAAATAGAATTTATTATTTAAAACTTGTATGATTACTTTTGCCCTAATTACTACTTCATATCTTTTCTTCAATCCTAATACCAAATTTTGGCACAGTTCTTCAATTATCTTATTCCATTCTTCTACTACAGCGACTTTGTATTCTTAAATATTTTTCTTTAGTTCATACCACATATTCTCAATTGTATTTAAATCAGATGATTGTAATAGCTATTCAATCAATTTATAAATCTAAATAATTTCTACACAAGCTTTGGCGTATGCTTCTACACAAGCTTTGGCGTATGCTTTAGATCATAAACCCGTTAAATAAAAAATCTTTTAAAAAAAACCAACAGCACTTTTAAATCAATTATGGTTGAAAATTGCATTATTTTGTAAACTATTCATTTTACCTTCGATAATATGAATATTCTCAACTCCCTATTTAAAAAAGTATTCCCAAATCATGATTGAACCATCGTCAATCTTAATAGTAGGTTTTAAATTTTTCATATTATACCACAAACCATCTTTACGGAGGCAAAAAAACTGTTCTATCTGATTTAAAAAGTAATATTTTAGATTAATCACTCCATATAATACTTTAAAGTAAATTTTCTCTTTGTAATACCATTCAGTTGCTAGTCTTAGTCTATCTTGAATATTTTTTTTTGACAAAAATGGTTTACATGCTCTTCTCCCGCCTTTATGATCCAAATTCACTAATTTTAAAAAAATAGCCCTAGCATTCCCTTTTTTCCGACTTTAAAACTTTTTCCGTTGGTTAAATTGAACTAATAAAGGATCTTTTTTAATCTTTTTGCTAAGATACAACAAATCACTATCATTCAATAAAGATTTTCTACTCGACCCTTAGTTCGAACAACTGTTTCTTTTTTTTTATAATTAGGGTATTTAAAGGGTAGTAATCCCTTTTAAAATAAAGTTTAAAAATTTTTAAAATAAAAGGCCCACTGGGCCTTGTACTATAAGCAAAACGTTGTTAATTTTTTTATTGTACTTGTTACTCTTGTTCATAGTCCCCTAAATTTCTATATCCCTTTCTTTTTTTGTATGGGTTAAATATTTATATAAAAAAAAATTATGAAATTTAGTTTTTTTCTTGAAAAAACCATTTTGTTAAAAAATTTAAATTTTGCATGTGATTAGAATACCACAATAATCTTTTATTGTTCTAGAGAAATGGGAAGAATGTTAATTAATTTTTTTCACTTTTTTAACTCTCTTTAACTTTATATTCAGCTTAAGTTCTGAATTTAAGCAAAAACTTCTCTTTTTTATCACAAGGCTGTAAAAAATTTTTTATTTCATAATTTCATGGGAAAGTAAAAAATTCTATTTTTTTTAAATTACGCAAATAAAATAATTATTTAATAACTTATTTAAACTTACTAGCCTTATACAGAACACTTCTTTTTGTGGTTAAATAGTCTTTTTAGAAATAAATAATTAGTTTATTTGAGTTTTGTTATAAAAAATCCCTATTTTTTAATTCCGCAACTGTATATTGACATATCCGTCTTTATAATAAGATTCAATTATGTTTTTAATGTTTTTATTTATCATATTTCTTTTACTATGAGGTCTGGAATATTCTGGGATCTTGTTTTACCCGTGTCGATTAAATTCTGGGAAATAATGTATAAGGTTAATTTTTTTTTATATTTATAGTAAAATATTTATTTGTAAACGAACGATATTTAAGATAAATGAAAAAACAAACAAAAATGTTAATTAGTATAAACCTCATAAGCATTTGAACATAAATAATTTTTTTGAACGTCGAAATTTACGTCAAAAATAAATTTTGAAAATGTGGTATATTTACTTTATATCATTTTTTTTGCTGTTAATATTTAATTTTTTTCTACCTATCGGATTTACGATTAAATAGAATTATTATCAAAAAATTATTTAACTTAAAATATCTTTAGTGATTGTAATACCACGAAAAGATTAAACATTTTTTTTTGTTGTTTAAATACTTTTTAAAGTAAAAATTTTCTAATAAATCTAGTTTTACGCCTAAAATACAAAAAAAGATTTTTCTTAACGTCCTTTGTATTTGATTAAAAAATAAAAAGTTTAAATTTAAATTTTGATCTTGGATAAGAATAGGCAAAGTCTTTTCCAGACAGCGACACAAAATATCATTTTCGATGTAAAAAATAAAAAACATATTACTTAAAATTTTATTAAAAGTACTCAATCAAATCAATATTACATGATTCATAATGTTTATTGGGTGTCTGAACTAAGCAATCTATTTGTGTAATATTAGATTCTTTCAGATAATGTAATTCAAACATAAAAAAAATAAGTCTTTTTTTTGAATCAATTAATAATTTGTATTTCAATTCATTATTTTTCTTGTCGTAGGCAAAGCACTTTAAATTTTTTTCATCAATATCTTCTTGAAAGTAAATCAAAACAGCAACATAAGAATAACCAAAAAGTGATCCGATGTATCGATCGTAATCATAAAGTTTAAATTTGTGATTTGGATTCTCAATTAAGCAAAATAAGTTAATTAAATCGGTAAAAAAGCAATTCGATAAATTATAATTTTTGAAAATATCAAAGTCCTTATTAAAGAGCATAAATTCATCTTCCCAAAACTTATTTAAATTATTTTTCATAAAATTTGTAAGGAATATAGATAACTTAGATTTTAACAATTCATTATCTTCTTGTAGTAACAAAATAAGTTTTTTTAAAAAACTAATAATTTTACAATAGTCCCTATCAAAAAACGCTAAAATATAATCTTCGTTTTCTAAAGAATGCATAATTCTTGATACAGGTTTGTTTGTTAATTCTTCAAGAAGTTGACGACACGACAAAATTGTTTTAAGCTTATTTAAGAATACAAATTCTATAAAATCATTTTGCATTTTCAAACCTATATCGCTAACATTTTCAGTAATTTTTGTGATTTCAACACCATACCGAAGTTTTATTGCATTATTGAACAACATAGAAGGAATTTGTATGTTAAGAATATTTTTTCGTCTTAAGGCCATAGTAAAATCAAATTTGTAAAATATCTTATTGATGTTTGTAAAATCTTTTGAAAAGCAATATAATTTTTTAGTGTAGGTATTGGATGTTCGATTAGAATGAATACAAAGAAAACCATAAATATTAAATTGCGGCGATTTGACTTCTGTTATAATTAAAATATTATCGTTAGATGAATAATAATTTTTTATATAAAAGTCATAATTTTCTGGTAAAGTACTTTGTAAGTCAATTTCATACATTTTATATGTGCTTGAATAAAGTGTATTTATTTGTAATGAATAAATACAAGTCATCCAGAATAATAGATTAGATTTGTTCATGGGCATTTTTATTTTTTAAAATTATTAAAGTTTGATTATTTTATAAACTAAATTGTATTTTATGCACGTATTTGCTTTTAGATAAAAATCTAATTAAATTATAAACCAACATCTTTTAATAATTTTTCTTACTTTACTCATCTTTATGCTTTAATTAATATTGTAATTTTAATTTTTTTATTTTCTTCTTAATTTTTTGTATTATTATGGATGAAAATTTTAATCTCTTTAAAAGATAAATAAAAACTTTTTTTGTACATTGAGTAATTTATAAATGTGCCACAACAAGCAGATAAGCGTTAGTAACTAAGGTGGTTTTTATTAAAAGCGTCTTTGTAGGCAAGCTTCTATATATTAAACTTGAATGTTGAGTATGTTTATAAGCCTTGTAACTCGAACAACTTGGTATGTTTAAGGAAAACTTTATAAACTAAATATATCTTATTTAGATGTTTTATTAACAGATGTCAATAAAAATAAATAATGTTGTGATATTCTGAGTCACATAAAAAAAACAAATTTAATTTATCGAAATATTTTTAAATTTCACGAGACCAGCTCATGCCCGAGCTACAACGAAGCAAATTTCGATTCCCGGAAGGATCATTTCTAGTCGAAAACAACTGCTTTAAGCAACTAAAATTTTCAAGAATCTCAAGAAATTACGTTGTGTGATAAGCATAAAAATACTTTTATGGGTTTTTATAGAGCCTTCTTTAGAATTCTGCAAACATAATTTACAAAAAATATGGGTTTTTTAAAATACAGGAAAACATTATTTAACACTAGTTTATGCTATCCCGTTAAAAACGGGATTTCGGAGTTATATTAGTGTATGTAATTTTTTCAAAATGTATAGTGTGTCATTGTAATAACTCTTTTTTTAATAAATTTAAAATTTTACTATAAATTAACTTCTACTGTGTCATTATTTTTAAAAGTTTGATTATAAATACGACAAAAAGGATACAAATAAATAAAATTTTACCATAATGTTATTACTTACAAAATTATAGTTTATAAATTTTAAAAAAGAAGGGTTAAAAAATAAATAAATATTTTGAGTTACATTTTTTATATATAGACAAGTTTAGTAGTTATCCCCTTCATGGCAAGACAAAAATCTACAGTTTTATAAATTAAAATCATTTAATTAAACTTTCAACGTGATTTTCTAAATTCTCGGAATCGTCAATATTTAAGATTTGAAACATTTTCTTAGCTTCTACTTTATTAAAATAAACATGCTCTCCTTCTATGCTGTATTTAACGTCTAAATTGGTTAGTAATGCTATACTTTCAAATAATTGTGACAATGTTTTTTCCCCTGACGCAAATATAGATCGTAAATTTTCAAGTAAGATGCTATAAAAATCATATAACGTTTTATTATTCAGACATAAATATAAATCGGAAAACTTTTGTAGATCGTTAAAAAATTCAATATTAATAACATTGCTCTTTTTATAAATACTAAAATACTCCTCAGCTTCTTTATAAATAAGAGTGTATAACAAATTATTAACTTTCTCACTCTCCACTGTCATCATAAAATGAATCTTAGAAAGTTTTTCTTTAGTAAAAAAGTTTTGCAGAAACGCAATTATTTGCCTTCTATTATTTTTATTTATACTTTGTGTAAAAAAATAATTTCATTTACGCTTAAAATCTTATAATGGCCTAAAATTTGCATTAATATAAGATATGATGCAGATCCCGGGCCTTTACAAATTTTATATAATAAATGATTTAGCAGATTTTCATTTTTACATTTGTAAAAAGTAATTTTGTATTGCACAAAATCAAAGGCCTTGGCTTTTGTAAATAATTTTAAAATTTCAATGCAATCTTGATATTCTTTAGAAATGCGCCGACAATTTCCTTCAATCTCTAAGTGTTTGTCATAAGAATAACAAAACAATGTACCTAAGTTCCAAAAGATATAACTTTTTCTAAAAATATAACATTAGAAAAAAATCTTCTCAAAATTATATAGCAAAAACTGCCCGGTAGTTTTTTCTCATCGTTGTTTACATCATTTAATAATTTAGAATGTAACAGAAAATCAGAAAATGTAAAAATTTTACACATTAAAGTGCATATATCTGTACTGTTATTGTTTTTACTGTTATTTTTATGTAACTTTATTAATTCACTTGTATATTGTTCTTCTACAGTGTATAAATCTTTAACGTCAATTTTAAAATAAAGCACTAAATTTCTTAATTTTACAGGAAAAGAAATTTGTTTCTTGTTTTCTTCTTCAAAGCATTGGATACTGTCTTCAGAAGAACATTCTTCAACAGAAAAGCAAAAGTCAAGATCTATCGTTCTACTTCGAGAAAAAAATAAACAAAGCTCTCTTATTTGCTTTTGTTCGTTACTATCATATAATCTAGCAAAAAAATCGGGTTCAAACCTATTATAAAAAAAATTCTCAAGCTTTAACCTAATATCATGATCAAATACTGATGCAAACCTTATCTTATAAAAAATCTCCGATTTTTTTGATATATTTAAATTTTCTGAAAGATAAAAATCACAAATTGCTTGAATTATTTCATCTGCTGTATTATACTTAGCCTTATCAAAGTTGAGAAAATTATAATAGGGATTAGATGCATCTAGTTTACATTCCCAAAAATAAATTCCCCTGGGGTTAAGACAGGTGTCAAAGACGCAGTATTTTTTCTCTAAATCAATTAAATAATAGTCTTTAGTTTTAATTTTCTGTTTAACAATGCTCAATAAATCTTCATAAATGCTTTTACTAGATTTTAAATAAGCAAAAAACAAACATATTATTTTCAGTTTCATTAAACTATAAAAGGGGCTAAAAACCAAATTTTATTAATCTAAAATAAATAAAATTTAATTTCTTATTTTAAATTAAATTTTTATTATAAAAATATAATTTTTAAATAAGATAGTAAATTTTGGTATCAGAACGACAAACAATCTCTTTTATTGATAACTTAAAAAGGAGAATAGAAATTTACAAACTAAAAATTATGCTTTTTCTTTTGCCCATCACATACCCGATGAGTTCTGTTTTTCTGATCAGACACTAAGTTTGTTAATTTTGACAATAATTTGATTCAAAGCATCGAATAATTGGACTTTAAACACAAAAGAGTGTTTTAGGAGTAAAAAAAATATAAACTTTATGTATTGGATGGTACTTTTTTACCCGCTTAGAGGATTTTACCAACTCATGGTATTTTTTACTATTGTTAAATCTAAACATTTACCTTTTGCATATTTCTTGTTCTTGATAAAAGTTAATCTTCTTATAAGTCAGTTTTAGGCATTTTGTACGACTATTCTGACATAAATAATATAGATAATTTAATTATTGATTTTGATTTATCAATTGAGAATGTTATAAGTGAAACGACGATAAGATTCTGTATTTTTCATTACTCTCGGGCAGTATATCGTAAATTAAAAGCGCTGGGATTGAGTAAACTTTATCGAGAAGGTAAAAAATTTAAATTTTTGTTAAATGTTCACTTTGCTTTGTATTCATTGTAGAAGAAGAAAGGGAAAAATTTTTTAACTAATTGTAAGGGAAAGCAAGTTTCTGTATGATCAGAAGAATGTAGACGATTTTTTAAATCATTATTATAATAATTGGTATTTGTGTATATATTTAGGAATAATGATTTATATTAGAAAATTATCTTTGATATTCCTTTTACTAATAATGGTTAAAAAGTTTTAATTATTCGTTAAAAAAGAAGCTAAAGGTCCTCAACCAAGTTTAATAGAATTGTTAATAATTTTGTGCAATCATTACTATTTAAATGAAATGGATAAGTATCGTCAAACAAAAATACTAAGATTAAAGGTTAAAATATTAAATGAAATTTTAAATTTAAACAAAGCCTAGAGAAAATTTAAAAGAAGATGGTTTACATAAATTTAAAGAAGTTACGGAGATATATACTTTTAATTACTTGATTTACATTTAATTAAAGATTAGTTTTCACTTTTAAGGGCTGCTTTTTTAAAAAAATATTTTTATATACTGGCGAAAATCCCGCCAAAGCTAAATTTTTCGTCAGTAATTTTAAATTAAAAAATAAAATTATACACGTGCTTTTACTATTCAAAATACAAGAAGTGATGTGCATATCAAATCTAGATAAGTTTACTTTTATAACACTATAAGGAGTAGGAGCGTAAACATGCAAGAAAAAGAAAATTAATTAAAAAGAACATTTTTTTTACTAGTGTCATTAAAACAATTTTTACAGAATCATTACTTTCAATTTTAATGCTATTATTGCTAAAAATTTAATTTCTTTTTTAATCGTAGAATAAAATGAATCTTATTTAAACTTTTTTGTTTTACTCTTGGTGTTAAAATCTTTTTTATTAAAACACTATCATCTATATTTATGTCATTTATAACATAATGCACGCATTTTTTGTCCATGCGTGCTAAAATTTTTAATTAAATAAAATTAGACTTATATCTATTTTTTCTTCCACTATAAATTCTTTTTATAGATAAACTAGCCAACGCTATTCTATTTAAAATGGGACTTAAATACGATACATGCTTTCTTTGTTTAAATTATGTATATATTTGTTTATGTATGTATGTATTGTTTAAAAATAACACATTGCACACTTTTAATTATAAAATGACAATGATGCACATTTTACAATTTGAATAATTGAAAACAACTAAAGGAAAAATTTATTTAAAAATTAAGCTTTATATTATAAAATCAACTATGAAAGATTGTTATTTATTTAAGAAAACGTTTTAAAATTTGAAAAAAGAAGGGTTAAAAAATAAAAAAATGTTAAGATTCAAACTTTTTTATATATTGACTATCTTACGCTGTCCCATTTAAAACGGGATTACAAAAATAATGTGTGTTTTTTCTTTATAATAAATATGATGTGCCTTTGTGTTTGTACTTGTTATTTTGTATTACAAATTACCTTTTTTATAAAAAATTTAGAATTTGCTATAGACACATTATATAATATTAATTAAACTAAATAAAAGCAAGGGAAAATGCACAAAAACATTGTTTCGTGCTTACAGAAAAAACCTTAAATGACGCTACTCGTTCTTAATAAAAAATAAAAATAATTTTACAATTTTGAAAAAAGAAGGGTTAAAAAATAAATAAATATTCAGATTCAAACTTTTTATATACATTGTTGCTATTTTAAGAGTGCTACAAAGAATTTAAAAACACATTGGATTCTTTACTTTTGATAATCGATTTAAATTACAATGATTTTTTTAAGAAAACTATAAAATTCCTCGTCCGGGAATCGAACCCGGGCCGATAGTGTGAGAGACTATCATCCTAACCACTGGACCAACGAGGATAAATGGCGGCAATGCCCTTTTTTTATAAATTGAAAAACTTTAAGTACAGAATTACGATAATGTATAAAAATTAATATATTTGCACAAATTATATTAATTATGTTTAACTTTTTAATATTACAGAACACAACTCTTGTACAATAAACAATTAATATCGATAAACATAAAGTTTATATTATAGCATTTTAGATTAGTTCATGCACATTTACAGATAAATTATTTGATTTCATTTATTATAAGATCTATAGTCTTACTAAAAATTTGATCATCTATCAATATGCCATTATCCCCACTTTTACCATATTCTATATTTAGTGGAAGACTTCCAATATAATTAAGATTGTTTTCTTTACATTTCTGTTCGATATCTGAATTGTAAAAAATATCTTGTAAACTATCACATTTTTCGCACCTAAATCCTTTCATGTTTTCAATAATCCCTAAAATCTTTATATTATTTTTATAACAAAAAGTACATTGTCTTATAACATCTTGAAAAGATATTAATTGTGGGGTAGTAACAACAATAGCAAAATTTAACTTAAGATAATTTACAATTCCTAAATGTTCATCTGTTACATTTGGTGGTGTATCAATTATTAATATTTCATAATCTGCAATGTCACCATTTATAAGAATATTTCTTATAGTATTAGTTTTATATGTTGAACTAAATAAATTTTGAGAGGGTTGGCTGTCAGCAAAATATCCTACAGAAATACATCCTAAATTTTCTGATAATTTAACTGGATAAAATCTTTTATTGCTTTCAATTATTATTTCTCCTTCTGTATGTGTCATTTTTGGTATTGATGGGCCAGAAAGATCTAGATCCAACAATAAAACTTTATAATTTTTTAACGACAGAAATTCTGCTATATTTCGTGTAATTGTACTTTTACCTACTCCTCCTTTACCGCTAAAAATAGAAAAAATAAGTTTAAAATGTGATACATTTGCAGATATTAGTGGTAACGAATCATCGGGTTTAACTGTTCCACATATGCTTTGGTTTGGACATTCATTGCACTGTTCACTTTTACCGAAATTAGATGTTGGACATTTATAATTATTTTGCATGATGGGTTAGTGAATATAAAATAAATATTTATGCGTATTTATTATTTATTGATATTTAAAATGTCTATGCATAACAACTTGTTTTGAATAAAATTTGAGTAAAGAAGGATTTTATATACAGCCCTTGCATAAAATGGTAGACATAAAGTTACAAATTGTTGTCGTTCCAAACTCTCAAATAACTGCAGTTAAAAGTGTAGATAACGATGAAATAAGAATAGCAATAAATCAGCCACCAGAAAACAATAAGGCAAATGTTGAATTGTGTAGATATCTTAGTAAAGTTTTTAAAATAAAAAAGACCGACATAAAAATTATAGGTGGATTTACTAATAAACATAAAACTTTAATAATAAATATGGAAAATAAAATCGATATAATAAACATATTGAAAAATGAAATTTAAAAATTACTTTAAGATCTCTTTAATCTAGTCGCAATTAAATGAATATAAAATTTTTAGCCTAGCCTTGTTCTTAATTTTTTATATCTTTTGCACAATTTTGTGAGTTTTTCCCAATTTTTAACTATTTGCTCAATTCTTTCTTTAATTTCTAATTTTTTTACAAAATCAAAATATTCAAAAATAAAATTAGACACAATAAAAAGGTCTTTTTTATAAATAAAAACCCCTTTGTAAATAGGATTCTGCTTGTTAAATCCTACAAAACACCGCCTGTAATCTACTTTTAATTTTTTACAAATTATTTCATCATATTCATTTTGTATATACACACAATTTAAAGGTATGTGGTTAGGATGCAAATAATCTTGTACAAGAGATAAAGACATATCTTCTAACAGTATATCTTCAACCTGATCTTCGGAGTAAAATTTTAAATCCTTATAAATCTTAGAAGGAGAAACATCTTTTCCGTCTATCTTTTTAGGTATTTTTCCGTGTTTGTAAAAATATTTATCAGATTTAAGATCTACAATATATTTTTTTAAAAAAACAGGTTCTCCCCTAAAATACCCTTGTATCAACTTTTTATCTATAAGCACTTGATTAATTTTTAACAAACTTTCCAAACAATATAATGGATGCTTTTTAAATTTAATTATAGAAGTAGGAATTTCTTTTCGTCTTCTTTCATCTAATTCCGTAAATTCATTCTGAATATTTGGTTTAGAAAACAAATTTTTAAAATGCTTTAAAACTTCTAAAAACATGCTATGATTTTTCATATTAGTGCTAAAATACCAAGAATAATCTTCAATTGTATTATTAATATCGATATAAAAAACACAACCTTTGTATTTATTTTTATTTTTTATAATTCCTTTGTTAACGGAAATTTCTAAAAAAGATTCAATATTCTTGTTAATAATAAAAAATATTCTAGAAGAAATGTTATGCTCTTTTAGAAATTTAAAGTATTTTATATTTTTCACATAATCTGAAAAATAAAATTGTGTACTTTCTAGTTGATTCTCTGATTTTAAAAGATAATACATCTTGTTTATTATATTAAAATCTAGATATTCACTTATTTGAGGAATACTAATATCTTGTAAAAATTCTTTAAAAATGTTTACCAAGGAAATAAATATATCATATTTTATGTGTAGACGCTTTTGTTTTTCTTTGGTATCTAGTTTAATGCTTAAATCATCATTATAAACTTCTTCCCAGCCCTCATCCGATGACATATGGGATATTCACTATAAACATTTAATAAAATTAAAAAGGAGAAATCCATCTTAAAAAAATAAATGTTATTTAATTTTATATTTTGTAAAATGTATTTTAATCATTAAACAAATTGTTTAAATATCAGTATTAATGTTTGTTTGTTTTTTAATTAAATAAACAAACAAAATTTAACAATTTATTTAAAATTATCGTAGAATAATTTATTATTTTATTTCATGTATTTCTTGATTGTTTGTTTTGATAATTTTAATTAATTTTAAAGTATAAAAGAAAAAAATTCAAATCCCTTAATATGTTACAATTGTTCATAATTGCTTTAAATATTGTTAAATGCGGGTTGTGTGTTGATAATCTTAACATTTCCGGAAATTTAGGTAATAGTTGCATGCGAGAAGAATTTAGAAATATTATATATAAAGATATTCTACTTGATGTAAACCCTGAGGGATGCAAAGATTTTGTAAGAACAATTTTTTCTTATATACCAGTTACTGATTCAATTATGTCAATTAAATCCGATGCAAGTACTTTACACACTCTTCTTGATCACGATGCTGCATTAGCGGCGGTAGTTTTACGAATAGCCTTTAGAAAATTGGCTGAAAGAAATCCAGAAATTGACGAATTGGCCTTGGAAACTCTTTTAAAATATTTTTTTGAATTTATCAGAAATTCCAATGATAAACATGCAAAACCTTGCCTTGAATTTTGCTATGAGGGCAAAGATTCACTAATTGGAACACCTAAGCAAGTTTTGTGCACTTTGTTACATTGCAGAGGTCTACGAAATATTTTTGAAGTTTTCTTAGTGGGTGTTTTATGCGATTTAAAAAAACGTGCAGCTTCTTTTTGTTTGGAACAACCACATGAAAAGGTAAGTGTAGTTTATGCTGTTTATATGGCAAGAGTTGTAGAAATTTTATTAGAGAAAATTTTTGAGATTAGAAGGTTACTTGATGGAAACAGAGAAGACATGTTTGAAAACTTTTATGTTTTAATTCCAACTAACAACGTCATTAACAAATTATCAAATCCAATTATTTCGGCTAATGCGTGGGTTGACCCTAATGCAGTTAGAGAATAAATGTATAATGTTTTAAATTTATTTATTTACTAATTTTCTAGTTCGTATAGCATTTACTTTGTTTTTTTTGACATTTCTTTATTAATCAAATATGCTTTCATTTTTTTATAAAGACTTTTATTAAATTTTTGTTGCTGTGCTTCATTAACCAAAAAACAAATTTCACTTTCAGAATCAAAATCTAAAGATCGCTTTTTTATGCTCTCTAGATCATCTTTGCTCAAAAATGTTCTGTTTTTAGCACTTTTTTTTGTTTTATTTTTAGAATTTATTCTTTTTTTATTCTCTTCTGACTCAAAATCTTCAGATGATTGACTAAGTATTATCTCTTTTTTCCCCTTTTTCTTCTTTTTTTCTTCTTTCTTTTTTTTGCTGGTTTTTGAAGATGATTTTTCTTTATTTTTTTTTCTAAACTTTTCTTCGTAGTCTGAAAATGATAAAGACTCTAATGATTTTTCTAAGTTATCTAGTTGTTTATGTTCTAAATTTTGTCTTAATTTAGATAAACTTTTGTCTCCAGATTTCTTTTTTTTATTAACATCTTTTTTTGTAGTTTTACTATATGCGTCAATTATATCATCACTTAAATCTTCTTTATTGTTGCTAATTACAGTAAAGTCTGAAGACTTGTCGTCTTCATTTCTTTTAATATCCCTTTTTGTTTTCTTTTTAGTTATGCAAACTGAAAATATGCTTGAAAGACAATTAAATCCCATTCAAGTATATTGATTATGTTTATTAGTAATTAAATAACAGTGTTTATAAATGAATCAATTAAAATATATTATCACCGACATTATTTCAAATTTGAAACTTTGTTTTAAAAATGTTTAAAGTCATAGGTTAAGTAATTTATAAAGTTTTTGAATGATATAAGGTAAGCTTTTAAAGCTGTAAAAATTATGAATTAAAAACAGCTCGCGTTTTAAAAATTATAAAATACGGATATCACATATAAAAATGTAGCATTAGACAAATTTACACTTATTTTAAAAATACAAGGTATTTTTTAAATGTTGTCCAAATCGTAAAAGCACAATGCATAATTTGTAAAAATTGTAAGCCTTGTACAGTTTTTGACAATAACACTTTATAAAAATATGTTACTAAAATACTTGAGGAAATTTTAAAAATAAACTTTTTTTTATTTTTACATACATTCACATTATTAATTATTTTTGTCTGAAATTTTTTTTAAATGAAATATAACTCTTTTTGAGTGTATTTAATTATTATTGTAATTTTTTTTAGAATATCAATTCAACTTAATTATAATAATAACGATAAAAATGTTTTTATGACCAATTTTCAAAGGTAAAACGCATAAAAAAATGCTTAAAAGTATTTATTTTTAAAAAAATTAATTTATTTTAATCTTAATGTACTAGAACCTGTATTGGCTCCTTCTTTAGTCTCCTGAGGCTCTTCTTCTTCTTCTTTCGGCGCAGGTTCCTTTTCTTTTTGTTCTTCATTTTTGGGTTCTGGTTCATTTTCCTTTGGTTCTTCTGTGTTTTCATTAGCAGCCCCTTCAATATCGTCACCGTAGTCTACTAATTGCTGATCGGTGCGAGTTGCATCTTCAAGTTGTTTTTCAGCAGTTTGAAAAACTGATTCAGGTAAATATTTTAAAGCATTTCCATTAGAATATAAAGCCAAAAGAGATACAGCGCTTAAACCATTCTTTTTAGCTTCTTCAGCTACATCTTTTAGTGTTTGTCTTTCCTGTCCTTTAGGGGGATAAATTTTATTTTTTTCGAGAATTCCCTCAGTTGTAGTGTCGTCATTCAAACCATCCTTATTTACAATAACAGATTTATCCGAATCTCCTATATCTTTTTCGGAAGGTTGTTCTTTTTCGGCTTCAGCAAATACTAGTGAACACAGTAATAAAAAATTTACAAGAAAATGGTTTTTCATTTTATTGTTGGCTTTACTTTTTTTTTATTTATATTTTTATGTAAAACATTATGTCTCATAAGTGTTTTATCTAGAAACAAAGATACAAAAATCATAGGTTTTAAAACTTATCGCTTCTTTTTATTTTACTATTGTTATAGACATTTTTTCATAAAACATTTCGTCATTGCAAAATCTGTAAAATAAAACATTTTTGTTACTTTTTTACAAAATTTCGTTCTATTCAATAAAAAAAATTCTTTGTTTTAAACTTAAATATTTTTTAAGCTATTTTTTAGACCCTTATAAATGGTTGTAAGAGCTAAAAGAATAGAACTTACTCCGAAAGGAATCAGAAATATTGGAAATACATGCTTTTTTAATTCTTCTATTCAGTGTCTTCTTTCAATTCCAGAGTTTGTTACATTTTATATAGAAAACAATTTTGACTATACGAGACCCATTTCAGGAGCATTTGCAGAATTTTTAGCGGATTACAAAAAATTGGAAATAGTAACTCCTAATAAATTTTTAAATTTCTTAAATAGCAAAATTAATTTATTTGATGGCTCACAACAAGATGCACATGAGTTTGTAATTAGATTTTTAGAAGTATTACATGACGAATTACCCAATAAATTCAAAAAATTACAAAGTAAAGAAGAATTTATTGCCCATTGTTCTGAAAACATTATTGCTAAACTTTTTTATAGTTTTAATAAACAAACAATTTTTTGTTCTAAATGTGGAAATAAATCGGAATCTTTTGTTTTATTGAATATGATGCAAATACAGGTTGAGAAAACAACACAAGAAGGTCTTTCTCGGATATTTGAAAATGAGAAGATTGATGGATTAGATGTATGGAAATGTGAGAATTGTGGACATTCAAAAGTTGCTTTTAAACAATTAGAAGTCATAATTTATCCTAAAATACTTATTTTGTACATAAGCAGGTTCAATTCTATGGCTTACAAAAATAGAGATAGTATTAAAATAGATGAAAAAATCAAATTAGGTAATAATATTTATTTTTTTAATGGAGTAGTTTGTCATAGTGGAAATCTTAATGAAGGACACTATTATTCTAGTGCTAAAAGAGGTGACAAATGGATTAATTTTAATGATACATCAATTTATCATGGAGGTGGAAGTTACAGTGATGATAGTCCATATATGGTATTTTATTCTAAAACAATTTAAAAAATAAATCTTGCTTAGTACGACTTTTACTTTTAAAAAAAATCTTGTAGATATGTATTTAGTAAATTACAAATTAAATAAAACTTTTTAATCATTTTTTATTTTTTTAATAATTATTTAACAAACAATTATAATATCTTGATTTATATGAATTAGTATTTTACGTTATAATTTTAAATGTTATAACTATTTAAAACGATTAAAGCTTTTATACTTTATTATAATATAAAATTTGTCCCCTTGCATAATTTTATGGATTTAGAAAATTACCACGAATCAACTGTAATTCTAAAATTGGAGTTAATCAACTTTATGTGCCATGATCATATTGTAATAGATTTTAAAAAACCATTTACTTGCATAGGAGGTAGAAATGGGAGTGGTAAAAGTGCTATTATGATATCTCTGGGAATTTTATTTGGTCAAAGATCAAGTAATTTAGAAAGAGGAAATTCTTTTAGAAATCTTATAAAAACTGGACAACAATTTTGTGTTATTAAGTGTGTCTTAAATAATACAAAAAAATACTGTTATGACTTTTTTGGAGATTTTATTATTTTAGAAAAAAGATTAACGCATAAAAGCAGTTCATTTTCAATAACAAATAAGCAAAAAAGACTTCATTCAAACAAAATGGAAGATCTTGAATACATTTTAGATTTTTTCAATATAAAATTAGAAAATCCACTGAACTTTTTAACACAAGAACAATCTAAAAAATTTTTAAATACTGCTGACTCTTCTAATTTGTATAAATTATTTTTAAAAGGGACAGAAATTGCTGATATTAGACTTATTAATGAAAAATATGAGAAGAATATTCAAGAATTGAAAAACAAAATTGATAACATTGAATTCGTTGTAAAAGAAATAAATCAACAATTAGAGAAAGAATACAAACGCATGGAAATTTTAGAAAATGTTAATAATTTAACAGATACGATTAAAAAAGATGAAAACGAACTAAGATGGGCAGATGTATATGCTATTAAAAACCAGATGAATATTTTAGAGAAAGAATTTTCTGATATACAATTAAATATTGATATGGAACAAAATGTTCATACACAATTTATGGAGGAAGTCGAAGATCTTAAATCGCAAAAAGATTCAATTTTTGAGTTGACACAGACAATGAAGTCTGAAAATAAAGCTAAACAACAAGCTATTGAAGAAGCAATTCTATCAACCAATAAGAAAATCCGAAATATGGAAAATGAATTTAAAGATTTAAAAGAGTCTTTTAATATAAAGAAAGACTTAATAAGCCGACTTGAAAAATCTAATACTTTAGTCGACGAAAGGGAATCTTTGCGGGTGAAGAAGGCAGATATTGAAGACAAGATATTAAGTGAACGAATACAACAAGAAAACTGCTTACAAATACTTAATAAGGAAAAAAATATTAAAGAAGAGCAAGATAGAGTTTTTGATGAATACAAAAAAAAGGTATATGCTTTACAAAAACAAATAGAATTTTGTAAAAAAAATGTTGGAAACGATCTAATACATCCAGAAATTAAACAAATTTTACAAACCATTAAGAATACGAAATTTACGGAAGAAGTTATTGGTCCAATTGGAGATTATATCAAATTAAAAGATCAAAAGTGGTGGAAAGTAGCCAGTTTGGTGTTACAAAAATTTGTAACAAGCTTCATATGTTTTAATAGGGAGGATCGAGAAAAGTTGTCTCATATTTTTAAAACTTTTAATGTTCAATTTTCGATTTTAATTCCATCCAATAAATCTTGCAATCTTATAAAATACGAAAAAAATCCAAATTTTAAAGTTTTGCTAGATGTGATAGAATGCGAAAACAATATTGTAATGAACCAACTTATCATTATGGCTAATATTGAAGAAAAAGCTCTTATCGAGGATAGAAATGAAGCATACAGAGTTATTAGAAAAGATCCAAAGAATATAGATTGTATTTATACACTCAATGGTGACATTATTAAAAAAATTGGTGGATCTATTTCTGATTTCGCTCCTCGCAAAATAGAAAAGTATTTTTTTGAAAAACAACGAGATAAGCATGAAAATTATCAAGCAGAGTTAAATAGGCTTATGAAAAATAAACCAAGTGTCAAGCCTTCTATTGAATATGAGAAAATTTCTAAAGATTATGAAGTAAGTTTGCAAACAATTAATAAATATGAACGCAATTTGGCCGAAATTATAAGACAAATAGAAAATGCAGAAGATTTGTTTAAAGCACAAAATGAAGTGATGAATAATGAAGAAATTGCTGAATCTTATCGTTTTTTGGAAAATCAGATGAATTTGTTAAATAATAAGATTGCTAAAATGAAAGAAAAATTAAAGGTTTTAGAGAATGACAAAAATAACATAACAAATACTCAGTATCCTTCTACTTCTGAAATTGAACTGAAAATACAAAAATTCAAAGTTAAAATTAACATTGCTAATGATTCATTACAAAAGTTTATACAAAAAAAGCGACTGCTTAATGTTAAATTAGCAGAAAAAAATTGTGAATTTGAAATTGCAAGAGCCAACTTATTGAAAGAAATTGATGAAATTTTAGACCCAAGACCTAAAGATGAAATTTATGATGAAATTTCTCGAATAAAGATTGAAATTGAAGAAACTAAAAAGATCGGAAATAAAGAAGAAACTCAGGAAAAAATAAATAGTATTTTAGAAAAGAAACAAATGAATGAAAATATTCTTAATTTAAACAAGCATAAAATTAATGATGTTTGTGAATCTTTTATGCAAAGAATAACAAAAAGAGAAGAAATAAAAGAATTTATAGGGCACAATGCGTCGAAAAGATTTGAGGAACTAACTTTACAACGAGGCTATAAAGGGGAGCTTATCTTTGATCATGAAAATGAAGAATTACACATTAAATTGGAGGTTCATAATTTTGGTATTGCTGGTTCAAAAGAAACATTATCCGGCGGGGAACGTTCTTTTGCTGCTATGTCTTTATTGTTTTCTTTATGGCCTTATATTTCTTGCCCAGTTATAATTCTTGACGAATTTGATGTTTTTATGGATGACTTAAATAGAAAATACATTATAAATAAATTTGTAGAATATTTTAGGAAATCACAAAACCAGGTTATTTTAATTACGCCATTGAATACTAAAGATCTTGAAGATAAAAATGTGGATATTCTCATTCTTAATCCTCCTAGAGATTAAAATTTTATTTTTTATATCTATATTTTTTGTTTTTCTAATATTTTTAAAATATATTAAAATTTAAATATCAGGCATTTTTGTTTGTAATTTAAGTAATAAGTAAACAAATAATATAAATGACAATTTTACGATATAAAAAGCTTTCTTGTCATATTTTTTATAGTTTAAAAAAAATTATTTGTTTGTTTGTTTAATTTAATTTAAGTTAAAAAGTATATAAGTAAATTTGCAAATACCCCAACAATATGAAAATAACAGGTGTAATGGTTTTTGTAGGTACATTACTCGCAAAATTTTGTGAAAGAGAAAATGTTGATGACTGTTCAGGAAAATCAAAAAGATTCCGACATACTAAAGAATATAACCATTGTGAAATACCAAGAAACAGAGGTAGACACTTTGGGATGCGGGAATATGAACATCCTAGAAGAGATCCATGTATCACCATAGGCCCCTGTGGTAGAAATGATGGATTTTTATTACCTTTCACTTTTGATTGTATTACGGGATTTTTTAATAGAGAGAATTTAAGAAGAGCATTCTTTTATTTAGTTCAACACCGCTTAAGATATTTAGAAAAGCATTTAAATTTCAGTCACAATTTTCAAAGCAGCCTTTTTGTTAATTTTGATGAAATTGCAGTTGACTTACGAGAAATTTTTAGAAAATTTATCTATCTTGTTCACTTTAATGATTATGCACACTACAAAAAATGTTTTTATGAAAACAAGTATATTGAGTGCTTTTACATTATGTATAATAATGTAAGTTGTACAAGGTATGTATTTGATTATATGAATATTCTAGCTTCACTTCCTTCTAATTGTAAAATTGATTCTAGCCACTTTTACCGATGCAAAGAAAAATGCCTTGTTGATACTAAACTTAATATCTGCAGCTTCTCGGGTATTCCTTCAGCAGATTTCTTAATTGATCCAGTTTCAATTCTTGAATTAAATTTGTACGAAAGAACACAGTTGTTAAAGTTTTTCTTTACAAGATACTACTTTGAATGTTCATATGGAGAAATTGAAGAAAGATTAATAAGATTTTTGGATTTATACAGAGATGTATACCTAAATGGATCAATATGGGATCATCGTGTAACTGCTTTTGTCATGTACAAAATATTTTCAGAGCTAAGATTTAAAAGATTTAATGACGGTCTTATTGACAGAATGTACGAATTTTTGAGATTATACAGCAATGGTACTCTAATAAGAATTGCAAAGTTCTTCTGTATATTGACTTTTGGATGTTTTGAAAAATAAATGTGTTATATAACTTTTTATAAGATCTTTTAATATTTATTTTAATTTAAAAGAAATAATTTGCAAAAATAAAAACCAAAAAAGTTGTTTGTTAGTAAATTTTAATAAAAGACCTACAAAATTGCTGTGTACTAAATCATTTTCAATTGTGTATTTTTCTTTCACAAATTTAGTTATAAAAATTGACAAATTTGTAACATATTTATTAATTCATCTATAAAATTTATTAGTTTGTTTATAGAATTTAAAAGGTCTGAACTTGATATTAATCAAAGTTTTTAAACGAAACTGCAAATAATAGAAGCTAGACAAAGACTTTAATAGTTAGTTAAAAAAGCAAAGATGGGTCAAATAAAAATGCATTTTAAATTCTTTTATAATAAAATTATGTATCTGCATAAAAAAAATAAATTAATTAACAAAAACATTTGATTTAATACGTAAAATCTTGCATAAAGCTTACGTAGCTGATATAAATATATTTATTTTAAAATATATTTTTCTTATTAAACTTATGTTTTTAATATAAAATAACGGGTTTTTTTTGCTATAAATTTTAAATTATGACATGATAATGTTTACAAATTTCGATTAAATTTTATTTTTAAAAAACTAAAATTTAGCACGTTGCATAAAGATTCACTAAAATACTAAATTATGTCAAAAATAATAACACATAAAGTTATTACTTAAAGTAAAATAAACCTTTAAAAACGCAAAAGATTCCTAATCGTTGTATAATTTTTCATACATCATCAATAAAAATTTAGGTTTCTTCATAAAATTTCATAAAAGTTTGTTTTGTTGTAGTTAAATGTAGCCCAAGTGCAGAATTTACAGGCTTAAGGTAGCATAACATTATATGTTTATCTTTTAACAAATCATCTATATACATCCAAGATGTAATAAGACATTCTCCAGAATCATCAGCCAAAATAAACTTAATATATTTTTTGATTTTAACATCTTCATTTGTAATGTGTTCTTTTGTTTTTACAATAAGACTTTGAATATTTTCCAACTCTTTTTCTAAATTTTCTACAGAATTTCTGTATCCTTTTACTTGAACAACATATTTGCTTTCAACAATTCTTTTTACATGTCCTTTTAAACAACTGACAATGCCTCCTTCCTTTTTTAAATCTTTAATTTTAGCTAAAAAAGATATCTTTTTTCGATATCCAAGTTTTCTATGAGAAAGAGAAAACTGAAACGAATTATAATATGCATATAAAACCACTGTATCTTCTTTTAAATCTAATATTGATGTATAGTGATTAATCAATAGTTTACATCCAAATAATTTAATTTTAAACCCCATTACAAGTTTTTTTGATTCAATGAGTTTTGAAATTATGGAATCGACTTGAATTTTGCAACAAAAAAACCCGTCAAAAACCTCTAAAGTGTTAGATTTGACGGATAAAACTAAAAGAATCATGTACCTGTAGCTTATATCATCTCCTTCAATAATCCTTCTTAAAATAGAATATTCAGTCTTTAATTTATTTTGTACACTCACTATTAGAGACCTATAGTTAATATTTTTTTGTAAAAACAAGTTAATCCAGGCCCACCGATAAAAGATTTTTAATAGCTCTGTATCTACATTTGGAAATTCATTTTTCATCTTTTCAAAAAAGTAAAAATATTTATTTTTTTCGTTGATTTCAGAAGAAACATGCCCTTTAACAGGACAATTATAACTTCTCATCGGTCCTTTTTTGTACTCCGAAGAAAATTTTGGTGCTCTTTTTAAAATATTCTCATTAACTAAAATTTTTTTGTTATTACCAGTTTTAAATCCTATTTCAGGAGAAAAATTAGTATTTTCGCTAACTGACAAATGTAAATTAACTAAATTTTTTTCTTGTGAAACACTAACCTTTGGGCTACCTAAGCTGACACTATAAGATTGTCTAGAATCCTCTGTGCTTCGATCACTTTCAATTTTTATTCTTTTATGTTCTTCAGTAAACAAGTTGTCGTTTTCTATTAGGTCTGAACTTTCTTTTGAATAAAAAAAATGCTCCCTGTCTTCAAGATCTGCTACACTAGAAAAAAAACACTTGTCATCATTAAATGATGCATCATCCAAGGCTTTATCAGATTTATTTGAGTCTAAGCTAACATTTGCTTTTTCAAAAGCTTCACTTTCACATCCCAGTTCAGAATGGCTTAAAGATTTTTGATAGCTATCATCTTCCTCGCTGCTAAAATTTAATAATCTTAAGTCTTCTTCAGAATCCATAAATGGGTCTAAACTTTTACTTCAAAATTATGCAAAAAAATTATTTTAAAAGTAATTTTCATTTTGTTTATAAAAAGAAACAAAAAAAGATAATTTTATATAATCTATTATTTATTTATATCTTTTGGTGTATTTTTGATATTAGTAATATCTCCTAATCGGTTGTTATAATATTTTGATTTTTCAGCATTATGTATAAGTTTTTGATATTGTTTAATTTTTTCTTCTAATTGCACATTTAAATCATAATTATTTTGTCTTTCTCGTTCTAAAGATCTTTCTACGCGGTCTAAAGCATGTTTTAATGATTCAATTTCTAATTCATAATTTGCTTTGATACTTTTGATTTCATATTTAGATTCTGTAATTGTTTTTTCAGCTTGTTCATTTATTGCATTAAAAATTGCATGCTCTTGCTCAGTTTGGTACTGCCAGAATGAAATAGCATTTCTACATGATTCAAATATCTCCGACGGTGTAAAACCAGCTATATTTGGTAACACCTCAAGCTCGCGAATAAACATGTCGGAATCATTGCATAAAGATTTACAAGCAGTGCAAATTTTTGATTTTTTAACATTATGTAAACAAGATTGACAAAATACATGTGAGCAATTTGTAATTAGACAAATTTTTAGAATATTGCGTCTACATTTTAAGTTATTGCATTTCAGACCCATGGGTGTAAAAGAAGAATTTATAAAAAATCTACATTTATTGAGTCAATAGTTAAATATCAGAATTTTTATAACCAAAAAAATTACTTTTATCAAATTTTTTGAGAACAAAAAGTAATTTAAAAAAATTTTTAGGCAACATCAAATTTGTAATGTTGGTTGATGTAGATGGATCTTTATAGTATGAATCTTGTCCTACATCACGGTCGTCTATGTGCCCGAACTCGTCTATATTAAGACTGTCGATATCTTTGGTTTGAGATTCTTCATCCCAATTTTCTAATAAATTAATCCTATCTTTTTTTAATTTTTCTGTAAATTCATCTAAATAAACACCCTCATGAAAATTTAAAGGGTAAGAATTGCAACTTTTACTAAAAATATCATCTAAATTTGAATTAAAATTTAAAGTAACATAAAACAAAGGTAAAAACATAAAGGCAATAAACTTCTCATTATGATAAAAAAGTACAGCTGCTGTGGCTACTTGAAAAGATAAGACAGAATAAATAATTAAAGTTACGGCTTGCTCCCAAAATTTGCCACCAGATTCATAGTGATTCATCGAACTATACAAAAAATCTCCTTTATAGAATAAATAAATAAGACCAAAATAGAATAAGCCTAAAACTAAAACAAAAGGAAAAATTAATGTATAAGAAAACAACATTGGAAATACTATTAGTAATTCAGGAAACATAGAGCCAAAGTCAAATGGTGGGGCAAATTCAGCCTGTTCTTTTTGTCTTCTAGTCTTTTTCATAAATAAATTTTTCAAAAAATGATTAACAATAAGAGGACCTGGTTTTAATAGCAGCATTGAAGTACCAAACAAAGATTTCTGTACTGCTGTGTTTATAAAAAGTACAACAGAAGTAATTATCTTGTTTCCTAATTCCAAAATAAATTCTTTAAAAGTTAATTTATCTGAGATTAATTCTATGAAACTTGAATAAATAGTTGCTGCAAAAAATACTGACAAAAACGCATTAAAAAACAAAAAATTTGCATATCTAGACATAGTTCTTTTTTGTGCGGCAGAATAGGAATAAATTCCTTCTAAATTAACAAGCGTTGTAATGACAATTGGAACTATAAGTAATAAGAGATTGTACACTAAAGCCGGCACAATACCTGTATAAAAATCTCTTATCGCATGATGGTCGTTAAAAAATTTTATTAAAAAACCATTTTCTTTAAATCTGTCTAAATTTACCATTTCAATAGTTTGAACTGCTAAATATGCAAAAATCACATTAAAAATAGTAAATGCAATATTTCCAAATGCTTTAAATAAAAAAGAAATTAGGCTACTTTTGTTTATATTTTCCCATATAATGTCATTGGGTGTTGGTGCATCTTGTGCTTCAACAGAAAAGATTTTAGAACCTATTTTGGCTTGTTTAACGATACTAGCATCCTTAAACTCTTTAAAAACTATAAAACCTTTTTTTGCTCCTATTGGAAAATCAAGAGCAAAATAAGGCCAGTATTTTTTCATGTGAAAAATATGGTAAAAAGAGAAAAAACTAGCATCTTTATCTATATGACCAGGAATGTATAATGCATTTTGCTCACTAACAAGTTCTGTAATATTTTCCGTATTATCTTGGTTTTCAAGATTTTTAATATACTCTTTTTCGTTTTTTATTTTTTCATAAAGAATCTTCAATTGATCAAAAAAAAAGCTTAAAGCCTTTTCGCGATTTTTTAAATAAGTTTTAAAGTTATCGTCGGTATCGGCAAAAATTTTAAGCATATGAATTTTTTTTGAATCATCAACATATTCATCAAGTAAAACCGAATTTACAGTATTTTCTAAACTTTCACTAAAATGTTGAAAGCTTTCTTCACAATCTTTTCTGTTTTTTTGTGACCATTTATTCATTTTTACTACAGTTTGATTTATTTCTTTTTCTATACTTTCAATAGTTTCATTCTTTTCTTCGTAGAGTTTTCTTAAAGAATATGTGTCATATAAAATGACAGAATTTTCAATTTCGCCAAGTTGCATTTCTTCGAAAAAAATTTTCAAATCATTGTCGGTATTTATAAAGTTAGGTAAATTTGATACTAAAATAGTTCTGTTTGATAAACTCAAATAGTCGGCAGCTTGTTCTGGAGAAGATAAATGTTTTGATAACTTTTTTAAAGTAAAAATGGAGGTTAAAATAGCAGGATTTCTTAAATATAGCTGTCTTAAAACAGTGTATCTCTTGTAATATATGTATATTAAGTAAAACACAAAAGCACTTATAAAATATCCGTAGAATAAAATTAAGTAATAACTCATTTCACTCGTTGATCTAGTTCCTATAGACATTCTTGTTAAATATTGTGTAGACGGTTTTCCCAAATAAAGAAAATAATTCCAATAAATATAACCGATGACAGGTAGTACGGTAATACATAAGAAAAGAAAAATTTTAAACAAAAATTTAAGGGTTTGCAACATCATAAAAGCATCTAGGCCTATCAGTGTAAGTAATTTGGTGTCTTCTACAGTAAAAATCGGTATCATCCAATTTAAATAACCAGTATAATTATAACATGGATGGCTCCGTTTTCCTTGAATATTCGGTGAATATAGCCATTTAACTTTAGGTCTTAGAAAAATGTATAAAAAAAATATGCCGGAGCTTAAACTAAGTTGTAATCCTGTATTCCATAAAAACTCATTATCAGCTCTTTCCAAAGGAGGTCTGTTTGTTATTCCTTGTAGAATTTTCTTTTCATTTGACATATAATACAAAGGGTTCGGATCTTTTATATTTTTTAATGGCCAATAATAATTATTCAAATGAAAAAGGAGAAAAGATTATTTTCTTCTTTCTCATTAAAAAATTATTGGTTAGATAGTTGTTGATAATAACGTTATATGGCGTGTTATAGTTAAGAAATTAAAAAGACTAAAAATTAATTCTAAATGACATTTTTTGCATTGAATAAATTAATTTTTAATTTAGTTGTTTGCACATTGTTATGTATCATTTTACCTTACTAGTAAATTTATATAACAGCCGCTATAAAATATTGAAGATTATTTTTTAATTAATAATTTTCTTTAACTTCATGCATAAAGAAAAAACATTACTAAACGTGTTTTAGTGCAAAAGAATTTATTGTCTTTGTTTTATTATAATATAAGAAGGCTAATGTTTTTTATTTATTTTCACAAGACATTAAAGTATTTGAAATAGACTTTTTAGCATATACAATAAATTATAAATTTTTCAATAAAAGTAAGGTCTTCAAGCGTAATTTTTAAAGTTAAAATATACGTTTCTAATACAACTAAAAAATATCTTTGTGCATTAATTATTCTATAGAATGTCGCAAAACACAAAAGAGACTTCAACAAACACCTTAAATCAAGAAATCTGCACGTATTTTAAATTTCAAAAAATGTTAATTTATGATTATTTAAGCTATTAAAAAATTAAACTCCAGATATTTTTTTAGTTTTTTAAAATATAAATTTTTTTGTTAAAAAAAGTGACTTTTAGTATTTAACGATGGTTATTATAATATAAGGTTAACAAAAATAGATGCCTAGCCTTATTCCCTATCATCTCACATGTTGATTATAACAAATAGATATCTAAGATTTATTTCATTCGTACATTACATCTGAGTAATAAAAGATCAAAATTGTTAAGAGAACGTGTTTAATTGAATAAAAATCAATTCTTACCGGTTTATTATAATTTTTGATAATTCGTCACACAACGCAACCAATAAACATCGGCGCGGAATATCAAAAGAAACATCTATTTGTGTATTCGTGCCACGCCATTTTTTATTCCTTTATAAAACATCTAAACAAATTTTTAGACATAATGAGACGTTATTTTAAGCGACAACAGTGCAATTTTAAGCAAGGTGCATTTCTTTATGTGATACATTGTAAAAAAGCTAATTTATAAATTTCTTTTATAATTTGAAGAATTTTTATTTACATATATTAAACAACTTACAAAAGGAGTTGATTTTTTTTATAAATGTATAATTTATAATATGTAGAGTTAAATTTATAATATATATGCTGTAAAAAATTTTTAAATAATTTAAATGTACTAAATTGCATTGTTTAATATAATATACTAGGATTAAATATGTAAATATACTGCTTTTATAGTTTCTTGTCTTGTTTTATTATGGTTAATTTTTTTATTAGATAAGATTTTTAAAGTAAGTAGTAATAAATTTTTAATGATGTGCTAAGGGGAATGAAATATGCACAATAAAGAAATTATAAATTCTTGGATACCTATCGATACAAAGTATTCCTTCAAATGGCTTATGTTTTTATTTATGTAAAAAATAAATTTTCGCTTTACATGCTTCTTTCTTGAGTGCTTAACATTATTGCTTTTTACTAACGTTACAAAAATAAACATAAATAATTTAAATGTGCATTAAATAAATTAGATTTAAATAGACTTTAAATACTTGCTATTTGTAATTGATATTTGTCGTATTTTACAATACAAAAAATGTTTGCAGACATTTTATATTATCTTACAAAGTACTCATTAACTTGCCTTTGTTTTTTTTTCGTTGGTTTAAATAATTAAAAAATATCCTTTCAAAACTAAATACGTCTTAAAATTTATGTTTTTTTTAAACCTTTAAAATGTAAAAACGTAATTTTTTGCATTTGTTTATATAACTTACATGTTATGAAAGAAAAACAGCTACAATTATATTTTTTATCTTTAATAAACAAAAAAATGTAGTTTATGTTTTTAAAAAATTTATTTCTTAATCTTCTAATTAATAAACTCTTTTATTTTTTCTTCAATCCTAAGCCCTTCTTTGTCTTTAGTTACATAAACACAACAAGCTATTACAGGCCTTTCTAAAGAGCAAGCCTTACCAAGAGCACGTTTAGAAGAAACATGCAAGAAATGTATGCCTTTGTCTTCGCAAAGTATCGGTAGAGAAAACGTTATTTCGGGAGGATCTGCATCAACCGCTATTATTACAAGTTTAGCAGTTCCTTTATTAATACATTTAGTAACTTCATTAACACCTTTCTTAATATTTTTTGATTTATACATAGACATAACCAATTCATATAATCTTTTACATTTATCTTCATTAACCGCCTTATAAACATTTTCGTCCATGGGTAAGAAAAATATTTTTATGTTATTTAAATATTAGTATTGCTTGTTAGATCTTAAAAATATTTCACTTTATATCTTGTTGTTATTAAATGCCCTTCTTATGGATAATCATGAAAAAATATGGAAATTGCGAAAGGCTTGTGGATTCAATGTCGATAAATTGAATGCAATAATTGAAAATTTTTTGCCTTTGGAAAATCATTTTTTGAATATTGATGAAAATTTAAAAACTTTTTGTTATGTTCCAAATGAGGCAAATTTTCAACTTCCGAATATTTTTTTAAAGACAAGTTTAACTAGCGCTTGTACAAAATACTTACAATCTAATGTAGAAAAAAATGATTATTCAAAGACTATTGATCTTATAATAGACGAATTGGAAGTGCTCAGGGAAGATTTTGATTTTTTAGAAATTGAGTCCCATGAAAATATTGCTGAAAATACACTAAGCTCTATTTACAAAAAACGTTATGGTTTGTAGCTTAATTTTTAATAAAAATTTTACTGTAATTTTTAACGACAAATAATTTGCGTTATCAACAAATAACCAATCCAAAATTAAAGGAGAACAAAATATATAAAAAAGTTGCAAAAAAACCTGAATGATAAATTTTTCTATTGAAAAACCTACTACGTTAATTAAAATTACAAAACTGGAATTCGAAACAAAATGTATTAATGACTCTATTTTTACTAAGAACATAGACTTCTACAACGATAATTTTGACGAATCTCGTATATTCAATAATTTAGAAGAAAATATGGATGAGCAACAATTATACCAAGAACAGCCTTTTAAACGCAAAAAATCTAATATTTATGTCAATGGACTCATTTATAAAAAAAATTCTAGAACTATGTCTGCAGAAAAAGATTTTAATATTTTAAAATCAACACTTAAATTTGATATTAGGGTTAAATATTTTAAGTTATTTGATAACGACGTTCTTGTATATTTTTTTTGCGAATTAGATGCATTATCTTTTTATATGCAATATTTTAACTTTTTTAAACTTTCTTTTCAACAATTTTGCAACTGGTCGCCAATTCAAACTGATACTTTCTCGGAAATAAAACCAAAAATTTTGTATTCAAAAAATAACAAAAATACAACAACTTGTAAGGAAGATACAGAAACTATTGAGTATGGGAGAAACAGGTTTTTTGAAGCTGTTGAATATTTTAATAATTTAAAAAGTAACTATAACAAAAATGATCTACAACAGTTTAGTGATGATGTGTCCAATAATATTACAGACTTTGCATTTTGCAATACTAAAGAATTGGCTGTTGGTAGTAAATCTAATAAAATAATGCAAGAAGCTTTTAAAATCATGTCAGGGGAAGAGCTTGATAATATTTACGACTTACTAGGCTATGATATTGCTGCTATATCAGCATCTAAACATGGTGCTTATACAATACAAACGCTATTAACTTACTCTACAAATATTTCTCATAAACAAAAGATTGTAAAATATTTTGCAAAAGAAGGAGAGTTTTTATTAGCTCATGAAATTGGAAATTACACGTTTCAAAAATTAGTAAGTTATAGCCAAAAACTAGTATGTAAATTTTTTATTAATAACTTCCAAGATGTCGTTCAATTAGAATTGGGATTTAAGGTGTTTAAAAGATGCATTCAATATTTAAGTCCTATAAAAGAAGATTTAATTAATTGCTTGACATTATATTCGTCTTTATCTACTGGAATAATTGGGCAACTAAAAGCATTAATTTTAAATTTATGAAATTAAATAAATTTTTTTTATGTAATTTACCGATTCTTCGTAAACACTTTCATTAATAAACAGCTCGTCATATTTGAGTGATATAAGTGATGTGGAACTAATAGTAGTTTCAAACAATAATATTACACTGAAAACATCTTCTTCTTCCACAACTTTTTTACCTAAAATTTTTGCATGAGTCTCAGATAAACGAACCAAACTTTCAAGCATACGTATCGTATTAAATTCATTTGGTCCTTCTTTTGTCTTTTTTTTTAAATAATATTTAAGTAAAATATTAGAATTCGCTTCATCTATTGCACATTCTTTTCGACGTATTGAATGAAGAAAATTCTTCAATTTGCACAACGTCCAAAGATGGCTAGGCTTAGCCTTATCTTCTAGACGAAAATTAATTCTATCAAGAATTTTATCTGCTATATTTTCGTCTTTAGTTCTATTTTTTGTATCAAATAATCCAAAAATCAGATCAAATCGACTAATTAAAGGTGTACTAATAAGCGTATTTTCTGATACATTTTTATTTTTATCATACTGATGCTTTGTGTTGCAAGCAGCGATAATTGAACATCTTGTATTTAAGGTCGATAAAATACCCGCCTTTGCTATACTTAATGTCTGTTGCTCCATAGCTTCTAATAAACCGCCCTTTTCATTTACTTTTAATTTATTAAATTCATCAATACAACAGATCCCCAAATCTGCTAACAACAATGCACCAGCTTCTAATCCCCATTCTTTCCCATGCTTAACCGCACAAGAGGTTAACCCGGCGTTACTTGTACCTATACCATTTGTCATAATTGCAGGTGTTACCAATTTAGAACAAATTTTTAATAATTGTGTTTTTGCAGTACCTGTATCGCCTAAAAGAAGTACATGAGAAAGCTGTCGTGTATTAGAATCAGTTTTTGATTCTTCTTTATATTGATTTGCTAAAACCAAAAGAAGTCCGAGTTTTACATTTGAATGTCCATAAATATCAGAAGTAAATGATTCAATTAAAAACTTTCGCTTATTAAAATTGCTTTTTGAAAAAAAATCAGCAAATTCATCTAAATCGTCATTTTTAAATTTATCATCATTTTCCGATTTTATTATATGTAGGCAATGTATATATAACGAAGTATTAATAAGTTCATTTACCTTTAATGGTTTCCATTTCAATTTTAAGATACCACAGATTATAACCTCAGATCCTGCTTGAAACTTTCCTGCAGATTCTCCTTCTAAATAAATTTCGTATAAGTCTGTTATGTTACTTAAGCTTCCTATATTTTGAACACGCAAAGTTTGTGTCTTTACAGCTTCATTTAAACATTCTTTATTGACAACAGAATTAGAACCACATGATTCACATAGTACACTAAATTTTAGAGAATTATCAATGTCGCTGATAAATCCTTTAAAATTACACTTAAGACAAGTATATTCTGTTTTTGTATTTTTAAGTAAAACCTGTCCAGTTTTGATTATAGTTCCACGTATGCCTATAATTTTGTTAATATTCTTAGAACTGAAGGACAAATTTTTAAAAAGAATATAAGGAACTTGATTTAACGATTTATAGTAAATGAAAGGAAACTCAACGGTATTATTTATAAGACGATTGGCCAATTCTGGGTTAGTATTACATAGTTCAATTAAATTTATACAATCATTCTCAAATAACGGCTGTGTGTTCATATGGGTAATTTAGTAATTTTTTTTCTTTTCTAAGAAATTCAGTTATCAAATGGGTATTTGCTCGATAGTACATAATGAATTTGTTTCGATATTTATAGTGCGTCTTGAAATTTTTATTAGACAAAAAAGATTGTCATTGTTTGTAAACATATTGGCTTATTATGATAATCTTTTACAATTATAAGTATTATACATATTTCGCTATAGTATTATAAATTGCTTTACATGAATATCTTCTAAGGTTAGTTAAAATAACATAATTTTTTAATATTATCTATTGGTTGTCATTTACTTTTAAGATTTAAAAAGCTATATCATAAACCCTAGGTTTTAAAAATATAACAACTTTCGTTAAAAATTGGTGTTTAAAATAGTTAAATTTTTTAAACTTTAGTTTTGAAATCTAATAATAAACTAAAGTCTTGTATTAAATTGCGCAGACAATATCAATCCTTTTTTCAAATTCTTTTTATCTTTACCGTTTTTATTCATTAAAAGTTTTATTAGAATTAATTTTTTAAATACTAACAACAATTAAAATTAGAATTAAAGAATTGTGACATAAATCATGTTTATTGTTAATAACTGTATCTAATCGACACAATCTACTATTGTAGTAACTTTTAGATATGCTAAACTAAATTATCAAAATAGTATTTTAAAGAAATAGAATGTACATTAACATTTTATTGATAAAATTTTATATAATCATAAGGCTTTTTATGTACATAGTCATCAAAATGATCATATTTTTCATTATCGTCTACATATTCATAATCAGATGATTCAAATGCACTAGGCTTTATTGGTGGAATAAGGCCATTATTTTCAACATTTAACCAATCAACAGTATTAAAAAAAACATGCCTTTTGATATCTTCAAATCCCCAATAACCCAACCTTTCTTGTCTTTTTTTTCGAAGCAATCTGCTCAATAAATCGGCGGCAGCATAGCTAACATATTTTGGAATATAAATATCAGTTTCTAATATTTTTCTGTAAATTCTGTTGGTATCAACATCAAAAAAAGGAGGATCACCAGTAAACATTTCAAATAAAATTACACCAAAGGACCAATAATCACTTTCTACGCCATCATCTTCATTCAATAATTTTTCGGGTGACATATATTCGGGTGTTCCAGAAATAACGTGTGTTTTTTCAGTGTCTTTAACAGCAAATCCAAAATCTGTTAATTTTATATGTCCAGATGGTGTCAATAAAATATTTTCTGGCTTAAGATCTCGATATAAAAGTCCCTTCTTATGAATAAATTCAAGTGCTAGTAAAATTTCAGAAGCATAAAATAGTGTAGCATATTCTGAAAATCTTCTTAACCTTCTAAGCCAATAAAAAAGTTCACCACCGCTAATATAGTCCATAACTAGCCCAATAACTTTTGAATCTCTAACAATACTAACAAGTTTAGTAATAAATGCGTGGCCGTTTACTGTACGAAGAGCTTTTATTTCATTTTCCAATTGGTCAGCTTGTCGCATTTTTAAAATTTTTCTTTTACTAAGTATTTTAACTGCAAAAAATACTGGTTTTTTTTGATTTAAAGAGACAAGGAATACTTTGCCAAAAGCTCCAGTTCCTATTTTTTTTATAAAATTAAGATTTTCAATTTCCAACATAAAAAGGGTAAAAACGTTAAATTTTTATATTTGTCGTTACTAATTTACGGAACGTCAAAAATTTCAAAAGTCAAAATCATGTAAAAATGGCATTGTTAGATTTAAACGTTAACTTTATTTATTTGGTAAGTTATATTCCAGAATTAATGTTTGTAAAAAGATTATTATTATTAACAGATGAAAACCAAAAAAGTTTAATGATTTATATAAAATTAATGGTCATATAGTTATATTTTATTAAAATTAGTAGTTGTTTTGCTGATTTTTAGTTTTGTTTCACATAATTATACTGAAATGAAATTTTATCAAAAAAGATGGTTGTGTATAAATATAAATCATGTAACCTATTAGTTTGACCTTTTTCTGTCTTCGTAAATTTTTCCTGTTTCAAAACGTCATTATTTTATTAATTTGTGTTGAAGTCTTTTTTCAATTATATCCCTTTAGGATGTTTTTCTTTTAAATTATATTAATTAACCGTTTGAGATGTTTAACACCCAATTGTTATTACAAATGTTTCATTTGATTTAATTTACCCATTTATAATCATTTTTTCTCAATAGAACCAAACTATTAAGCTTATCTATCTATCAAATAATCTGTCACTTTTTCTTGTCTATTTTTTAAAAAGAAAAGTCTAAATTTTTATTTAGACTTGTTTCCTGACATAGTTTTTTTTTAAATTTTAAAACCATCTAAAGTTAGCAAGCATAAATAAAACGTATTAAAGGGTATAAATCAATTTTTTAAAGATTTGATGATGGTATGTAATTAAAATTGATGTCTATTAAGTTAAGTGTTTAATATGTTAAAAGTAAATATTATTTTTTGTTTAAAATTATTCAAGTGTTAACATTTAAAATCACGAGCTAAAAATTTCTTTTATCTTAAAAAAACAATACAAAAATTTATTCTAGATTTTTTACTTAAAGGAGTAGAAGTTTAAAGAAAATACATTTAAAGTACAATGTAATTCGCTATTTTTAAATTAACAAGTATAAACATCGTGTCTTTAAAAATTAAAATTTTATTTTTATGATTTTAAAATGATTTGTTAAATTTAAATGTCAAACTCTTTATTATTTAAATTTTTACGACTTTTTTTTATAAAATTTATAGGGTTTAATTAACTAGCCACATTTTATTTTTCTTATATCAAGAAATAATATGCAATATTTTGGTTACGACACGGCCTTTACACAACGTATTAATTAGTCCATTATGTGTTCTATTGAAATTTTGTTATATTGCATGAAAAATTAAAATTTTTGGCTAAAAATATTAAACACATTAAAAATTTACATTTTATAAGATACAACAAAATAATCTGTGCAGTAAAAGGTTTATGAAAAGGCTTTAACACAATTTAAAATATTTTGTCGTAATTTACTAGTCGAACTTTTTTATAATTAGAAAGCGGCTATGATATTAATATGATAGTAATAAAATTATAGAAAATTGTAATCTTCAATTTTGTAAAATTCAAAGTACAAACAATTATTATTTATAATAAAATTATATAAAATAAAAACCAAATCTTTTCAATTATCGTATATTTATAAAGAAAGTAACAAAATAAGACAAAATTATTAACAATTTTTGGTTTAAACCATTTTTATAATAAATTTAAAATTTAAACAAATATAAAATTCTTGTAATTTTAAACTAATTGAGGCAAATTACAATAATTACATTTATTTGTTCTTGGTAAATTAATTCAAACATAAAATCACTTAATTTTAATTATTAGACAAAAAAGGTGCATGCTAATGATTTGTTATAATAACGTATAAATTAAATTTAATATTTAATATTTAATCACCAATTAAAAACCAACTATTAATATATTTTTTTATTGATTTCTTTAAAAATAATTATTTGTTACAAAATTCAAAAATCATCAAATTAAAAAAAAAATTTCAAATATAAAAAAGTTATTTGTCAATTTATCTCCTTATTGGCCAAGGCTTTTTAAATCGATTTTTTTGTTAGAAAATCAGTCTTTTATGAATGGACCGAGATACAAACAAGAAAAAAAAATTTTTAAGTTGTATAGCAATAAGATTCAGCAAGATTGTATTAAAGCATTCGAAGAATTTTTAAATTTATATACTATAGCTTATGAAGATGAAAACAGCTTGATGAGAAATAGTTTTTTGACTGAAGATCCTTTACCAAGTTTAAATGAAATAGTTAAATTTAATACTGAATATTACTTACAAATATGTGCAAAATTAGAACACTACGTAAAAAATTATTTATTTTATTTAAAAAAACCGAAATATATTGCCAATATTATAGCATATTATGCTTTTGCTCTGGAATATGGATTATTTGGAATGGAAATAAATAAGAAAAACGCCTTTCAATATTATAAGTTGTCGGCACAAAATGGTTCTCCTTTTGGTACCTTTAGACTGGCCCAATGTTATGAAAAAGGGGAGGTTTGTGCTAAAAATAAATATAAGGCATTGGAATTTTATAGATGTGCTGCTAAATTGGGATCAATACATGGCTTACATACTTATGGCACTATATTGCTACAGAATAATTTTGACATTGATGAACGAGAAGAAATTGCATTTTTTTATTTAAAAATAGGGATCAATAAAGCCATTAAAAGCTATCCCTATGTTTTTTATGATTATGCTAGATATATAGAATTTAAATTATCTGATAATGAAATCACTTTTGAAGTTGATTGGTGCTTTAAAGTTTATTTTAGAGGTGCACAAAATGAATGTCCGAATTGTCAATATAGAGTAGCGCAATGTTTTGAGTTTGGAGAGCTTAATGTAAATGTGGATCTTAAAAAAGCATTTTCATACTACAAAAGCGCAGCCTTCAACGGGCATATCGACGCACAAGTTAAAATCGCCCAAACACTCATTGAAAAAGGAGATAAAACACAGACTAATTATAACCTAGCGTATAATTATGCTATTAAAGCAGCTATTAAAGGAGACTGTAAAGCTATCAAGTACATGACGATTTTTTACAAAAATGGATTAGGAATTAAAAAGAATATAGCTGTTTCAAATTGGTGGGAAAAGATACTTTTTGTTCACTTAAAAGAGCAGAAGGTTGTTTTAAATCTACAAGAGTTTGAAATTTTAAATCATTTAATAATAATACCACTAGAAAATCGAAATGAAAATGTTTTTGAAGAATACGAAGGGAATGGAGAAATTATTAAAGTGATGTAATAAATTATAACTTTTTCTGATAAATCTATAATTAAACCATCAATTTATAATGTTTTGTCTTATGTAAAAAAGTAGTTTTAGTGTTCAATTTAAAATAAATGATTCAAAAAGGCAATTTATAATGATAAAGGCCGAATTAAATAATTTGCATTTATACATAATTTGAAAGTTGTACATGATGAAAGAATACTTAAGTAAGTTGCAGGTCAAAAAACTGCAGTTTAATATTAATTTGAAAGCTTAATAAATTATAAATTTTACAAAACTTTTACGTAGACAGAGAAAAAATAATATTCTACAGTATTTTGTTTACTGGAAAAAACAACTTAATGTTATAAGCATAAAAACTTCATAAACTTGTATCTTAAATTATACTTTAGTAACAATTTTTTTTTGCTAAAAAGCTATTTGGTTTCTAGTACTATTGTGAATTAAAAAAGCAAAAAATATTCCTGATAAATAAAATTCGTAACTTTACAACATGCTTTTACTATCATCTCAAATAAATGTCAATTGGATAATTTATTTAATTAAAAAAAGGGATTTTTAATAAAGGAGAATCTTTATATTATTGGTAACTTTAAATTTAAAATATTTTTTTGGAAAGATCCCACTATGGAAGAAGAAAATGTACAAAATCAAGCAATTTCACAGGCAGCAGAAGTTGAGAAAAAAGTCACCGAGCAGATAACAAATATTGAGAACTCAAAGCTAGCAAGTAATTTACCTACAGATGTACAATCTCTGCATATCACAGACATAATAAAACTGATATTTTTTACGGGAATTGTAAACTTTTTTCCGTTATTTTTAATATTTGGAACAGAGTTTTCTAGTAAATTTGATTTCTTACGAAAGATATTGCATCTTTTTTTTATTACATTTTTCGTAGGATCTATGTTAGTAACAATGTGCTGTTTTATAAGCGGTGCGCAGGAGATTTATAAGTTTGTGGTTGTGGTTATGTTCTGCAAAGATGTTTTAGGAGCTATTTTATTATTAATGTTTTCAACAACTAGTCTTACCAATTTAGTATTTGCTTTTTTATATTTAGCTTACATTTTAATTCAAGATTTAGCTTTATTATATTATATGGGTATTTATTTAAAACGATTACAATCTGATAAATATGATGATTATGGTGTTAAGATTGTTAGAAAGGAACAAGAAAAAGTTTAAAAACATAAATAAAATACAATTTACTTTTATTTTTTTGTAACCCATGGACTTTGACAAAATTGATAAAAATGAAATTTTTCTGTTGGTAGGGGAAGATCTTGACAAGATAAACTCTACTACATTAAAAACTAAAATTTTTTATCAGATACAATATTTTAGTGTAGAAGATTACAAAATAATAAATAGTCCTGTTGGATATAAATGTTCATGTGATTGTTTAATTTGTTGGCATATTTTAAAAGTTATTTATCATAAAGATAAGGCACTAACAGAACCAGTTAATATTGATGACTTTTAATTTTTATTATTTTTAAATAACAAAGTCCCAAATAAGTTATATCATCTTTCATACATAACATATTTGTATTGATTTTTAATACACCAATTACGCCATTTTGTGAACTTTGAATGTATTTAAAAATTTGAGGCTGTAAATTTCAAAACTTACATCATTTTAACTTGTTAGAAAATTAAGAATCCCTAATTATTATAAATCGTTATTTTAGTTAAATTGTCCAATACAAAAAGTTAAAGTGAAACTGTAAAATTTAATTTATTTAAAATTCAACTGATTCATATTTTTCTGATATCTTAATCTTATCTCCGTGTTTAGTAATTAGCCGATTATCAACTGTGCTTCTGAAAAATCCATTCTTATTGTTTAAATGTGAAGATTTGTAATGATGCTTTTTTGTGTGGCGAGGAAAAAAATATGCTTCATTTTTTATTTTTCTATCTGCTAAATATAAAATCTCCCAAAGTTGTTTTTTGGTTTTTTTACATTCATTAAATCTTAGATCTGTTATTTCGAGTGATAAAATAGACGAAAGTGCTTCTAAACACTTATCATCTTTCATAATATAAAAATTTGAGTCGCCATTGTACACAAGACTCAAAGATGTTTCAAAATCTTCTGCATTTTTTTTTAATACAATATTATCTTTTTCAACAGAAATTTTTAGATTTTTTATTTTATCTATAAGCGATATACTTCCATCTGCCATAATTTTAAGTTCTATTATTATAGGAGAATAAAAGTCAGAAGCTATTACACTTTCATCGTGTCTAGCCAACATTTCATTAGAATCATGTAGTCTAATATAATAACTTGGAAGAGCACATGCTACCATAAAAAATATCATATTAAGGTTACAGAGTATTAAAGATATAAAAATAAAAAGTTTTAGTTTAATCATGTGTTTTGTAATTTACCCTCATAACATCATTACTATATTGGCGTTTATTTTAACGTAAATATTTTATTTGTTAATTACTTATAAATATTTGTATTTTGAATGTAACCCCTGTCATATTAATGCCAACAGCTAAATTGATAAAAAACAGATCAATTACATATTATAGAAGAGAGCCTTTACATATTTTTAGTATTAGAACGGCGATGCTTGTATTTAGACTCATTTTATTTTTTATAGCAATGACACTTTCTTATGTTTTAAGTTTTGTTGTTTCTATTATTATTTACATTATATACTTCTTGCTATACTTAATCGGATATGATTAGTACTGAACGAAAATTGGTTGTTTAATAAAGAGGTTTTCTAAGTATATGTATTTGATTATTTTTTTCAAAAAATGTGTTATTTAGTTGTTTCATATAACTATTTATAATTTAATAACTTTTTGTTTATTAATAAAAACAAACAATATTTTTATTAAATTAAAATAATAATGTAATTTAGCTTTAATAGTTAATTTAATTTATCGGGATTTAATAGCAATTTTTTACCTTTAAAAGAGGAAAGTAAAGTGAATTAAAATTTCGGAGATATTAATTTAAATATTACATTTATTTTTTAAGTTTTTAATATATTTAAGATATAAAAAGCTACTTTTTTTATATTTGATAAATGTAGTAAACGTATGCAACTAGAATTTATTTAAATAAAAAAATACTTAAAATTAGACAAATTTTACTTTAAAAATCAAGCTTATTGTTTAACAAAGAGTTAAATAATAAAGAATTAAGTTAATGTTTGTCTGATCGCTTTGTTTTTCTACTTGCTTACAAGATATATTTTAAAATTATAATAAAACTATATCAAGTCCTGTAAAATTTCTTATGATTTTAATGTTTTATAGTTAAAATGTTGCTTGAAATTAAATATCTTAGTACTACATTAAAAGCCAACAATAAGTTTATCAATATTAAAATCTCTTAGATTTATATTAGAACTATTTAAAAAATTTGTTTGTGTCATAATCTCCCTTTTTTATTGCAAATAAAGCATCAAATTTGTAATTTTATTTGAATTTTTTGACAAAACTTCGAATTCAATGTGTTAATGAACATTACACAACAAAATTTGCAATTTAAAATTTTAGATTTAAACTAAAGTGTATTTTATATAATAAAGTTTTTGATTAATAAAATTATAATAAGATTTTAAATGTTTGCAAAAATAGCTATTTTTATGGTTTTATAAAAAAATACAAAAACTAGTTTGAATTTCATATTTTAATATATTTTTAGCATTTATTTTTTTGCTAATTAAATGCTACGAGTTTTAAGCCTAATTTTTTGCAAGCACATTATTACCCCAAATGGAAACTGGTTTATTGAGCGGAAAAATTTTGGAGAAAAAAAATGTCTCTCATAACACTATTTTTTTAAGATTAAAAGTTTCTAATGAACTTAAAAAAGATGATATTTCATTTTTTGTTTACATTTATGACGCAAACCGCAATTTAAAAAGACCATACACGCCAATACAATGGAATGAAAACGAAATTTGCTTTATAATTAAGATTTACTTGCGCGATGGTGTATCTGAATATATTAGCAAATTATCTATCAACGATATCGTCTACATTTCAAAGCCAACGCTAAAATTGAAATATTCTAACAAATATAATAATATATTAATGATATGTGGTGGAACAGGTATAACACCTATGTTACAAATTTTAAAACATGTAGAAAATGTAGAAAAAATTACTATCATTAGTTGTAATACCACCTTTAATGATACTCTAATTAATCGAGATATTATAAACTGTGACCTTAAAGTTTGGCACGTTTTCAGCCGAGAAAAAAAAATCTGCAACAGTGACAAAAATTATTTTATCAATAGCGACGAAAATAATGTGTTTAAAACACATATTACAAAAGAAATAATTGAGCACGTTACGCAATCAGAAAAATTAAAAAATTTTGATTTTGTGTATGTCTGCGGGCCCCCAGGTTTTATGAATGCAGTATCCGGAGATAAAACTGTTGATAAAAGTCAAGGGGTGTTAACAGGTATACTTAAAGAATTAGGCTACAATAGTAATCAAGTTTATAAATTTTGATTTAGTTAATACTTTTAAATATTTACTTTGTTCACTCGTTAAAATTTGCATCTAAATTCTTTGGTTTAATTAAAAAATAATTTTTTTTCAACATTAAGAATAAGAAGATTTTTTAAATTTGTATAATTTTTGGAAATTTATTAATTTATCTTATTTGATTTAGATTTTTACTTTCGAAGTATCAAATAGAATCACAAATCTATAAATTTTTATTTTACTCCACAATTTTAAAATCCAAATTTTTAAACAATGTGATATAAAATAAATAAAAGGGCTCTATAGGGTTCAAGTTAAAATTATGAACTAAAAAATTATAGTGAAGAGTGTAGAAATACAAATATTTAACAGTTTTGATTCAAAAAGAACAAAATATATTGAAATTATAAAAAAATTAAAAAATACACGAAATAAACAAGTAGAATAGTTACACAAATAATTAGGCTACTTAATAAAAAAGAAATTTAAATATCTAAGTGTAACATCAATGAAAAAAAAATTATACCTTAACAACACAACAAATTAAATTACAGTATCAGTCTTTCTAAAAAAAATCTTTTAAACAACAAATATAGATTATTTATTTGTGTATCATTTATTGCTTTTATTTAAAGATTAATAAAATATTTTACCACTAATTGATCTCTTTTGAGGGTTAAGTTTATTTTGGCTTTTATTTCTTTGCATTTTAATCACCTGAATGTAAAGTTATTTTCAATCTACATAATTCTCATCTTCCGATATTTTTATTTATATACTATTAAAAAGATTACCTTTATTTTAACAGAAAAAATCTTTTCTTTCAATTTTGTAAGCTACCTTTGTGTTTTCTGGGATATATTAATTTCTGTTAAATAAAGTTAAAGAACCTTGAAAAAAAAAATTATAGTGTTATTGAAATTCAGTATAATTTTTTAAGCACATCTTTTCTTGTATAAAAATTTGTTTGTTTATTTGTTTACACCTTATATCAAGCCATAGCTTATATCCCTATGTTGTCACAAGGAGAGATATTGCGAAACCCTTCTCGAACTAGATTCCATAGACCTTTAGTAAAAAAAGCAAAAAAGAGAACGTGGTGGTCAAACGTTTGTTGTTTGTGTACATTTCTTATACCCAATTGTATTCTAAGCTGTTTTGGGATGAAAACAGATGAAGTGCGAAATGCATGGCGAGAGAAGGTAGCATTATGCATGTGTATCGGACTTTGTTGTAGTGCCCTAACTTTTTTAACATATGGAATGTCAACCCTTGTTTGTAGAGGTAGTAATCAATATGTCTTTGGAAATATAGATAGTAAAAAAATAGGAAATATTGTTATTACAAATGGAAGCATTTATAAAACTAAAGACCGTGGCTTTAATCCAAAATTAATTTATACTGGAACTTTTAAAAATAAAAGTGAAGCTTGTAAGCGAGCCTTTGGAAAGCAACTCCTTAACGGTAAGAAAAGTCTTGATAAATTGCAACGAATAGCACCGATATGTTTTGATTATTCATACATCGTCAAAAAAAACTTTTTAGTAATTGACAATAAAGTGTATGACCCAAGTTTATGTAAAGAAAAAACGTTTGATAAATTTAAAGCAAAGTATTCCGGAGGAGAAGCTAAACAAGACTATTTGTCTACAGATGAATTTCAGTGCTTTAAAGATACATTTTTTACCGGAGAAGTTGCAACTAAAACTAAAGGGTGCTATCTTGCAGATACAATTTTATACATCACTACAGTTATAATTTTTAGTTTAATTATTGCAAAATTCGTTCTCGCTACAATTTATTCGTGGCATATGAAAAAAAAAATAAATAATTTTCCTGGTGTTACACCATCAATATTATTAGTGACATGTTATAGTGAGGATAAAGAAGGAATTAAAAAAACTTTAGACAGTCTTTGCAAACAGGATTATGACTATGACAATAAGTTAATTGTAGTTATAGCAGATGGTGAAATTACCGGCTCTGATAATGATAAGAGCACACCCGAGGTTATTTTAAGTTTAATTGAAACTGATAACTCTGAAGTTTTACCTAAATCATATGTTTCTCTAATGCCTGGGACTAAAAGACTTAACAGAGCAATGGTGTATTCAGGATATTATAAGGTTCAAGGAGAAAATAATTTGCTAACTAGAGATGAGTCAATGAAATGTAGAATTATATTTATAAGAAAATGCGGAAATGCTTGCGAAACATTTAAAGCAGGTAATAGAGGTAAAAGAGATAGTCAAGTTATACTAATGTCTTTTTTTTCAAAACTAATTTACAACGATAGACTGTCAGAACTAGATTTCGAATTATATAACAAAATGAAAATATTAATGCCACACATTGATCCTGTAGATTTCGAATGCATTTTGATGGTAGATGCTGACACTATAGTCAAACCTGATGCTTTGACTAAAATGATAGCTGTATTTGAGACAGATCCAAAAGTTATAGGCATTTGTGGCGAAACAATGATTTTAAATAAATGTGAAAGCTGGGTAAGCATGATACAAGTATTTGAATATTATATTAGTCACCATCTTAGTAAAACTTTCGAATCAGTTTTTGGAGGAGTAACATGTTTACCAGGATGTTTCTGTATGTACAGAATTAAAATTATAACAGATGAATATGGCAGCGTTGTTACAGGTCATCGTGTCAATGCAAAAAAAATATTTGATAATGAAGAAAATGAGAAAAATTGTTTACCTATACTAGCTAATCCTTTTATTATAAATTCATATTCTGTTTATGAAGCTAAGACACTTCATCAGAAGAATCTGTTGCATTTGGGAGAAGACAGATATTTAACCACCTTACTTTTAAAAAATTTTTTTAAAAGAAAGCTAATATTTGTACCACAAGCCAAATGCGAAACATATGTACCTGGAGAGTTTAAAGTTTTACTAAGTCAAAGAAGAAGATGGATTAATTCTACCATACACAATTTATTTGAATTGGCCATGGTTGATAAATTGTGCGGTGTTTTTTGTTGCTCAATGCGATTTGTTGTTGTTGTTGAATTGTTTGGTACGCTCGTTTTACCGGCTGCTATTTTATTTACTGGCGTCTTAATTGTGACATCAATATTATATGTTCCCGCTTGGATACCTATAATTATGTTGTTTGCCATCTTTCTATTACCTGCAGTATTGATCTTTATAACTACATTTCAGATCAGTTATATTTTCTGGCTATTTGTTTACTTATGCTCTATTTTTATCTGGAACTTTGTATTACCTGTATACGCTTTTTGGCATATGGATGACTTTTCATGGGGTGATACAAGAAAAATAGATGGATCAGATGATGATGAGGAATTAATAGAAAATGATCAACAAAAGATAATACTAAAAGAATTAGAAGATTTTAAACAAGTGAGAGAATCAAATTAAATTGTTGTAAAGTAATTTTGCTTGTTAATTAAAAAAAAATGTAATTAAATATTTTTAATGTTAAAAAATCGTTTATATTAAATTAATATTTTAAAAAAAACTTAATAAGTTTACTTATACAATAAAAATTTAAATTGCGAATGTAGTACAATTTAGTGAGAAAAAAATTTAAATTTTTTAATATTTTATTTATCAATTTTTTTAAAAGTGACAATAAACTACAAAACATAAATAGCGACAAGAAAATATCTTAAATGCGTGATCTATAAAGATTCATCGGGATCACTATAATTTTTTATACTTGTTTTTCTCTTTATTTTTGGTGTACTATCCTTAATAAAAAAGAGCTCTTTAGAAAATAACAATCCTAATTTAGATTGCTCATCTGTACAATTATTTACGTGTTCATTTTCAACACGAAAAAGTGCCCAAACAAATCTTCTAACAATTTCGCAACTAATAAAAACGAATTCGTTATCAATTAAATTAAAATCTTTACAGATCCACAAATATCTTGAACCAAAATTGTAAATTGCTCCTAAAACATAAAAATAATTTGGAAATAACTTTTTAGATCTAAATATTGTCCAATCCAAAAAATAATCCCATATCAATGAAAACGTAGATGCGCAAAAGGTAAAAAAAAATTTCCACCTTTGAATGCGATAATCTTTGTAAAAATAGGATACTGCTTGTAATGTTCCAGATATAAAGGTTAGAAGATATTTTGACATGTTTATTAAATGGGGAAAGGATGATTTAGTTTCCTTGTATCTATTTAAACATTGGATGATTCTAACTGTTGGCCATAGATTATTAAAGAACATAAAACTTAAGCATGTTTTTTTAATTCCTAAGTCTATTGAAAGCATTTTAAACGACGAAGTAAAGCTTTGGAAAACATCCGCAAAAAAAAAATTTTTAAAATAAACTTTCCTAAATCCTGATACTAACGTTCCAATAAAAACAGATATAAAATATAACCTAGATTTGTACCAGAGAATGTTAAAAGGCAATGCAATAATACAAATAGGAACGCAAACAAGTCCGTAAGCTAGAATATCAGGATATTTTTTAATAAAAATTAAACAAGAAAGAAAAGTCAAATTTAAAGTTAAAGTAATATTCAAAAGAAAATCTATAGGTGATAAATTTGAAATTACATCAAAATTAAAAATAAGATTGTGATTTATATCATATTTTATAAATAATAAATCGCATACTCCAAATAGAAAAGCGCCAAATTGAATCAGTCCAACATTGTATGCAATTCTTTTTACAAAAGGATTTTGGTCTAAATCCGCACAATAAATAATAACTACCAATGCAGTTAAAAAAACACCGATAAGAAAAGTTAAAAAGGGGTCAGGTCTCAACTTTTTGCCTATTTTTTTAAAAATAATTTGTGCTTTAAATTTATCATTAAGAACAAATACCTTTTTGTAAACAGATCTAACTTCTTTTTGCATTTTATCTATTTTTTTTGATTTACGAAAATGTGATTGATGTAATTTTTTTAAAAAATCACTACTAAATTCGTCACTGCCAATTTTGTTAATATATTTTCTAATAATGATAGATAATCCCATATAATTTATATCTCTATAACTTTTTACCGAATTAATGGCCTGTAATAACTCATGAAAAGCCTTCTCTTTTTTTCTCTTTTCAAATGGTCCATTAATTTTGAAGGTGTCAAAGTTCAGCATTCTCCTTTTTTTATTATCCTTTTTTTCAGGAGATTTAATATCTTCAACAATTTTTATGTTTTCGAAATCGCTCTCTTCACCACCAAAACTTAAATCGTTTTCTCTTTCTACTAAACTTTTTGATTTATTAATTTTGTTTGAGTACAATTCATCATTAATTAATTTCTCCTTTTTTTCACTAGATGTATTAATTTTTTCAATAATTTCGTATTTTTTTTTATTATTTCTATTTTTTGTCTGATTTTCTGTAAAATTTTCACGTACAATTTTAAATAGTAAATTTCTTTGTTCATCTGTTTGATCTTCAATTCCATTAAAAAACTCTGTTATTTTAGTAAATTCACTTAATAACAAGCTTTTAAATCTGTTTGTATCATTTTTTAAATATTTTATTAAATTGTTATATTGTATATAGAAATCCTCCCAGCCTTGTAATTTGTTAGATTTAAGTAATGTTGAAAATTTCATCTCTAAATATGGGTGAATTATTATCTGCGATTGATAAAGGAATACTTGAAATTGAAAATGAGTTAGACAGGATGAAAAATAATATAAAGATTATAGTGAAACAATACAAAACTATAAATCTATTTAGTGAAGATATAAAAAAAATATTTTTAAATAAAAAGTAGATTTTTTGTTTTTTTAAATCTTTGATTTTTCTAAATTTGTACTGGTTCACATATAATTTGTTTCTGGTTTTGGAATATTCTTAATATACATTGTTTAATATCTATTTTTCTATATCTTATTATATTTTTTATAAATTCTCTTGATGAAATATTCGTTAATGCTAAATAAATGTAATATATAGAATAAATACATAAAAGCATATAAATAAACAAAGTGAAAATAAAACATATTCCCGATAAACAAAATATTAATTTAAATATAATACTTTTTGATGTATCAATAAGAACTATAACAGTTTTAAAAGTAAGCATTAAATAGTGTAAAAAAAATGTTATAGAGAATATATAGAAATAAAAATACTTAATAGTATTTCTTGCAACGCACCTTCTTAACCAGAAACAGTGATGGTCCATTTCATGAACACAACAATTACATTCTCTGCAGTGACTTATTTTTTCTACTTTAAAAATATTACATTCTTCACAGTATTTATAAATTTTTTCTTGGTCCTGTATTTTTATCAATAAAAGCCACCGATTATCGTTAAAATAAATTTTTCTTTCTGTATTTTTGGTAAATTTTACAACACTTTCTTGATTTAAATTTTTAAATTTTTTGAACACGTAACCTGGATTTACAAAACATAACTTAATTAAAGCCAATAAATTAATAATCATAATAAAAAGCATAAAATTATGTTGTAGTAGCGACGATTTGCTTAATATGATATATTGTATATCTAGTGAGTATATCAAAAGATGTAATAAATAAATCCAAATGTTTCTGTAATTTTTTTGTAGTGACATCTTGACCCCTTTTATTTTAGTTATAAAAATTAAACAACCAATTGTTATTTAAAATACATTTATAAGTAAAAAATTCATTTAGTAATAAAAAATATATGATTAAAAGTTATTTTCTTAAACATTAAATTCATTTTTTTGAAAAATATGTATTATTTTAAACTAATATTTAAAAAATTATATTATTCTTTTTAAAAGATTCCTATACGTGGAGATAGATAAAATTTATGAACAATTTTTATAAAAATTTTAATTTAAAATTGTAAAGTATACATGTTTAAAGTCGGTTTTTTTTACAACAACAAAATTTATTAACTTTTTATAAGTAAATATTTAAGTAAAAATGCATAATTTTTGTTTCATAGTTATTATGACAGCTGCAACAACAATAATATGAAACAACTTAAGATAAATTTGTTAATGTTTTTAATTAAATAACAATGTTTCCTATTACCAGAACATTATATACTACCAAAACTGTTTTAGTACCAAGATTTAACACTTATGATGAAGTAATTGACATTAATGCTTTTGTATTTTACTATTCTATACCAATTTTGCTTTATTTTTTATATTTATCTTTTGCCTGTTTGTCGATAGTTTTATGGATCTTTTTCATTTCAAAATTAAAAAAAAGTCTTATAAATACAGAAACAATATTAAGTAAAACAACAGTAAAGAAATATAAAAAAATCAATAATACAGAAGCGTGTTCTATTTGTTTAGATTTTTTTGAAGAAACCAATGATATTAGAATTTTGGGATGTAAACATTTTTATCATGTGATTTGCATTGATTCATGGTTAATTAACAAATTAAGCTGTCCCGTGTGTAGAATTTCTCCAAAAAGCAATGAGTCTGAAAATTGTATGTGATAGGTTAAGTCTTATTCAAAATTATAAGCTTTGTGTAAATTGTTCAGTTTAAAATTTTGGTGACTAGATTTTATAAATTTTACATTAAACATTTTTTTACTTAAATATAAAATCTAAAATAAGTTTTTTTGAAAGCACTAGAGGATTTTCGAACTTTATATTTCTATATTAAGTAATAAAACAAAATTGTTGTACAACACAACTTCTAATGCTGTTAAAAAACTTTATTGAATTATGATTATCAATAAAGAGTATTCTAAGAAATTTTAACATCATAATTTCAAAAAAATTTTTATTCTTTAATTTTTGAACATCCAAAAGAATAAATCTTATAAAATTAATACTACTCTCACATTTCAAGATTCTTCTTATTAATATTCTAATTAAAAACTTAAGGTGTTTTTTTATGTTATTGATTACCAGTATGCTACAACTTTGCTTGTGACTTATATTTGTTTTCTGTACTTAAATAGATTGGTGACTAAATTAACCCATGGTAACATGTACAAGATTATTTTAAATTTACAACGAAAATAATTCCTTGCTCCTTGTTTTTTAATATAAAAACCGATAACGACTATACTTCATTTAAAACACAAGTCAAGCTTCTGTGGCGCAATGGTTAGCGCGTTCGGCTGTTAACCGAAAGGTTGAGAGTTCGAGTCTCTCCAGAAGCGGCTTTTTTGATTTATTTTGTTGTGAGTGCATTTATATTAGTAATATTTTTTTTAAAAAGCACTATCTTTTATAAAATTAGTAATAAAGACGCCTCATATATTTTTTTAGTTGAAATGACTATTCAAAAAAAAATTAATTAATATAAATACATGAATTTTAGATTTAATTTATTTATTAAAATTTTACGATTTTCAATCAAAATTAAGCCAATTAGATATTTATTACAAATAACTTCCAAAATCTTTATACAGCTACTATTAGAATAAATGTTTTGGGATTAATTATACTATAAAAAAAATAGAAGTATGAAAATAAAGCACAATTTACAAGCCTATATACAAGCATAAAATTAAAAAACTGCGGAAGAATGATGCTTTTAAATAAAAAATATGATTTTTAACATGCATTATTTTAATGTGCAATGTCTTTATAAAAATATTTTTTACAAAATTTTAAACAGCATTTTAATAATGTTAATATTTATTTAAAATTTGGCTGTTTACTAATATATCAAAAAAATGATTTTTTTTAATATAAAGATAAAGAATATTGCAATTGTTAAATTATTTATTTAATTTTTATAAAATTATTTTACTATATGTAAGTTTCTAATTTTTTAGTGATCTAATTAAAAATCCATTTTGACATTTATCCGTTTATTATTTAATGGCAAAGGCTTCCTAAGATATCTCTAATCTCCTACTACTTAAGATAAAATAATTAACACCATCAAATTTATTAAGTCTTTTTTAAGAAGGTTGCAATGTTCTTTACATTTTTTATGAGTGACTGAAGTTTTTAAAAAATTTTAAATAATTAATTTAAAGAATTTGTTATATTAATAAAAATTTGTTAAATTAATTTATGTAGAAGTTTTATTATAATGTATTTTATGTTTCATAAAAAATAAAATGACAAATTTACCAATTTTACTTACAAAGATTCATAAAATTTATCAATGCATCGACTGCCTCTGCTGTATCATCATCCTGCACCTTATCTTGTTGAAAGTTATGTGCTAAGTTTTTGTTTGCATAAAAAGGATTATTTTGGCCTTTTTTTATATTATTTTTCACATACATATGATTCATTCTCATAGAATGTTCTTTAAAAAGGTTGTAATCTTTTAGTATTTCTTGTTGACTATACTTAGGAAAGTATATTGGTTTGTAATAACTATGCACAAATCTGTCATTATTACGCAACTGTGGTATAAAAGGTACTTCTTTTTTATTTCTGTTCCTGTGTTTAAAACTGTCCGTCTTAAATTCATGTGGCCGATTTTTTTTATGTATCTTTAGATATAGTCCACACGCGTTACATAGATAACTTCCATCATCTCCTCGTCTCCAAAGTGGTGTTGTGGTAGTTCCGCAATTTTTACAATATCCTCTTTTGTTTCCTATTTCTTCTGCAATATTTTTCATTTTGGGCTTTACTATTAACAATATATCAAAAAATATTTATGTTTTCAAACAAGTGTAATATTGTATCATCAGTAACAAACTAAAAAATAGTTTTAGATACAGAAGTAAATTCTTGAAAGATTAAAATGTAAATTAATTTTGTGATTGTTTATTAATAATGTAAAATGTAAATATAGAGGGATAGTGATACACGTCAAGATTATAAAACCTTTTAAAACGTGTTTTAATATGTTTCATTTTTAAAATTTATCTTATCAAATAAAATAAAAAGGTTTTATAAATCTAAGATTTATTTCTTTGTTATTTCTTAAAAAAAGAAATAATAAAAATCAACATATACGGGTTTTAATTTTATCAAAACAATATTGGTTTTAAGTTTAATATTGTTTATTGTTGCCTTTAATATGATGATTCATTTAATAAAACATTTGTATAAAGTAAAAATTAGTCAAATAACTTATTTATATTAGAAAAGAATCGTAACGTGTAATGATATTAAATAAATTTATTAATGCTATAGATTAATTTTGTATTTAAATCTATTTTTTAATCTGATTGACAATATTTTATAATTAAATTATGCTATTTTATTTTTATACATAGCATAAAGATTAATTTCCAAACAACAAATTCCAATGTATTTTCTTTAAACTTAATAAATAAATTATAAAATAAATAAAAGATCAAATTTAATTTTTATTTATAAATTTTAAGGGTATAACCTATAAAATACCATTCGTTAATAATTACATTCTATGATTGTTAACAAATCTTTTTGTTTACATTACATTTTTCCATAAACTATAATATCTGCGACTTTATAATAAGTACTTTAAAGCTTTTACAGCGATCTTTTTAACTTTAACCAAACTTATTTAAAACAAGTTTCGCATGTAAACGTAAATATAATAAGCTATAGTATAATCTTAAGACGATTCAGTATTTAAGTAAGCTTATGTTTATTGCCCAAAACAATATAAAAAATCGTAAGTTAACTACTTTAAAACAGCAATTTATATTTATTTTAAAATAAAAAAGTTTATTTTTTTGGCTTTTCAATTTTGTAAACCACTTAAAAACAAAATATTAATTTTTATCTTTTTTACCCACATTCTTAAAAAGTGTTTTTGATTAATCACAATAAATGTTACAAATTAATTTTTTTAAAACATAGCTATCAAAATACAGTTGTAACTAAATTAAGTTGCTGGTTTTATTTTCCTGCCTTGAAATTAATTAAACCATAACTAAACTTTTTAGATCAACAAAAAATTTAATGCTCTTTTTCCGCAAAATTTACCGATTAAATTACAAAATAATTTTATCATTACTGGTTAGGTTAAATTGTTAAAAATTTTTAAACAACAATTTGGAATGTAGAAACAATCCCATTATTGAAAATAATATAATTAATACAAAGACAACATGTCATTAATCAATCCTTAAAACAATAAAAATATTTATGGAAAATGGTAAAGTATTAATTGGCAAAAAAAAAGTAAAAACATTTAAGTTGGTGTTATAAAATTAAAAAAAATTATCACACAGAAAACATCGTCTTTGTTGATGTTTATAACTTTTTCATAATTAACCTTACACATAAACATACTTTACAGTTATCTACAAATATTTTAAAATTATAAATTGATTAAAAAAATATATGCTGCAGACAACAATCAAAACTGGCTAGTCTTTTATTAATACATTTATATTATTAAATGTGGTTTGCAAGTTTTATAACTGTATTCTGCAACACATGTCTATAAATAAAAAATTTGTGGAAGGCGATTGTATGATTAAAAAAAATATAGTTTATTAGATTATCAAAACAACCATATACAGCACAACAATAAAATTTTATAAGATGTTTCAACTCATAAAATCAAAGGAAATTAAATATTTTACTATCTTTTACAGTAATGTAAATAATATTTTATTAATTTAATTATTTTAAAATTGCTTTTTTGTTATATTAGAGCTTTCTGCTAAAAAACTTTAGCGAAAGTTTTATTTTTAAAATGTGAGTAATATTGGTTTTTCTATAATCTATGTTCTCTTAAATTACTTGCTTCGAGTTCGACATTTTTGTTCTTGCTATTTCTCTTTTTTTTATTTTTGATAAAAATTAAATAATGCAAGGAAGGTACAAAGAAAAATAAAGTAGAGTGAGGTATATATCACACGTTTTTGTACTTATTTTTTAGTATAGAGTATTTGCTTTTAAAGTTATTTTAAGTGAAGATTATAGATTAAAAATAATTATTTTAAATTTTTTTATTTGTTGTTATTAATGTATGCAAATATAAATATGCCTCTAAAAAATTTTACTAAAAATTCTTTTTTACAGCATCTTTTTTATGATCTGGCTTATGTTCCTTTTTTTAATCTTGTCTATGTATCATAAAAATATTTAAAAAAGCATAAGTTTTTTATCAAATTTTAATTAATGTTTTAAAATTAACCCTATTTGTATTTATAACAGTTTACTAGAATAATTATAAATTATTAAAGTCTATTCTTTCTCAAATAAATACATAAACCTAAATATTTACAATTAAATAAAAACCTTATATCCCTGTTAGATTCACAAAATATTAACAATGTTTTTAATAGCATTGTTAAAAAATCATACTAAAGTATAAAATAGTATACAATTTCTTATTACATATACCGTTTGGTGTTACTTTCAGTTAAATAAAGACCATAAAAAATGTTTTTTTTGTTAATTGCTTATATTGTTGTTTTGTACATTATATAAACATAACAGTAAGCATACAATTTAACTGATTGCTAGACATTTTATGATATTTTTCTTTAATATAAAATTATTTATATTTTTCTGACCCCTTTTGTATGGCCTTTCTTTTTTATCACAAACAGTCCTACAAGATAAATTATCAAACGGATACAGGATCTGTAACATTATACAAGAAAAACATTAATGCAATAGCTAACGAAATAATAGAAAACATAAATTTTAATTTTATTCTTGGAATTATTTTGATTGATAAAGTAGAACACTTGGTCATTGTATTGGAATCTGAACAAGCTGGAATTTTTACTGGAACAGATATTTATAAAATAACTAAAGTTGATTTTCTGCCGTTAGGTGAAGTAAATGACAGTGATACGATTTTTTATTTAAAACACTTAATTCATACAAACGATTTTTATGTCGTTAAAACCAAATGCTTTGAAGAAGAATTTTTTTGGAATTTGCATATGGAGTCTATGCTCCTTCGCTACAATAAATCCAATAACGAAGATTTTATTTTAAAGCATGCTCCTGTAAAAAGAAGACATAACTTTTTGTTAGCGTATCTTTTTTGTGGCTATTTCACTACAAAAACGTTCAGAATTGATGAAGACTTTTACTCAATGAAATTATTATCTCTCGTTTCTGGTAGTAAAATGGGGACAAGACTTTTGTCTCGAGGAATAGATTTACTTGGTAATGTTTCATTTTACGTTAAAACAGTATTTGAAACAAAGCGCAATAATAAAATAATTTCTAATATGACACTTATAAGGGGATCAGTACCTTTGTTTTGGAAACAAAAAAATAAAGGAATTAATGGTAAACTTTATTTTACTGGAAACCGTAAAGAATTAGAATCATCATTTGATAAGCATTTTAAAAAATTGCAAGAGCAATTTGGAAAGATTTATGTTATTACTTTACTTGGAGATAAAAAAGATGAAAAGATTTTAAATGATGCATACACAGATTTATTGACCAACAAAAATATTAAATTTTTATCATTCGATTTAAATTCATTTATAAACGATTTTGATGACTTGAAGAATTTATTTTTTTGGCATCTCGATAAAATTGACGACCATGATCTAATTTATCGGGTCAATTGTATTGATTGTCTAGACAGAACAAATTTGGCGCAATTTTTAATTTGTAAATATAGGTTGGATAAAATTTTAAAGAACCCTACATTTGATAAAGTTCTGCAAGAATGCTGGACTGAAAATGGCAATTCTCTTAGTAATTTATACACGGGATCAGATGTTATGAAGAAAGAACTTTCGCTAAAGCAAAAAAGAAGTTTTTTTGGGATGATTGATGATTTATTTATTTCTGCTACACGATTAATTAACAATAGATTTACAGATAAACAGAAAAATAAAATGATAAATATACTATTAGGTAAAAAAGATTAATGGCGCGTTTAGATATTTTTATATTAGTATTTAAATGTCTGTTGTGGTAATTATTTAAGTTTTTTATATAGAATATTTTTCTGTCTTTACAATTGTAACATAATTTATGCTATAATATTTTTTATAAAAAATTGATTAAAATTTTTTTTTTATTTTTGTTTGCAAAAAAAAAGATGATGCTGTTTATTCTGTTATAAATCTTTCATTTATAGTAAATATTATGTTATACATAGAATTAAACAAATGCTAAATATTACTATTTGTTTTGATTTATTTAAACCGAGAATTTAAAAATCCAAATAATAAATTGTAAACAGCTAAATTTAAATTTAAAAGCTAAGCTCTAGAAATTATTCGCTATAGCGAACAGCAAATAAAATTTGCAGCTTATATTGAAAAAATATTTACCCTTAAAATTAATATGAAATCGCTTTTTTTATATCAGTTTTACTGCCAAAATTAAGCGTATTCTTGTAAACCCACAATATTTAAAGTTGTCTAATCTATAAAATGAACTAGTTTAAAACATTTTTTTAAGAACTTTTACAAAAACTGATTAGTTATTTAACAAAATCTATTTAAATATCAAATTATTATCAAACCAAAGGCAGAATTTTTTACACAAATCATATGATGCCTTACTTACATTAAAAATTTGAACCAATAAATACTAAATGGTGTAGAGTATAAAACAATTTAAAATACTGTAAATTACAGATTGTATTTTCCATCCCCATGCTAAATTTTTTAACAAATTTCAATAAAAATGGTAAAATTTATTCATTTGCTAAAATTGTCAGCATTGGTAATTTTGAAGTTACAGTTGCATATAAAAACTCATCGAAAATAATTAAAACAGAACAAATTTATAACAAAAAAGATTGGGTTATATTTTATGGATATCTAGAAGAAAATACTATTTACCCAGAATACATCGAGAATATTTCTGGAATTGATGTTAATATTCTCGAAAGGTTTATTAATTTTTTAAGCATTAATTAACAAATTCACCACAAATTAATTTTTTGCCTAGTAATTGTTTTTCAAATGATTATAAATTGTCTGTTGTGTAAGACTTATAATAACAACTAATAAAAGACATTACCTATACATCATTTTTTAAAGTAAATTTTATATAATTATATTTGTTTAAATTAATAGTTTTATTTTTTACTTTCAGAGGTTATCTAATTATTTATTAATTTTCACAATGCATTGAATTCTTCTTTGTTGTTCTCTAAAGTACAAAATATATATGTAAATATGCTGCCTTTTAAGCATCGTTGGTTTAATGGTATAATTATCGGTTGCCATCCGATAGACGTGGGTTCGATTCCCGCACGATGCATTTTATTTTTCAAATATTATTGTAAATGGACCCTGATTACAAACATTAATATTATATTTCCCATTTATCGGCAATTTTTTAATAATTCCAAGTTTATAATTATTTTTAAGTTTTGTAAAAAACAAATCAAAAATTTCATTAAGCCGGCTTATTTCTAAGAAATTGTTTTTTTCATAAAATGCAGTTAAAGACGTGTCAGACAATGTTTCTTGAAATATCAATAAAATATCACCATTCGCTTCGCTTATAGTTTTAGTCCATCGATCATTAATTTTAATTTTTAACAACTTATTAACCAAATTATCCACTGTTTCTTCTGTATCATGTTTAGATATTCCTAGATAAATTACTATTCCGCACCCAATAACACTATAAATCTTCTGTTCATTTTTACAAATAGCATATTTAACTTTTTGAAAGATAATTTTCATTAAAAAGGGTAATATTTGATTATTGAATTTATACTTAATGATATAAAGCTAAAAAAGTTCGATTAACGTTACAAAATAAATTTCTAATTCCTTCATAGCCTTATCGGAAACTTAAATTAAATTTGAGTTAATTGCATGACTTTATAAGAATTTTAAGATATTTGTTTAGTTTCCCCTATGCGAATAGTTATACAAAAAGTAACAAACGGAAAGGTTTTATTTAAAGACGAGATAATAAGAGAGATTAACGATGGTCACATATTTTATGTAGGGATAGCGGCCGAAGATACAGAAGAAAAATTGGAAGAATATAAAAAATGGATTATTAAATTTATTGAAGACACTAAGCAAGACGCGCTTTTACTTTCACAATTCACGCTTTTTGCGCAATTTAATGGAAAAAAACCTTCATTTCACAATGCAAAGAATAATAATGAAGCACGTAAAATGTTTGAAAAGTTGGTAGATGAAGTTAAGAAAAATATCAAAACAAAAGTAGAAAGTGGACTTTTTGGTGAATGTTTAGATATAATTTATTCCTCTGAAGCTGTAGAAACTATTTACAAAGATTTTAATAAATAAAATATATTTTTTAATTAAATTTTAAATACATAATCATATACGTACGTATAGTGAACTTGAATTATATTAACAAAATTTTTATCTTTAAATGCTATTTGCAATAAAAGAAAAATCTTTTGAAAATATTTTATTGTCTTAAAATGTTAATCCTCCTTAATTAAATAAAATAATATTTCTAATTGTAAATACTTATGTGGGCTTTTAAAAATCACTTATAACTTCAAAAATAGTAAAAAAGGGCTATTTTATCATTACTTTGTGTTAAGCCATTTATTTTAATCAATAAAAAATAAATTTATAAATGTAAGAAAATATGAAAGATTAAAATTACGCAGAACTTTTTGATTTTGTAACTTTAAAAAACATTTTTAATTTATTTGTGCAATAAATTAATTTTAATTAAAAAATTTAATAATATGATAAACAAATAAAAAGTAAACTTAAAAATTTTTAATTAATTTATCTCAAATTTTAATATCATCTTGTTTTCTATTCAAAAGTTTGTTTAACCGTCCACTCTTAATGCTCATTTGTAAATCATCATAACCACCCAGCAGCCTTCCATTAACAAATATTGCTGGAAATGTTCTGTGATATTTTTCCCTAACATGCTGAACAAGTTCTGGATCAGATTTTTCTTCTACTGGATTATAATTTAATTTTAGAAAGTCAAGTGTGTCAAGTGCAGCTTGACTGAATGGACAATGCTTCCTGTACACGATAGTAACTTCTCTCTGTTTCAACTTATCCATGAAATCATCTAAGCTTTTTGTAAAAATAACATTTAATAAAACTATGAAATTTAGCATTTTGTTTTTGTTATTGAATTAATTAAATAGTTTTGTTTTAGGATGAAACATACTTGGCCACTAATAATTACATTTCTAAAAATTTGTTTTATATTAAAACAGGACATTTATTACGATGAAATTGATAAATAATATGAAACTATGTATATCTTTGCTTGTTTTATTATTTTTTGCTGTGATAAAATCAACATTGAGTACACCATCACAGTTCTTAAAGCCCGGTGTTGTAGCAATTTTATCTAAAAAATGTAAGCACAGTAAAAAGCTTACAGATTTTTTAGTATCAAATAATGTTCCACATACAGAAATTTATCTCGAAGATGATTCTGAAGCTTTAAATTATGTTATGAAAGAAAAAAATGGTAAGGTACCATGGGTATACGAAAATGGGCAATTTATTGGAGATGGAAATGCATTTATAACACAATATATAAAGTCAAATAATAATGTTAATAAACAAATTGGATTATTAAGTCTTGACAGTATCAAGCAATGTACACTTTCTGATAATGGCGTAGATCACTCTATAATTAACGATTAAACATTTTACCCTAATTATGATATTTACACTTATTTGTTTTTATTCAGTTGTATTTTCTTCAAATGCACAAATTATTTATACAAGCTATTTTACAGATGAACAAGGAATAAAAACTTTAGACATGGTTAAGGATAAATATTTAGAAGTACATAAAGCTTTCTCAACAAAGACAGTAGAAGACTGGCAGATATTACAAAGCTGCAATAATTTTGAGATATTTGAAATAACCTGTGATAAAGAATTTATTGGATCAGTCTATTTAAAGAGATGCAAATATTATAGCAAAATTAAATCACTATTTAAGACTTATATGAAAGAAGAAGAAGCTGTAGAAATTTATTCTTTGTATATTAATGATAAGTATAAAGGAAAGGGGTATTCTAGAAAACTTTTAAACTATGCTTTAAATGCAGTGAAAAATCACTATAACTTAAATAACAAATTTATTATAGGATTGCATTTAAACGAAGAAGATAAATACATGAATGTATCGTTTTCTTTGTATTATTCAATGAATTTTATAAAATCAACCTTTTTAGAGTCTGGCCCAACAGATTATGCACCTATCTTTCATAAATCGAGATATTTTATAGATCCACTAAAACTTGTTAAGAATCCTTCTCTATGCAAAAACAAAGGTATTTATTTTGGAATGTTTACACGATATAATGAATTCCTTCCTTTTAACACTATTAGAAATAAAGAAATATTAAAGGTTGGTGAGCAATTAAGAAACATTTTAAAAATGAGAAAAAAATAAAAAATATTTTAATAAAATAAAAAATGAATTAAAAAAATTTTTAAAAAAAGAAAAATAAATTTTTAATTTTATTTTTGTGTGACGACACTTTCTGACCTTGCATCTTTAAGTTCTCGCTTTACAAAAATTTTTTTTATAGTTTTAAAAATCATACAAGACCAATAAATATGTAACAGATATAAAATAAACAAGCACACACCGCAAATTACAGTTTCTATATTTAATGATTTTTTGATAAAAAGCACAGCCGGATATAAAATCCAATAAGGATAAAAAAATATGCGACTTGTTATAAAAACAAATGTAAATATTACAAATCCAATATTAGCAAATAAAACCTTATTCGTGTACAGAAAAAGCTTACTAGATTCTAAGAAAGGATCTGAAACATCATGTAAACCCATAACCACAATCCCAACACGTGCATAGTCAGTTAGAAAAGATAAACATATCAATGAAATTGTTGCTAGATGATGCAATAAAAGCTCTAATCTATCTTTGTTGTAATAAGTACTTATTAAATATAGAAATTCAACAAAATAATAAGAAAACTCTACTAGGTAATAAAATAAGACCTTTTTCGGATATGGAAGTGGTCCAAAGGTTAAATGATATGTATTTACATTACCTGCCCACTGCTCATTTGACAATACAAAATATCCGTAAATTGAAGAAAACCCATAAAAAAATATTTTAAAAATACATGTTTGGGCTTTTATATGCTCATATCCAAAAAGCTTGTTTGTGATTTTTTTAATGATAAATGATCTCAATACAATCAGTATATTGCATATTAGAAACGAATATAAAAGACTAGAAAAAATTGAGATATTGGCCACTTCTCCACGATACATAAAATTTTTATTTTGTTTTTTTCTTATTTATTAGTTTGAAACATTTAATAATAGCGTCATTTTCAGACAAAACAATTTTTTTTAATTAATTAAAAATTAATGCAATGTTAGTAAACAAACATATTAAATATTTTATTTTTAAATAGCCCTATGAGTGTAATAAATGAAACACCTGAAAACAACTTACCTACGGAAGATGAGATTGATCAATTAGCAAATTCAAGAACAGGATTACTGAGTTATTTTAAAGTTGCTAAGGTTGAAATGCCTAAATTTTTTATACTTGGTATTATGTTTGGATTAATTAACTTTGTGTATTCATTTTTAAGAATTTTAAAAGATTTATTTGTGATGGTAAGGCAAGATCAGAATTCAATTATGTTTATGAAAATTTTTTATGTTCTTCCTATATCTTTTGCATCTGTAATTTTAATACAGTGGCTTATGCAAAATAAACCTGTATCATCGATTTTTAATCTATTTCTAATAATTTTTACTGCATTTTTCTTCGGACTAGGGGCAATCTTTTTGTTTGAAGAGAAAGTAACACCATCTAGCTTTTTATTTAGAGATATTTTCGCTGATAACAAAGGTGCATTGAAGGGATTGAACTTTATAAAATATTTTTTAATTACAGCTAACGAGCCCGTTTCAACTTGTATTTTTATAATAGCAGAAATGTGGGGCAGTTTACTTATGGCTTATTTATACATGAGTTTTTTAAATGAAAGTTGTACTATCAGACAGTTTACAAGATTTTTACCACCTTTTTACATAATAGCAAATTTAGCTTTACTAGTATCTGGATTAGCCAGTAGTTCTTTCAGAGAATTGCGAAAAGGATTTAGCTATGAGCAAAATCAGTTATTATATTCTTCGGTTTTTATTGCCATGGGCGGTATATGTCTAATATTAATGTACATGAAATATTATTTCGAGAATAAAATAATGAGTGTACCAATATTTATACCTTCTAATACGATAAAAAAGAAACAAAAAGTTAGTGTAGGTTTCTCCGAAGGTATTAGTATAATGATGAAATCAAAATTATTAATGTCACTTTGTATAATAGTCTTTTTTTACAATATAACATTTAATTTAATTGAATCTGTCTATAAAGCAGGAATTAAAGCTGCGTCAAAAAGTTTAGGATTAGAGGTAGGAGAATACTCCGGCAAATTTAATACAATAGATCAAATATTGGTAGCAGTTACTGTAATAACACTTAATTTGTCAGCATTTTCTACTTTAGTAGAAAGTAGTGGATGGATTACTATGGGGCTCTTAACACCTTTATTCTTGTTGTTGGGGTCAATAATCGTTATGGGAGCATCAATCTACAATTCTGCCATTGAAGGACTTGCTTTTTCATGGATTTCTGTATTTTTTAAAAAAATGTCGTACATTTATACGATCGAAAATTACAGTGGAATGTTCTTTTTAGCATTCATAAAAGTATTAAAATATTCAGCCTTTGATATTTGTAAAGAGAAAATGGGTATGAGAATCGATCCTGCACACAGGGCACGGTTTAAAAGTGTTTATGATGGTATTTTTAATAAATTAGGAAAATCTATTGGTTCATTATATGGACTAGCCATATTAGTAGCACTTGATACTGATAATGTAAGGAAGGGTAGTCCAATCACATTAACGATTGCAATAATATTGATTTATATTTGGATTAGAGCTATAATCTATTTAGCGGGTGCATATAACGTTTCAATTAAAAATAATACAAGTGTAGACATAGATTTAATAAAAGACGACAAAAAAGAAAACGCAGAATAAATAAATTGTATATAAAATTTACTGTTTGTTTACAACTAATTTTTGCCTAAGTTTATATTGTTTATATTCCTTTTCACAATTCTTAATAAAAAAGGCCTCATATATTGTCAGTAAAATAAACGCAAATCCTAATGTAAATAATTCCAAGATCACAAATTCTAGTAAATTTAAATTATAAAGTTTAAAATAAATCAGCGATGATCCAATGAAAAAAAGAAAAAATTTAAGTGTTAATTTCATAAAAGGGTAAAATAAAAATCAAGATTGAACTGTAAGTTTATACCCACAATCACATGTATAAAAAACAGTCTGTCCTTCATCAGCAGATCGTAATTGTGCAGTATTATACATCATCTCTTCTGCATTACAACCAGGACACTGGTATTTAATTTTAGCTCCTTTAACTTCTTTCAGTTCAACTTCTTCTTCTATTTTGAATGTTTTTTGCATAACTACAGTATCAAGATGTGATGTGTCTAGTATAGCACTGCATCTAACACATTTAATTTCACTACTATCTTTTTCTACGGTTATAATTGTACCACATTTACAAAACATGGGTATGAAAATGAAACTTATTTTCATTAAACAGTATTAATAAAAAATTTCTGTTAAGTAAAATATCATAGATTTAAAATTTAAGTTTTTTAATTGCATAGATTTAGAATTTGTAGTTTTAAAAAATATAACCGCAAAAATTGAACAATAAATTTAAGAAACATTCTTGTCAACTACTAAAAATAGTTTTTTAAAAAAATGTGAAGAATATTACAGTTTATTAAAGACGTTTAACAAATAATTTTCCCTAACAATTACTAATAACAGATTGGAATTATTAAAAATAATGCAAAGAATAATCGTTTTATAAATATTTTTAAGATTTTTACTTAAAAAACATACAAATTATATTTGAAAAGTATCAGTTTTACTAAATAGTAATACAATGCCTAAAAAGCTAATTATTAAATTCTCATTTTGTGAATCTATTAAAAAATAATAATAATTAGCACTTAATCAAAAAATTGGTTATAAGGTGAATTTTTTAAGGAAATATTATATAAATACTACGATGATTACATATTATATAATTTGCATATAAAATATATAATTATCTAAAAACTTTTTTTATATAAATTAAGTCTAGCATTAAAAAATTTTTTAAATTAAATCTGTAATCTTGCTTACATTTTTTTGAAGCTTTAAATATTTTTTTAACATTTAGTTATTTTATTTTAAGAAGATTGTATAAATCCAAAATTTTACAGGTGTCAGTCAATATGAAAGCTCTGTTTGCATTAAATTATAGTAAAACAAAAGGCCTGCCAATACAAAGATTGTAAAAAAGGCTTATTTTTTATAAATCTTAATAAAAGATGAGTAAATAATTGTTATAAGTTTCATTTTAAAAACTTTTTATAAGAACTTATGATATTATTGTCAATAACCGCATACATTTTTTTATAACCAATTGTTAAAGACAATTTGTGGCAATCCCTCTGGTCACTATCTTTAAGTATAATAATTGCTCGTTTTCTTTATGACAATTATTATTAAGTTTTTATTGGTTTTAATATTTTATAAAAAGCTATAAATAATAAAATTAGCATTAACTATGCTAAAAGAGAACATCTTAGGAAGTGAGAACAGGAACTACAAAATAAATCACTATACAATAAAAACAAATTTTATTTTAAGAGACCGGATAGAACAGACGGCAAAACATTGATTATTATAGAGAGGTACCTCTCTACTGGCTGCATTCCCCGCGAATACCCCAGAACTAAAATTATTATTGTTCTTTAAATACTTATTTTCTCCTTTTAACACAAAATTTATTTTTAGCTTAAAACTTGCATTTAAAACCTGACAATCATATTAAGGCACCATTTTTGTGTTATTAAGGCAAATGTTTAATCATTAACGCTAAAAACTTTAAAATTATCTAAATATGCAACTATTTTAATTTATTATTTAGATCTTAGTAAAAAGAGTGTTGTGATAAAAGAAGATGTAAAACTAAATTCTTTAGAACAATTCAGTAGTTACTATTTTAAAAATTTCTTAGAACTTAATATCATATTGTAAAAAAATATAAAAGGAATTTATTTTAATTTCCAAAAATCACAAAACAAAATATGCCCTTAATTTTTTTCTAATTAAGGTTTTTGGTAAAAAATCAGTAAATTTTATAAACTTGAAGTTGTCTTTTAATTAAGTTGGTTAATTAAATGGTTTAATACAATCAAAAATTTATATTAAAATTTAGCAATCATTTTATTTTTTAAAAATTATATATTAATTTACTATTAATTTAAAAATTATGATAAATTTAAAAAACGCTTCTTTATTACTTTTACATCTATACAATTTTAAAATTTTAAAATATAAAAAATTCGTAAATTTAATCCTTTGAAATGAAAAGTTCAACTGAAAATTTTGAATCTTCAACAAAAAATAGTAAACCTAGAAATAAGATTTATTTACAAGTAAGAGATTCAACAAAATGTTGTAATGAAGCATTAATTACAAATCCTAAAAATGTCAATACTCTTTATGTTATGGGAAAGTGTTTGATTCAACAAGAAAATTTTGGAATGGCTAAAGAGATTATAGAAAAGATTAAAAATCTGGATCCCGTAAATGTTTATGGAAATATTTTAGAAGGACATGTATTATTAAAAAATGGACAACTTCTTGAATCTTATAGTTTATTTTCTAGTGCTTATAAAAATATTATATTCCATGACGTTTATTTATCTTACGGTCTTGGTCTTTTTTATGACACTTTAGAAAAACACGAATTGGCAAGAAAGTGGTTTACATTGTGTTTAACTTCAGATATTGAACTTTTTAAATATTTAGAAATTATGTACAGAATAGGTGTATGCTATAAAAAAGAAAAAAAACTTTTTGATGCATTAGGAGTATTTGAGCGTCTAGAAACATTTGTTAAAACAGACCTATTTCAAGATGATGTCAGATTGCAAATTGCACATGTTTATGAGATTATGAACGAACATGATGTTTGTAACGATTTTTTAAGTAAATTGAAAGGATCACGACAGACAAACATTTTTATTAACAGATTAAAATCATGGATATATTTTAAGACTAACAACTTTGACTTAATTAAGGGTTTATTTGAATGTCCGAAGGACAAGGCACAACATAAAAGCTATAAGTTTTCTGTTAAAAATTTGCAGAAAGAATTAAATTATTGTGATTGTTCTATTGTCAATGATGTTAAAGATCATTACATTTTATATTTATTGGGAAGGTCATTGATTTTGGAAGGAGAATACGATACTGCTTTAGAATTATTTAATATATGTACACAATTAGATCCAAAATCTTATCTTGCTTTTAATTCTGCCGGCATAATAAATTATAAACGTAAAAACTACGAAACAGCAAAAAAGTCATTTCAAGATGCTTTAAATATAAAACCAAATTTTTATGACGCAATAAATAATCTGAAAGTAGTAAACTACAAGATAAACAACAAATTTTGTGCTACAAAAATTTTGGAATCAGATCCAGATATTTTTCTAACCAAATATTTGGATTCTCAGATTATTTTTAATGAGTGTATATGTTACCCTAATAACACTGAAACAAGTAGCTTGCCTGATTTGGATCCAATAAAATTTGAAAACTTTTGCTAAATAAAAAATATGTAAATTTTTATATTTTTTTACAGCTTAATGAAATTTTCTAGTACACTATTTTGATAAATTAACTTTTATACGAAAAACTCGTTACATGTTTTATCCAAAGATTTCTAGTATAACTAAACTGTAAAAAAAATAAAAAAGTATTACTATTTATTTCCGTATGCATTTTCAATTAGTTTTAAATCCCTTAACATTTCGTCACGAATTGGACAAATCAGTCGTTCAATCATATCTGAAGCAATATTTTTCAATTCAGTTTCATCAATAATCTTCATTTTAATGTCTTCGTACAATTTATCAAATGTATAAACTTTACCTGAAATCATTATTTGTAAATTAAAAATACTACAATATGGATAAATTATACTTTTAAATAAAAAAATCAATCCTTCATTTTCAAGACTACAGTTATGAATTTTCTTATAAATTTCTAACTTTGTATCTAATAAATCAATTTTTGAATCAATATCAGAACTACTCATCTTGTCAGAATTCAATCCAGGTATCATAGGATTCATTAAATGTATCCTTTTCTTGTATTTAAGAAGCGGTAAAAATTCTCTAGCATACATAAAAATTTTTCTTTGATCAATGCCTCCGAACTGGACATCTACATTCAAATATTCTTCATCTAATGCTTGCATGGCCGGATAAACAAGTGAACTTAACTTAGAATTCTTAACTTGTTTGACAACTTCACTTCCTGCCCTGCGTGCATCATTTTTTTTCGTTTGATTTAAAATTCGCAAAATATCAGTAAAATATTTATTACTTTTCTGGTATTCACTTCCAAAAATAAAAGATATTTTTGATACATCAACTTTAATACTTTTAAGCATTAGAGTAATAATTTTTTTATAGTATTGCGATCTACATTCTATTTTTTCTATAGGTGCCTTTAAATTATCAAGAAATGCATGTATATCTGCTAGAAGAATTGTGACATTACATCCCGCATCAACAAAATCTTTTATTTTAAGAATAGGAAGAAAATAAGCAATATGTGGTTTTCCAGTAGTTGCAGTACCCCAATAAACATTAAGATCACGTTTATTTATAATTTTTTCCATAATGTCACCTCCTATTACTTCTTTTAAGTTTCGATTTATAAGTTTTAATTTTTCGGTTGTGTCCATTTAGGGTAGAATTCCTTACTTATTTACATACACTTTTCAATAAAAGAAAAAAGCTTTTTTATCCCCAATGATAATCTTATATGGCTCCCAAACAGGAAATTCTATACATATTGCTAAACTTATTCAAAATGTTATACTATACGGGTACAATGAAGATTTGATTTATAACGTTGATAAAGAATTGCTTCCAACAGATTTTACTTTAGATATGGACAGTTTTGATTTCGAAAAAATATTAGATATTGATATGATTATATTTGTATGTTCGACTCATGGGAATGGTTCTGAACCTTTTAACATGACTAAATTTTGGAAATTTTTGCGCAAAAAAAATCTGCCTACAAATTTTTTACAACACTTAAATTTTGCTGTATTTGGCCTTGGGGATTCGTCTTATAAATCTTTTAATTTTTGTTCTAAAAAGTTGTATAATTGCCTTTTAAAACACGGAGCTAAACCTCTGATAAGAAAGGGTAATGGAGATAGCCAAGACAAAGAAGGATTTATGGGCGAATTTAAGACATGGATAAAAGATCTATATTATATATTACCGCATTACAAACTACAAAATGCTAAAAATTTTGCAAGTTGTAAAAATGATTTATACAGTGCGTCAATAAATGATATTAAGATATTAACACCTTACAATTACATTTATCCTATTTTAGAAATAAAATTTGATATAGATATAGAAAATTTTGAAATCGGTGATTGTCTAGCGGTTTATCCTGAAAATTATAATTACGAGGAGTTTGTAAGATATAATAACATAAAGGACAATACCTTGGTTAAATATATTAAAAAATATTGTGATTTTAATTCTATTCCTCAAATCTATTTTTTTCTACAACTTTCGCTTATCACAGATACCATTGCTGAGGAATATCGTGAGAAATGTAAAGAAATTTATCTAAATTACGATCTGTACTATGATTACATTTTACTACCGAAGCGCACTATTTTTGAGGTTCTAAAAGATTTTAAGATAAAACTTACCTCAAATTTTATGTACAAGTATATCCCTGTAATTAATCCAAGATATTTTACATTAACGAAAAAAGATTTTTGTTACTTTGTCACCGTCTCTCTTGTTTCTTTTAAAACAAGTTTAAAAGAAGAACGAAAAGGTCTTTGTTCAGAGTATTTAAAATTACTTACTAAAGGGTCTACTATTCATGTTAACATAGTACAAAATAGACTTAATTTTAGTGGTAAAAAGATTTTGTTTATGTGCACTGGTACTGGTATTACACTTCCCAGGGCATTTGTTAATTACTATTCTGATTTAAATTTTTTTAAAAAAGTTATTTTATTATATGGTTTTAGATTTAGAGATGTAGATTTTTTATATAAAGAAGAGTTTGAAAATAAAGGTATTGAAATTTACCCCGCTGTTTCAAGGGAAGATAATAAATACATACAAGATATTTATAAGACTATAAAAGGGCTAGAAAATATTGATGATTGGTTAATATTTGTAAGTGGAAATTCTAGACTTAATAATATTATTGAAAAAATGTTATTAGATATTTATAAAAAGAAAATATATTTTCAGGCAGAAACTTGGTAATATTTTTATAGCTTGGCTTCATAAATTAAACAAGTAATAAATATTGAATAAAATAGGTTTTTTATACAAAAGTTTGTTTTTTTAATCGATGGAGAAGCTAAAAAAAAACATCCTAGATATCTGAATTATAAACTATGATTGTCTTTTTGAGAGGTACCTTGGCCGACTGGTTGAACCAACACTTTGCGTGTAAAACGAAGTTGGTTCAGTCAGTTGCCGGTACCCTTTTTAGTCACATAAAAAAAATGCTTAGATTTTATTCCTTAAATATATTTATACTGTACATATGCACATTATGGAGTATTTAACTTTATTAAATATTTTTTTAAAGTCAGCCCATGTATTGCCTAATGATTTTTTATATTATGTTTATTTTAGGTGATAACATAGAGATATCAAAATCTGAGTTTGATTGTATTATAGTTAAAAAACATATCATTGACTCGAACTCGCTTAATAACTATAATTCTGTAAAAATATCATTTCCTGGGACAGTAATCTATAAACTAGTGAGAAAAAATATTCCGCATTTACCAAACGCAAGAGTTTTTATCCTAGAAAATAATACTGTTTATTTTAAAAAATTTAACACAAAAATAAGAATAAATTTTGAGCGAAAGTTTTTTGGATTAATTTTAGATGTATGGTTTATTATTATGCTTATGGTAATCATATCCTCATACTTTTTAATATTTTGTAAAAAACCTTTTTATATTTTTGATTTATAAATTAAATATTTTTGTATGCATTTAATTTTAAATATTTTTGTTTTTGTAATTAATTTGAAATGTTATACAAAGTTTCAAAACATTTATGATTTTTTCTAAACAAAATGTTTTTATGTAAATAAACAAAAAATGCATAAATCAAAAATGGATAGAAAAAAGAAAAATGAAGATGACCAAGATGTGATAGATTTTATGGAGCTAGTAGAAGAAAATTTAGCAAATAATGAGAAAAGCAAAATAGAAGCATGTGAAGATTTAACATCAAATGACTTATTTGAAAATAAACCTTTACAAGATAATGAAATTAACTCATCTAATGCTGAGGAAGAAGATAATAGTTCTATGCAAGAATTTAAGAAATCTGAAAATATAAACAAAGAACTGAATAACCTCAACGAAAAAATTGAAAAAATGGCATGTGATATTGTAGAAACTAAGGAACTAGAGACTGATAAAGAACCTTTACCAAGTAAAATACAACAAGACCAAGAAAATACTATTTATAATGAGTCTAGTAAGCAATTAGAGAATGCTTCTTTTGATAAGATCAATTTAATTCATTCGGAATCTTTGACTAATGAATTTCAAAACAATAGAAAAAATTCTACAAAACAAGCCAATAATACAAACCTACAACCCTATAAACCTGATAGTCATGCACTTGTAAAACATTCTAACCTATTAGGAGATGTTGATGAAAATAGTATTAAAATTAAAAAATATCCTGGATATTTATATATTAACATTTATGCAATAGAAAAGTATATTTCATCAAACACTGACGTACAAAGTATTTTTATTCAAATGAAGACAAAAGATTTTACATATGAGACAGATGACTATGCAGAAGATGTTAATATAAAGATAAATAGCATGTTTAACATAAAGATTAATTCTTTTGATACTATCGACATGAAATTTATATTAAACAAACGAACAGAAAAAAAGGTGATAAAGTCTAGTGAATGTTGCGTCACGATAGATAAATCTTTTATTAATAAGTTACACAATACTTTGTATGAAGTAAATTATGAATGGTCTCCATATTCATCAAATGGTTTTTTTAGAAATATTATAAATTTCTTTTCAAATGAAATGGCAGATGCACTCAACTTAAAGCTATTTTTTTCATTTATTAGTGAAGAAGAATTAAAGCTTATAAATTTATCGGTACCTAATACACTTTACAACTTAGGTAAATGGCTTAAAATTCGTAAATACGCTTATAATACGTGGTTTTCTGGTTTCTGTAATATTAGAGGATTTAATATAAAAATTTGCACGCATTTATGGAAGAGAAGATTCATAAAAGTTCATGGTTATAAAGTATTGATTTTTAATGAGCATACAAAACATTTATTAGGCGCGTTTGATTTACTACTTACAATGACAAATAACAGAGAAATAATTGATGAAGATAATAAATTTAAGATAATTAATGATAACACAATGATAGAATTTCACTTTGATTGTAATGAAAAATATTTTTCGTTTAGGCGGGTTATGCAAGCATTATTATAAAATAAAACTAAATGTTTATTATATTGTTATATTTTTATTCAATTTTAATGCTTAGAAATATTAAATTTCTAAACAGTAAATGTATGGTAAATCACAATACATAAATTTATTTTTAAGTTTTTTTTTAAACTTTTTTATTTTCACTCACATATTTAATAAAATAAAAATTGCCTTGAATTTTTAGTTATTAAATATCAAATGTAAACATGAAATCTTAATGTACATTTTTATTTGTGGTTCTTTATTCTCAAAAAATTTTGTCATAAATTTATCGAAACCATCATATAAGTATAGCTTTTTTAAACCTGATCAATTACTAATAGGATGGCAATTGTAACGCAATATTAATGTTAAATAATACAAATGTCTACTAGACTATTATTTTAAATAATTATACTTATATGCTACAGTAAGAAATTCTTAAATAACACGATTTTTGTTAATACAGGCTATGATAGGTATAGAATCTGGCAAAGGGGGCAATCTTACTTTACAATAGTTTAAGGAATGAATAATTGCGAAGAGTAATATTTTTCTACAGTTAAAAACTTTATTTTAAAATACATTTTAATTGCTCCACATTTAACTTAAAAATTTTATAAACTATAATTTCAAAGACCTCTTGCAATAATAATTGTAAAAATCTTTTTATTCTTTATAATTTTGTTTTTTCCCGCCTATTTTAAGAGTTTTTTCTTTCAATTTTTCCCTTAATTTATGCGGAATATTTTGCACGACACTACCAACGTAAAAAAAGGTAAAATTATGAAAAAGAAAAAAAATGACAAAGAAAGTGTTTTAAATTTTATTAAAGATGTGTATAACACTACGACAGATTATAATTTAAAGTATGATCTCTCAAAATGTATAGAAATTATAGAAGGTAAAGAAAATCAAGAGATAAAAGATCTGAAAGAAGCTTTGGAAGAAGTGATACAAGAAAATAATGAACTAATAGAAGAAAAAACAAAATTGTATTTAGAACTAGAAGATGCAAAAAATAAATAATAAAGATTTGTTAATTTATTTAAATATTCTATCCCTTCTATGCTATTAAAATATAAATTGTAAGTTAAAATCTAATTTAAGTTCTTCTAATAAAACAATAGAACATTCCAAATTGCATTCTTTTATATCAACAAAAATATACGAATATGGTGGTATAGATTTATTAAATTCAGTTAAAATTCAGTGCACTGAAGATATTATAATCATTGAAACAGAAAAACCCAGTTTAGTTCATGCTGCTTTATTTTTTACTGGGATGTATTTTACAATAAAATGTAAAATAGATAGAATAAATTAATTAAAATAACAAATGTTTATTATTAAAACCAGTCATGAAATGTAAGTGTTTTATCAATTGACTGTATTACATCCACGCCATTACCACGATAAATGTTATCTACAAATATAAGCGGACACTGTCCTCTGAAGTTTTTCTTTACATATCTATTTAATACTTTGTCGTTATCCAAAAATAATACTTTATAATAATTTTGAGAATGGTCCAAATATCTAGTGAGAGAATCTAGACGAGGACAATCATATGTCCGAGCAATTAAAAGAATCTTTTTTTCACGTGAAGCCAGATTTGTGCCCATAAAAAATGACATTATAAAAAAAATATGCATAGAAGAAAGCTAATGGAGTTTTTTATAAAAAACATGGAACACGAAGTTTTATGTTTTAGAAAAAATCAAATTAATGGATTTTGATGAAACCTTTTACAAACATATTAATAATTTATAATAAACATATATGATATGCAGATATTCAATCAACTATTGGAAAAAATAATATAGTAATTTTTAAGGTAAATTGTAGTCTGTAATATTTTAATAAACTATTAATACTGTTTTAAATATCTGATATAAAACAAAAGATTATTTGTTATTAATATTACAAATATTAAGAAACATTTATAATGCATTAAAAAACAAGAATGAAAAAAATTAAAATTGAGTTCAAGGATACGATGTTATGTGTTTAATTGTAATTAACATTTATAGAATAAAATTTTGGTTTATATTTAAATATAAACATAATAAATCCGATTTAATAATGTACTATGATGTTTGAAATGTATTCTTTTATTTCTTAATAAAATTTAATAAACAAACAAACAAAGATAATTAGTTGCGTAATATTTTCTGATAAAATAAAGATTTCGCAATTTTTTTAAAATTATATTTTAAAAAAGTTTTGTTTGACGTATAACTTGTTTATATACAAATAAATTTTTGGTAAACAAAAGATGAAAAAAAGTGAAACAGAATTTATAGAACAATATGAAATCTTTAAAACACCTCAACTTTCTTTTTTAGATGTAAATACGACAATAGGCTACTCTATTGCTGGTCAAAAAATGGTTTTTATAAAAAAAGTGGCGAAAAATATTCATTTTTCTACCGATTTAATTACAAACAAAGAACTAAATAATTTTCCATTTATTATTGAAATAATCGATCAATATATAGGAGAAGAGATCCTTTCTGTATCAGATTTTTCTGAAATTTTACCTTTAAAAGTTTTTATTACACAATTTAGTAAAAACCTTGATTTTTTGTGCATTTTATTCAATAAGCTTTTGTTAATTTTAACAGAATCAAAATTTTTACAATGTATTTCTGAGTTTCTAGAAAGTGATATGATATGGATTGATAAAAATTTTAATATAAAAATATGCTGGATTACATTTTTAGTAAAAAATCATAAATTTTTTAATAATAAGGTATACAAATCAAATTTAAAAAACATTGATGACATCATCAATCTATTTAATTATAATAAAAAAAGATTACAAAAACGAGTAGATATAGAATATAAAAATGATAATGTATCTTCAGTATGTTTAAATGCAGCAGAAAACATTTTTTCATGTGTGTCTGAACAGAAAGATTCTAATGATGGCACAATAAAATATAAAGAAAGAACATATACATACGACAGAGGAAGTGTAAAAGTGTGTAGCACAAAAAAGCTCTGTATAGAAAATTATAAAGATTTTTGTAAAACAATAACAAACCAAAAAGTTAATTATTTTGGGTTAAAGGTTTTACTTTTAAAATGTATTTTTCATGAAGATGATGTAAATGCTAAAAATATTGATGTTTACATATCAAGACTAAAAAAATTATTTTTAGAGCAGTCTGATTCGAAATTTAAAGATTCTGAAGCTTTAAAAATTATTTATAATTTTATTGTTTATAACAACATTAACTCCAAGCCTATTGAAATCGTGAATGACGAATACATAAATTTTATGGATAACTTTTTCTATAAACTAAAAATAACAACTTTATCGGAAAAGAAATCATACGATGTCGATAATTTAAAAGAAAAAATGGTGGTAGAGAATGATGGTTGTTTATTTAAAGAAAAAGGTTTTGATATGTCGGATTACAATACTAAAAGTTATAAAAAAGGACGTTTTTTTATTTGTCAAGCAATACCAAATTCTCATACAAAAGATAAAAAGCAGGAACTAGAAATTAACAAAATTTTTCAGATTATTGAAATTCAAAGTAAACAAATAGAAATGATGTATCAAACTCTAAAAGATTATAACAAAATTGATCATTTAATTGATGCACAACTAAAATCCCTATCTTTGCAAGCAAATGAAATGCTTAATACTCTAGATAAAAATCAAGAATAAACAATTATGAAATTTAAAAAAAATATTTTGTTTCTTTATTTTATAAAAAACTGTCCATGCACTTTTTTAGTATAAAAATAAAATATAGCATAAATAATTTTTATCCCTTAAAATGAAATTACAAACACAAACAATTAAAAAAGTTAGAAGTGTTAGAGTAAAGGCTATTGAAATGCACACAAATAAGCAACTTGCAATTGTTGGTCTTTATAATGGATATCTCCAGACATGGAATCCTATTAAATGTAGTTTAATTAATGAGACACAGGTTACAGAATTTCCTATAAGAACTTTAGCATTAATAGAAAAGAACAATACTGTATTAATTGGTGCTGATGATGGAAGAATATATGTGTATGAACTTAATAATTTACAAAAGCTTAATGTATTTGATGCACATGAGGATTTTATAAGAAAAATTATAGTAAACTCTGCAAATACAGAATTTTTATCTTGTAGTGATGACAGTACAATTAAATTATGGGAAATAGGACCGGCTATAAAAAACAAGCATGTTTTTAGTGGGCACACACATTTTGTTATGGATATTTGCTATAATCCTAAAAATTCTAAGCAATTTATATCTTGTTCTTTAGATGGAACTATTAAATTATGGGATAAAGAAAGTGGATTGTGTATTAAAACATTTAAAGGACATAAGAGTGGCATAAACACGCTTTCTTTTTGCAAAGATGATACATATTTCGTTAGTGGTTCAGATGATCTTACTGTAAAAGTATGGGATTTAAATAATGGAAATTGTATAAGTACATTTAAAGGGCATACAAATAATATTATAAATGTTTATGTATTTACAAAATTGCCTTTTATTGTATCATGTTCTGAAGATGGTTCTTACAGATTATGGGATATGAATACGTATGAGAATAAAGAAATTATTAATTTAAATAGCGGAAGAGTTTGGCAATTTAAGGAAAATAACGGTAATATTATGATAGGAACTGATGAAGAGTTGATATTTAATAAAGTTAAAACAGGACTTTCTTTACTTACAATGAAAAATAATAAATTGTTCTTTACTGTACAAAATATGATATATAGTTGTAGATGTGATGATTTATACAACTTAAAGAAAATAGCAGAGCTTGGGTTCTATCCTTCCTCGCTGAGTGTATCGGACAATTCAAAAACTATTGCTGTATGCGATGATAATAATTTTTATGTACACTCTTCATTGGGATTTAGAAAGAAAATTAATGGCATTGGAACTAATTTACATTTTGTTTCAAATGAAAACTTTTTAATTGCTCGCGATGGAAATATTGAATTTTTTGAAAAATATGAGAGAACTAATGCTTTCAAAGTTGGTAACCTTAAGAGTATTTTATGTGTTAATAAGTATATTTATGTTCAAACGACTCATAATATAGTTGTTTATACACTTAACGGTAACAAAATTTATACTTTTAATTTTATTGCGAATAAAATGATTGCAAATGATAAATTTCTGATATTTGTAAAAGAAAAAGAAATTTTTGTTTGGGAATTTAATGGTGAAATTATTGATGCCTACTTAGAACAGGATTTAGATATTGATGATACTGGAATTCCTGATTCATTTAAATTTATAAATAATTTTGATGCGAAAGTAAATACATTTTGTTTAAATGAAAATCTTTTCGTTTTTGAATCTGAAGGAAGAGGTTTTTATTTAATATTACAAGAAACCCCTTACTTGTACAACTTTGGTACGGTAAATGGACTAATTGGTGGGATGTTTGAGAATCATTTACTAATTATTAATCATAAAAAAGTGAATGCAATCAAATTAGATTTTGATTTTATTAACTTTCAGATTAAAGTATTGAATAATGACAAGACTGATATCAAAGAAGGTTTTAGGATTCGTGCAATATCATTTTTTGAATCTCTTAATATGTATAATGACGCATTAAATATTTGTACAAGTGACAGTCAAAAATTTGAAATTTTAATTAAATTGGGTAGATTACAAGAAGCATATGAAATGTCAAATACATCTTTGATGTATGACAGGGTTGGTAATGAATATTTAAAATGTAAAGATTTAGTTAATGCTACAGAATGTTTTTACAAATCAAAAAATTGGAAATCTTTATTATTTGTAGATTTGTTATGCAATAAGAAATATTTAAAGGAAATTGCAGAAAATGCTATTAAAGAAGGAGAAAATAATCTGGCATTTATTGCATGCATGAAGTCTGAAGACTATGTAAAGAGCGGAGAATTGCTTAAAAATACAAAATTTTATAATTTTTTTAAACAAACCTATTTGAATTAAAGTTTATTTTTGACTAAATTCTATAAAGTTTGCGTTTTATAATCGTAACTATTTATCGTAATGTTTGTCCCCGTGTTATAGTAAGGCGCAAAATATTAATCTAGAGATACCTTTTAGTAATTGTTAGCTAATTTTTTGACACAACAAAAAGACTTTTACATGCAACAAATAATTTAATTTTTTGTTTTCTACAACTTTTTTACGCTAAATGATAGCTTTCAATCACAAACTATCATTTATTTAAAAACAAGTAGAATGTTAAAATTAATTATACATTAAGAAGCTTTAAGTTGTGTTGAATGTAAACTTTAATTACCACCATAAAATATTTGTGGCAAACTTAAGACCTCTTATTATTTGTTTATAAGTATTTGATTTGTCGTTACTAGTAGTAATTTTAAATGTAAAGCAAAAAGAATTATTGATAATTTTTCTGTATTTTAGGTATTAAGATCTTTTTGTTACAATAGAATAAATATATTAAAATTTTAAAGAATCAAGTGAATCATAAGCACAATAACTTAAAACTTTATTTAGTTTTATTGATTCTATAACATTTTTTTTTCTAGTCCTTGTATGGGAAGCATTAATCTAAAAGACATGTTTCCTATAGAAGTCACTACACATAACTTATATTTTCATGAAGAAGCCTCAATTTTTTCTATGGACACTTTCAATAATTTTATAGCTACAGGTGGAGGAGATGGAATTGTTAGATTATGGCAAATAAATGATACGGAAATTAAAAAAGAGGGGGATTTTGTGTACACTACTGCACTAAATTCTTCTATTCAGCTAGTTTATAAGTCAGATCTTGTCGGTCATACAAAAGCCGTTAATTGTGTTCGATTTTCTTATTTAGGAATTTTAGCATCTTCATCTGACACGGGTCGTGTTTTATTGCACTTTAATGATAAAACGCACGTGTTAAGAGGAAGTGATGAATTAGATTGTTATGAATTAACATGGGCAAAAGATACATTATATGTCGGGTTAAGTAATGGCTTAATAGAAGAATATCAGGTGCTGTATGATGACAATTTTTATTGTAAGTTAGTTAAATCTTGTTTCTTGCATACAGATATTATTCAAGGTCTAGCTTACAACAGTAAACATTTCCTGTTGTTATCTGTCAGTAAGGATCGAACATTAAAAATTTCACAGGATGATAAGATGTTAGATAAAATTAATCTCAATACTAACGGACGATCTTTTTTTAGGCGTACATGTTTTAGTAAATGTAATAATATGTGTTTTATTACAAATTATAAAAATTCTTCAATTTTGGTCCTAACCTACCCTTTTACTGAAAAGCATTGGATTTATAAGTTAGGTCCTTTTGATTCTGAAATAGTCAAAGTTATTGAAAATAATTTACTGTTATTTGTACTTTCTAAAACAAGTCTTTATTTTTATTATAACTTTAATTTACTAGGGTGTATAGAAAATATATGTTTTAAGAGTGTGACTGATGCAACTTTATACAATAACATTCTTTTTATATCTTCTTTAGATGGATTTATAGCTACATTTAAGTGGAGAGTGGTGGGAGGATAAAATTTTAAGCAATTTTACACATTTGATTTAATTAAATTTTTTATTTTTTAGCGTTATATGATTGGTTTTATATTAAAAAAATAATATAAAAAACTATAAAGTGTTTCATTTTATATAAGATAACTTATAAATTATTGTATACAAGTGTAAATATTATTCTTTTTAGCCCATAATGGGAATACAAGATAAAATTAACGAAATTGAAGCTGAAATGGCTAGAACACAAAAGAATAAAAAGACTGAGTACCACATTGGTACACTTAAAGCTAGACTTGCCAGGTATAAACATGAACTTGACAATCCAAAAGCCAATAATGTAAAATCAGACGGGTGGGAAGTTGCAAAATCTGGTGATGCGCGTATAGCTCTTATTGGATTTCCCAGTGTAGGGAAATCAACTCTTCTCTCAAAAATAACATCTACTGAAAGTAAAGCGGCAGAACATGAATTTACAACTCTTGATTGTATAGCGGGTAAAATGGTGTATAATGGATCGACAATACAGATTTTAGATCTCCCTGGAATTATAAGTGGAGCTTCATTAAATTTAGGAAGGGGAAGGCAGGTAATAAGTATAAGTAGAACAGCAGATTTAATTCTTGTTGTACTTGATCCAAGAAGAAAAAATGATAAAAGTGTTCTTATTCGTGAGTTATACAACATGGGCATACGGCTTAATAAAAAAAGGCCAGATGTCAGTATTAATTTAACTACTGGTGGTGGCATAAATATAAACAAACAATGTGAATTAACACAAACATCAGAAGAGTCTATAACTGCGATATTAAAAGAATATAAAATTAATCATTGTAATGTTCTTATTAAAGAAAATGTGAGTACTGATGATATTTTAGATTTAGTTAGTAAAAATGTTTTTTATATTAAATGTCTATTCTGTTATAATAAGGCGGATGAGTTATCTTATGAAGAGTTTATAAATTTAAGTTTAGAAGAAGATACAATTCTTATAAGCTGTAAAAATAATTGGAATATTGATGATCTTAAAGAGGATATTTGGAAAAGACTTGACATGACGAGAATCTACACAAAAAGGAAGGGAGAGTTTCCTGATTTAGATAATCCTATTGTATTGAGAAATAATTGTACAGTATTTGATTTGTGTAAAGAAATTCATAAAGACTTTTATTCTGATTTTAAATATGCACTTGTATGGGGGAGAAGTGCAAAACATAGTCCTCAAAAAGTTGGATTGAATCATGTATTAGAAGATGAAGATGTTATACAAATAAATCTTAAATAAATTAATTTATAAAGATTTTGTAATTTAAAAGATCTAATTTTTTAATTTAACTAATATGAAATTCTAAATGTAAATTCTGTGACATAATGATATGTTTTTAATAAAACATATCTACTGAAAGATATTTAAAAAGCAATAATTTATTTTAGATCGCAAAACCAGGATCAACTTCACCAACACCTTCATATCCAAGCAATGACAATGCAGCAAGTGAAAACATTAAATGATAAGGGTCTGCCTCATTTTTAGGGCGATCAGAAAATCCACCATTTTTTCCTTGACAGGATAATATAAAATCAATAAGCATCTGTTCATTTAGTAAATGATTTTTATGAATCATTTTCATGGTTGCATACGCCCAAAAAGAATAACATACATCCTCTTTTTTATTAATTCTTCCGCTTAAACCTCCCGATTTTTCTTGCCTGAGCGCAATAAATCGACTAATATCCCTAATATTTGTATATTGAAGACTGCCTAGTGATCGTAAACTTGAAATACAACAAAATGTAAATGCACAATGCGACTCGTCGCCTTTGGCAAGACCAAAACCACCATCTGGATTGTAACATGAAATTATGTATTCTATACACTTTTTATAGTCAAATTCTATTGAATCACAATATTTGTATGGTATCTGTTCAGCAAGAGATGATCTTTCAAAATTTAAAGTTTTGTTGAGGTACAACAAATGCAGAGACAACACTGCACTACAATTAATTCTGTTATCTGTCATACCATATCTATCATTTCTAAAAGATCCATCTTCATTCATGTTACTTAATATAAAATTAATAGTTTTATTGTCATAAAAATTTTCTTTATAAATGTATAAAATTTGTAAGGCATTAAAAGTTGTTAATATTGTAGATGGATGGTTAGTAGATCCACCGTATCCACCATCTTCATTCTTGCAACTTTTAACAAAATCGACTATATCTTTCATTCCTGGATCAATACCCATAATTTTATAAGAATTAACAATCCAATAAAGTGTATTTAGTCGACACGGTTCTGAAAGGAAAAAGTCTAGATCTTTCAGGTTTCTTATTTTTTCAAGAAAATTAACATGATTTGTTAAATCTAAAATAAGTTTATTAGTAAATTTCATGGGGCAAAAAAATAAAAAACAATCACTTTATTCGGACTTCTTTAACAACTCTTCCTAAAACATTGCTCATGCTTTTTACTACATCTTCTTTTTCAGATCTTATTCTGCATTCCAAATTGACAAAGTTATCTGTTTTAGCGAGACATACATTAAAAAATATATCATCATTCTGACGAGTGGTACACAAAATATTAGCAACAAGAATATCAGCATCTTCCTTGAAGTCAATAATGGTGCCATTAACCAATTTAATAAACTTATCAAATACATTTTTAAGGCTTAATTTCGTTAGCATTTTCATTGAATACACATTCTCCCATGTCATTTTTTTCCAAGTACTTTTGAACTCTAAAGGTTCGCACGTTTTACTTTCCAGGAAATCTGACACATAAGTTTTAATCTCTGAGAAATTAAGAGTATAATGTTGATTAGCATATTCACCATTTTCATTAGGATATTTAAAAGTGACAGAACCACTTATAAATCCATTGGAACCATCTACAACCCTAAAAATCAACTTTTTAGTGATTGCTGATCTGGCTTTCATATTTTTTGGTAGATCTAAAAAAACAGATCGAATATTTTGACTTGTAGCAAAATCAAAGAGCATATTTTGCAGATAATCTTCTGTTTGATTAATTAATAGTACATTAAGAATTATTTCATACCTCGTAAACAAAACATCGGCTTCTACGTATATCGGATCTGATAATCCCGTTAATTGAACAATATTATCCAGCGTGTTTGAAGTATTTTCACAATTTAAAAAATCAATTAACTTTTCTGCTTGTTCGGTAAATTTAACATTAAACATCGGAATGTCTAAAGGAGTTAAAACATCAATATTTTTAAACTTTGTAGATTGTTTTTTTTCTACCTGTTTATAAGGCACATTAGCTGAAATAGAACGAATGCATAAAAAGATAGTTGATTTAGAAGTGGTGTCACAAAGGCCTTCTAATTTAGTAAATCCAATAAACATCGCAATTAATTTGATTTTAAGATCTTCATTGTACGGAATTCTAAAGTAAAATTCTGTTAATGAGATACACACAAAGTTTAATAAAAACTTGTTGTCTTTTTGAAAAAATAAACAGTCAAAAAAATAATTATTTTTCAGTCTGTCTTCAATAAAATTAATTATTTGATTAAAATGAGAAACTTCAGCGTATTTTACAATGATTTCAAAAGTTTTTCTAAAAATCTTCCCATATTTTATACTTTTTATAGAATTAACAAGTCCATTAATAAGTTGATTATCCTTTGACAAACCTATTAAAATCTCAATTAATTCCAAAGAAGCAAAAACCAATCCAGGAAAGTCTTTTTTTAAATTTCTTATACAAATATCATCGATTTCTTTTTCGCAAATTGCAAATTTTTTTGTAAAAATTGAAAGATATTCAATTAACAATATTTCCAAAGCTTTGTTTTTAAGTGTCATGTTTTCTATCTCTTTATACTTATTTATAATAAATTGTAAAACTAGACAAACATCTCTAGATTTACATACATTAAAAGCCAAACTTAAACAAGATTTTGACATGTCAAAATTATAAGGATTTATAAATTGTAGAATATCAATAACATATCTAGAAATATCTGTACGATCTTTAATTTTTGTTAGTTGAACTACTACCTCATCAAAATATTCTTCATGCTCTTTTAAATTATTAAATATAATTTCTACAAATTTTAATAAATTTTTTTCATCATCAAGTTCTAAAATATTTAAACAAGCCTTAAGACGTACCTCACTATCTTTATCTTCAATAAAGCAATTTATAAATTTTTTATCTAAGATCTTATCAAGGAGCATTAAGGAAAAATCCTTATCTTTAGAATTAGTAACCTCATATGCAAAAGACATAGCCTTCTCCTTATCAATATCATATAAAGAACAAAATGCCTGAATAAGACAACAAGAATCCATCTCTTTGTATAAACTTTCTTTTAAAATTTTAGGTACATCTTCATATATTCCTACCTTTTTATAAATTGTTGCTAAACAATAATAAGCACTTCTTCTTACATAGCCAACAGAATGAGTAGTATTATCTTTAATGGATCTATAACAATTATTTAACACATCTACAGATCTTAATTTAGAAACAAATTTTAGTGTAAATCCTCTTACAAATTCGTTTGGATTTTCTAAATCTTTTCTTATTTGGTTGTTCAATAAAAGAATTTCGCTGTCATTAATTAAAGGCAGATAAATTTCTAAAAAATAATATAATAATCTCTTAAGTTCATTGTTTTCCATAAGTAGAACTTCTTTTAAAATTATATGAAGTAAATGATCATTTGCTTTTCCTTGACTTACATACATTATTAATTCTTTCATTCCTTCTATTTTTTTTTCTAAAGATTTAGATTGAATAAGTCCTAGTATCTGTTCTTGAGAAATTTCTTTAATGTCATGAATATACAGAGAAGTTTTAAACATTAAGGGTAAAAAAGTGAGAATTATATAAAAAATCTTAAGAATAAAACCTTAGAAAAAGAACAAAAAATTGAATTTTGCATTTTCATTAATTTAAATTCCATAAATAATATTTTACAAATAACATAAAGATAATACTTTATAGTAAATGATCTAAAAATAAAAATTTGTTTTTTCCGTAAATTTAATTCTGTTACAACATATAAATTTATGCTAATTTTTTTTAAATTTAAATTTTTTAAACCCCTTAAAATGTCAAAATCGGACTTGCGTGTTTTAGAACCATTGTCTGCTCACAAGGCCAGTGTTACTTGTATTCAAAAGCTCAGAAATGGCTCTTCTAACGTATTATTTAGTTCATCTAAAGATAGAAGTGTTTTTTATTGGGCACTTAATAGTAATGTAGACAGTGAGTTTGGAAAGCTTTACAAAGAATTCGGTCGAAAACACAAGAAAAACATTACAAGTATAGCTTTGTCATCTAACGGCGATATGTTGGTTTCAGTAGGTGCTGATAAGGTGGGTTACATATGGGATGTCAAATCAAAAGAGGCCACAGCTGTTCTTAGAGGCCATGATCGTGATATTTTAGCTGTTGCTATTAATAAAGATGATAATAAGATTTGTACTGGATCTGTTGACTGTTCTATTAAATTATGGAACACCAGAGGAGAGCTTATTAATACATTTGGCCCTGGATATGAAAATTGTCATAAAAGTTGGGTTACGTGTTTAGCTTTTGATTCTATGAATGAGAATATTTTGTATTCTGGTTCTAAAGATGGAACAGTTAAAATTTGGAATGTTGAAGATGGAACCCTTTTACGTACGTTTATTGAAGGTAACGTTTTGGATTATCAACGTTATGAAAAAGAAAGCGGAGAAAAACCTAAAGATTATGATTTAGCACTAAGTGTCACCTGTCTTGCTTTTTGTGAGGGAGGAAATCTTTTAATCTATGGTGGTAAGAACAATAAAGTTTATATTGTTAAACTAGATACCAATGAGTGTGTAGGAACTGTTATAGTTGAAAATATAGTTAGATCAGTTACATCTTTTGAATCTTTTGCAGGAATCGCAATAGGAACAGATGATGCAATATATGTTTACGATGTTTGCAATAAGACTATTATAGCTACTTTTAGCTTATTATCAATAGGAAAGGGTATTTCTTGTAATTCTATTGTCAGTAAAGAGGACATTTTGTACTGCGGATTATCTAATGGACAAATTTTATCATTAGAATATTCAAGAAGAAGCGAATAAATTAAATTTTTATTAAAAAAAGTATTTTTAATTTTTTATAAGACGAAGTAGGCTTTGTATAAGTAAAGGCTTAGAACAACTTGCTTTTTTGATTAGAATTGCATCAACTATATAAATTAATTTAAAGCTTAATTACTAACATTTTATTACAAATATTGTAAAACTCTTTTTGTATTATCATAATACATTAAATATCATACTTTTTCTGCTAAAAGAGTGTTTAATTCTTTTAATTAATATTCAACAGTAGTTTTTGTACAACAAAAAAATTAATTAAAACAACATAAAGTTAAATTTTTTAACGTACCACCAAGTTTGGGTATTAAGAGATGTAGAATACAGTATTTATAACAAAAGGATTAAATATCATTTTTCATGTGTTATAATTTTAGATTTAGCTAATACTTTATTATTAAAGCTTGTGAAATTTATTGCGTTTTCTTGCAATAATTGTCCACACATCATATAATAAGTTTTTGTCAAAAATTTATAATTCAACTTTTTATTAATATTTGCTTTTAATTAGTTTATACAATGAAATATAAAATTATGATGTTAGCAGAATTATAGAAATTTATTTTAAAATGTGCACTTATTATTACAACAGTTCTCTAAATATTTACAATTTATATCTTTGTCCCTACTAATATTTCCTGTATTTTACAACAAAAACTACAAATAATATATTATTATATTACATTTATATTTGGTTTAAAGTACTAGTCTACGTGTTTTATTTATTTTAAAAATAAAATAAAATTACCAGTTAATTTTTTGCTTTAAAATACTAATTACAAATTGTTTTATTGAATTTTGAAAGTCGGTCATAATTTTAAAAATATCTAAAACATTCTAATTTATTACTTATAATCTAAAAGCCTTATCAGTTTAACAATTTACATCTGTTAAAATTTTATAGCACATTTAAAAAGATCCTTGGACATTTACGCATTTTAGGACATTTCCGGCTCATATATAAAAAAATTACTTATAGAAGACAAAAATTGAAATAAAAATTTGGGAGCAACAACATTCCTGTTAGTTTTGTTCCAATTAAAAATAAGTATTATGTAAAGAAAACAACTTCAATCTATACGTTTTGGGCACGTTTGAATAAAAATTGCAGAGGTTTATTTCAAACTAAAAGTAATAATGAAAATAATTTATATTATTCTAAAATGCATGAAGTAGCTGAAGAATTGGGCAATGATGAAATCAGAAAATTTTAGTGTGAGAAAAAATGATACAAGATATCCAACTAACCCGGAAACCAATTCATGACTTAATATATTTTTCAGAATCAATATTAGATGATCGCGACAGACAAAAGCTATCCAAGATAGGCAGTTTAAAAAGTGGATTTAGACGACTACAAGAAAGCTCCTATAATTTTAGTCACAATAATAATTATGATATACCTGTGGGCTAATTAAAACAAGATCGGATTATAACTTTATCCAATTTGACAATTTTTTCAAAAGAAATATTCCTTGTAATGTAAGAAAACTAAAAATTTAAGAGTGGCTAGGGAACAAAAATTATTAGCACGTGATGGCGCATTTTATTCGTGACCTAAAGGATTTTACCATTTGTTTGGAGGCTTTTTATGTTTTGAATTTTAGATATATTTCTTCTGCCTATTTTTTACTTTTTTACAAAAATCAAGAAACACATACAGTATGCTTAAAAAAAGGAATATTTTTCGGAGCTTTATGTAAGTTAAGTTATAATAAAAAATAATTACTTTTAGTTGTAAAATTTTTAAATGTGCTTTTTTACAGTGTATTTGGTTCTTATTTGTTTTACATTAAACGATAAATTAATAAAAAATTGTTTCAAAAAAAAGAAATATTTTTATTTTAATACTTAGTATCATTTCCTTTTGCTCTAAAACATGCTAAAGATCTTTTGTAATAGCTTAAAGCCAATTTTTGACACAATTCTAATGGAATTTGCTGCCATCCATGTACTATTATTTCTTTCAATTTATTAAAATTTTTGGGGCAATATTGTAATAATTTTTGCTGTACTATAGCCCAAGGGGCCTCTATTGAATTTAAATCTAAAGATTGTGCAGGCAAATAAAGAAGTTTAAATTGTTTTGATTCGAGATACAGTTTTGTAAGCTTTGCAGTATGCTTGAGATCATTGTCTTGTTAAAAAATGTAATCTTGCAGACCCATTAATCTAGCCTAATCAAGTAGATTATTAGATAAAACATACTTAATACTCAGAATTCATTTTACCTTTAATAAAAACAAATTTTCCTACACCAAAGTATGAAAAACATCCTATACCATTACTGACTCTCCACCATGCTTTACAGTAGCAGGCAAATTAAGTGTTTTAAGAATTTTTTGATGATACAGATTTATATGAAAAAATAATTAACGATATTTCTTTCACTAGCAATGGCTTTAAAGGATAGATTGTGTTTTAAAAAATAAAAAAATAGTGCACAACCAAGATTGTAGAAATACTTATGATATTAAGAAATAAAGAAATTTTCGTTGAGTTAAATTATTTAAGAGAAACAATGATTATTATAAGACAAACATAGAAATTAAAGAAAAGAGAAAAAAGTTAAAATAACTAGAAATATTAATTCTGCAAATGTATTACATTGTTTAAAAAAACATGTGAAATTTATTATTTTAAAGACGAGTTTATAGAATAAATTTTATTTTTCACAATCCTTTTTTTGGGGCTAATTTTTTGAAATTTTCTTTTATACTGCGAACGAACAGATGCACAAAAGCGAATCTGTTTGACCACGATCACTATTTAGAAATTCAACCTTAATATTTGAATTAAACAAATCATTGTTAAAATTATGTATTGTATATTTTAATTAGCAATCTAATACTTGCATAAATTAATCTTTAAATATGTAGGTAATTTATTTAAAAATAGTGAAATATTTTAATCAATTTTTGTTACAAAAACTAAGATTTTGATATTTTAGACTCCTTTATTTAGAAGCAGAAATAGTTCTTTGCTTTCATTAAGTATAACAAATATCATATTCTATAATCTTTAAACTAATTTTATCATTGACTTATTAGCTATAAACCCTATTGATTCTTATTTTTTTATTAATTATTTTAGATATTGCTACTTGTTAGTCATAAGATTTTAATTTAAAAGAATAAAAAAATTGAAAAAATAATAGCATGTCAAATATTTTAAATATATTTTTAATGAATTTATTTTATTGTAAATCTATGTAGGTTCGATTAGCGAGAAATATTTTATAAATTAATTATATTTTATTCTTTATTTTAAAAATTTGAATAAATTAAATATAAATTTTATTACTAAAATATCTTTGCAAGATAATAAGAATTTTTATTTAAATTCATAGCAATAAATATTACTTAAGTTTATTAATGTTACAATATCAAATAACTCTTTAATTTGTAACTTAGCCTTTTTACGTTTAAATTGGTGGTTAAAAATATTGCTAAATTTTTTATTATAAAATATTTTAGATCGAAAATTTTTTATTACATTCGTAAGATTTTATTTTTTTAATCCTTAAATGTTTCTTTCTTTTGTATGTAAAGCACGGGGCTTAATATTGTTATACAACTTCGGTAATTATCTTTTTGAATACATTTGGTCTTACTTGACTAACTCAACAGTTTGGGAAAAGATTGAAAATAAATTTGTAGTAGTTACCGGTGCCACACAAGGGATTGGTAAAGAAATTTGTAAACAACTAGCATTTAGAAAAGTAAAATTATTGATGATCGATAATAATAAAGACAAACTAGAATCTTTAAAAAATGAATTGGCCAGTCAAATTGAGTGCGAATTTTATGTTATTGATTTTAAAATTACCGCAGAAAATTATAATGTTTTTTCATTTCTTGAAGATTACGATGTGGCTGTTTTAATAAATGCAGCAACTACAGCTGACAGAGGTGTAGAATCTTTTTTAAATCGTAGAAATGACGTAATTATTCAAACCAATATCTTAAGCACAGTTCATATCACTCATAGAGTCGCCGCACAAATGACTGAAAAAAAATTAGGATATATTTTATTTATCGGTGATTCTGCATTTGATATACCCGTTCCATACATTGCAGTTTATTCCGCCACTTTAGCATTTTTAAACCAGTTTGCCTCATCTTTATATTACGAAATAAATAAATACGGAATCGTAGTTGAGTATATAAACTACAGTCCAGTTTTAAAAGCACAATTAGATACATATAATTCTATAGATACAAAAAAATTTGTAACTTCACTATTTAAAACATTTGGCTCGAACAGAAGAATTATTCCTAGACTTAAACATATTTTTTGGCAATGTATTGTAGATTTAATTCCACGTTGGATTATAGGTCGTTATAAGTCAAACATACACGAGAAAATAGAACTTAAAAGAGAATTTTTAGAACAAAAGAAAAAACAATAAAATAAATATTTTTTTGGTATTAATGTATTAAACTCTACTATTATTTTTTGTAATAATGTATCTTAAATTACACATTTCATTGCATTTTAGAAACATCTTTCTATGCAAAAGTTTATGCACATTTTTGTTAAAATATCACCCAACCTTTGAAATATTTTTTGCTAAAGTTTGAAATTAAATAATTTGGAAAAATATAAATTTGTAAATAATACAAAAATGGTTAAAATAACCCAAAACTGCACGATTTTTGATATAACCAAAAAAAAAATTCCCCTTATCTTTTGATGTTACAACAGAAGAAGCAATGTGAAGAAATTTTAAATATGATTCGAATATGTATTTTTGCTCGTGTTTGCCAAAAATGTGGATCAAAAATTGTACAATATGGCATATCAATGGTACGTTGCAAAGACAAGTTTTGTAAAATAAGATATTCTATTTTTAAACATACTGCTTTCTTTTCTCTTAAAATTTCTCCTTCGACCTTTTTAAAAATCATTGGTTTATTTTTAACAATCTTTCATTCGAGCTTATTTCAAGAATTACAAATATATTAAAAAATAAAGTCTCTGCTGTGATTTACAAATTTAATAAAGAATCTATATATAATAAATATTCTGAGATAATTAATTTTGGGAGAAACGGAAATATAATAGAGATGATGAAAGCAAGTTGTGGAAGAGGATGTATAATAGAGGTCATGGGGTTGACGATATTTGGATCTTTGGTGCAGTTGAGTGCCATACTCGTACGATTTTTGTTGTGTCCGGTGATGCAAAGAAGTAGAACAGAACGTGAAAGTATTATTTTTATATACATTTTACCGTATTCTATAATTTACAATGAGTGTTTAAAAGGCCATCCTCATTTGAAACTTTATTGATTTGCACACAAAAACGTAAACCATTCAAAAAAAGTTTTAATTAAAAATAAGATATGCATACAAATACTTTAGAAGAAAAGTCGTCGAGTTTAAAAAGAAATGTGCCCTACAGAAATAGAACAGCTTCATTAGTAAGAATAGATCTCCTTAGGTATATGCTTTGGAGAAATCAACCAACAACAATGTTAAAGAATTTACTATATATTTCTTTTTTTTTACGAATATGAATTTTTAATGTATAATACAAATTTTTTTTAGATTTTATAACAAAAAATTTTAGAATTTGGCATATTTATTTCGCAAAAGTTACTTTTTTTAAAAATAAGAATTTATAATATTGTTTTTACAAAATGAAAATGCAAAATAAGAGTAAATTTTTTTTTTGAGTATATTAAAAATCGTGCAGCTTCAAGGGAGTTTTCTCCAAAAAATGAATTGGTTGTATTTTCGTGCCCAAAAGAGCACCTTTTGTATCATTGTGCCCACTGGGCGCAGTAATACAAGTTATTGTTTTAAAATAAATAAAAATTTAATAAATATATTTAAAGATTACAAGTTATTAGTTTCAAACATTTTTCAAATGATATTTCGCAATTCATTAATTTATTTGCCATTAATCATTCAGTTATTTCTTTATCTTTCATCCTTACAAACAAATTTTAAACTCATCGATTCACGTTTTTAATCAGTGAAAGCAAAAGAGATATTAAAGATTTTGGGTGAGAAAATGTTTTACATTTTTGTGCCCAAAAATTAAACGTTTAATTTTATAAAGACAGTATAAATAAGTTTTAAACTCGTTTTAAGAATTAATTTTTAGAGCAATAATAAAAAAGTAAATAACACTAATTAATAACGGAATTTTAATTTAAACTGTGACATGAGACTTTAATGAAAAGGCTTTATCTTTTTAGCTCGCATGAAATTATTAAGTATGTAAATCGTCTTAAATGGTTTGATAATATATAAATGAAAATATTTAAAAAAAGTTATAATTAATTAAGATTTGTAAATGGTGATAGATTAATATGAAAATATATTAATAATTCTTAGAGAAGACAATGCCTATGCATTAAGTATTATTAAGAATACAGTATAGAAATTTAAATATAATAAAGACAACAATTATTAACAAGGCAGTTGATTTAATAAAAAGATAGAAAATCAATTGACTGACCATTATATATAAAGTAAATGAATTTTTTCCTTTTTAATACTAAATACAAAAAGCATATTCTAGAATATATATGTTTATGTGGTATGAGAAAATATGCAAAACTTATTTAAATTGTTCAAGTAACAGGTAGAACAAATAATTATGCAATAAATATCATTTCTGGATATTTCATTTAAACTTGATTTTAATAACCAATAAATAGAGACTTTTTAACATTTAGTACTATAAATGTTTTAAAAAAATTGAATTTTTTAATTACCTTAATTTTTGAATTCTAACTCAAAAAGTGAAATTACTATTTGATGTGTCCTCCGTCAAGGTGTTGTTCAATAATAGAATATACATGATTATGATTTATTGAGCTCATATTCGACTTGATCATGCCTCTGATTTAAGAATGAGATTTTATATCAAATTTTTAATCTATGTCAAGAATATCAAAATAACCGACATTTAATTTGATATTAATACTGTGAGGATACCACACCATTACTATGAAAAAGCATCTTGATATTAAATTTAGTTCAACTTTTCTTCAGATATTTAATATATTTTAAATAACAAGTTAAAAGTTAAAACAGAAACCAATTAATTAATTCTTAAAAATTTTCATCAAAAATTAAAGATTAACTGTAATTTATAAGATTATTGTATTTCTATTTCAAAAAAATATTTTTTGATTTATTGAACTTCACTTTTAAGGTAGTACAAAAAATGTTTAAATTGTACTGATAACCAAATGTTTAATAAAAGGATTTTTATTTTTTAATTTATCTCAAATAATTTTTGTTTCTACTCTACTATCTAAATTATAAACTATAAATGACTTTTTTAGTAAAATTAAAAATAAAAAATAAAATTTTTTTGACAAAAATCAATCCATAATTGTCATTTAAATTTTCCTTATGCCTTAAATTGCAATCACTATTTTTTTAATTGGTTTTTAATTTATCATACTTCAGGTCCTAAAAATGATTTTATAAGATTTTTATATGATATTTCTTTATATGTTTATTAATTCTATGTCGTGTTTAAATAAATTTTTGATATTTTTAATTACACAATATCGAATGTTAAAAGTACAACAATTTGTCTTAATTAAATAATAAATAATTTCATAATATTTTTTACATATTCCAACCATTATTTGTATGTAATCATCACAAATTAGATCTGGTACCTGATTAGTTAATTATACCTTCAAAACAATTAATGTGATAAATTATTTTTTTATTAACAATGTAAATAAGATAGCTATTTAATTAAAACCCCCTTTTTAAAAAGTTATATGTTATCCAGAACTCGCTGAAACTGTGTTATTTTTAAAGCAAACGCAATTAAAGAAATTAAATTATTTCATTTATTTATGATTTTTATCGTATTTATAGTTTTAAAGGGGTAAAGATGAAATCTCCTTTTTAATCCTAAGAAGACTATTAGTTTCCTAATAATTTATTGGTCAAAAAGACTACAAAAAATTATGATTGGTTTTTATGTGAAAGTACATAACAGTTATAACTAACTTTTTTTGTAAGAGTTCAAATATGTATCATTAGAGTAATCTGCATATCTTTATGTCCACAAAAATATGAATTATTCTTAAAATAGTTTTCAGTGAAACATTATTTTAAACTTCGTCTTTGTTTCTAATAATAGCTTTTTCTGTGTGATAATGGATTATTGTAGTTGTTAATATCTTTTCTTTTGTGACTCTAAATTAAAAAGTTTTTTCACAAAGATGATTGTAGGAAGTTTCGTCAAAAATATAAAGTTTACGCTTCCACAAGCGATAAAGATGTGTCGTATTCTTGGAAAAGGATACTTAACTTACGGTGGTTCTCTTCAAAATTGTCATAAAAACTTTTTTAAATTTTTTCTTCTAATTTATTCTCATTGAAGCTAAAAAAAATAAAATATTTTGAAGAAGAAATTTTTAAAAAATATTAAGCATGTAGTAAGAATACTACAATATATTAGTAAAACAACCGAAAAAATGTTTAAAACTTAATTTATTGAATTTCCAGAATTAGATATTCTTGGCCAGCATTCAGCAACTTCTTTTGGTATAGATCCAGCTATCTGCCCTCCTCTCATTTCACCTTTTGTTGTAATAAGTACGGCAGCATTATCTTCAAAGCCGATATGTGTACCATCCTCTCTTCTCCAGACCTTCTTTTGTCTCACTAACACAGCATAGTGTACCTTTTTTCTTAAATCGGGTTTACCTTTTTTACAAGATACGACAACAATATCACCAGGTGCAGCAGCAGGATATCTATTAAGTCTGCCTTTGTATCCTCTAACACCTATAATTTTAAGTAATTTGGCGCCAGAGTTGTCAGCACACTTTAATAAAGTCTCCATTTGACATCCTTTAGTCATTCTACGGTGAGGCTTTCTTGCTATTTTTTTTTCAGATGCGTCGCCTTTTTTTTCTGCTGCCATTGGGGCAAAAAATTAATAAAATATTTCAAAAGTAAAAATTTATTACTGTTCAATACAATCTACTGTATCTAATATAGAATCTCTAATAGGATATATAAGTTTACAGCCCTCGCATTGTAAATAACCATTAACTATATCTATCTCAAAAAGTAATGTTTTAACATTTTTACTTACTAGAGGATTTGTAATATCGTCGTCAGTAAGAAAATCAAATTGGGGCTGTAAACGCTTTAAAAATTCTTTCATTTCATTGTTTTCTAAAAAGCCCTTTAAAAGTTCCGTATTATAATTTGTTTCTACGTGTCTTTGTTCTTCAATATTTAAAATAGTATTAGTATTAAAAGTACATCTTTGACATTTAAAGACCGCTTGTACAAAAATTTTCATTTTATGGGTTGAGATTTAAGACTTAAATTGGAAAATGTTCAGACAAAAATAAAAAATTATTTATTTTGATTTGTTAATTTTATTATTTTAAAAAAACTACCCCTCTTTTATGTCATTTGGTCCTGGCGAAGATTTTATAGATATTTTCAAAAAGACTTTGAAAAAAAACGTAAAAATAAACGATAAAGATTTATCTGAAGCTGTAAACAACATGCTTATAAAATCAAATATAAAAAATTTTAATGAATACATTCGTACATTTAAATATCGCAATTATCAGAACATCGAAGATTCTTTAGAAAAATATAAATATAAAAAATATTTTTACAGACATGCTGGCGACTTGCTCGGACATTCTGGACAAATAGAAAGAATTACATTTGATAACACAGGTAAACATGTTGTAAGTGGTGGATCTGATGGAATGATTAAATTTTGGGATGTTGAAACAGGATTTTTGATTCATACCTGTATAGGACATAGAAATTTAGTTAATGATTTATGTTTTAGTAAAGATGGGAAATTTTTTGTATCCTGTGATTTTAATGGCATTATTAATGTTTGGGATTTATCAAACTTTACAATACATTTCACAATTAGATGTTTCACTGGTGTTACATTTTCAGAATTTTTTGAAATTAAAAGTCAAAAAGATGTTTACAATCTTGTTGTAATTTTTTGTAATGGATTAGTAAAAGTTTACAAATTTAATTTAAGTGGTCTTGTTGAAGAAAAAGAAAATGATTTTACATTAGATGAACCTTATAAAGCGATTTGTATTACAGATGGGGGACGATTTTTGCTTCGTGCTGGTTATTGGCCCTATTTAATTCTATTAGATACTTATAATATTGATAAATGTGTAATTTTTGAGACTAATAACTTGCAGGTACAAACAATTTGTGCAGCAAAAGACTGTTTGAAGTTTGCTGCTGGATGTGGAAACTGGCTTTTTCAGTGGACTTATTTTTATGAAGGCTGTTCTTCTATGGGTAATTTTAGCCGAACTACAAAAATTATCGCTGGTCATTGGAAAAAAACTGTTTTTAAATTAGACACAGAAGATTCTTATCAGATTGATAACATGAGCTATCTAAAAAATGGATATTTAGCGTGTGTTTGTACTGATCTTAAAATTAGGATTTATTCTGATCGAATATTGCGATACACGGTAGAGGTAGATGAAATGGGAAGTATTTGCGCACATCCTTTTGAAAACATTTTTGCTTATCATGGCCAGTTTCTTAAATTTTATTTTTTAGATAAATTAATTAATTGTGAGAAAATTAATTTTACTGTAAATGATTGTCAGTTTTCAAATGATGGTGATTATTTTGTTATTGGTGACGAGTTGGGAAATGTAAGAACTTTTTCGCTTAACCATGATAAGTACATTTTTTCTGAACAGTTTTTTTTATCAGATTTTGAGCATTTTACAACAACTAATAATACTTTATACAGAGAATGTAAAAATGATTGTACTTTAGATTCAAATAGAAATAAGAATGAAGGCTGGTTACTCATTGATTATTCTTCGCGTCCGATTAATAATGCAAAAAATGTTTTAATTGAAGAAGCAGCATTTGTTCATCTTATTTCTAAATATCTAGATAAGTCTAAATACAAAAGAAAATTTTGTGCAATAGACATTGAAACGACTACAACAACTACAGAGATTGAAGAAAGTGAAGGAAGCGTAGACTTTAGTGATGAAAGTTGTTCGGATACGCAGGAAATAATAGAAAATGAGAACAGGTCAAGTGAAGAAGAAATTATTGTTAGAAGGCGAGGAGTTTATAAGGATCCTATACTACCTGTTGAAAATAAAATTTCTGTCACATTACGTCGTAATTATATTGAATCAATTGAATATCCAAAACCCCGAATGGTTAGGTTAAGAAGAACTAGTAATAATGAAGATGAAGGGTTGGAATTTTTTCATTATCAAAGAAAATCAGTTAAGAAAAGAAAAAAAACAAAAGAACAGGATTCTTTATTTGAACAAGGGTTTAGAAGAAAATCTAGTGACTCGTCAAGCTCTAAAATTAGACTTAGGCGGCATATGTTACTAGAAGATTAAGGCCATTTTTGCTTATTATATTCTTCGTCTGGTAGATATACATTTTTGTTTCTTATTATTTTAATTTATACAAAATTAAATAAGTTATAATATTTGAACTAAAAAATTAATTATTAACGATATTTTTCTGCTTTTTATTGATAATTTGTTTTTGAAAAAATTTTACTTTTTGATTTAAAGTTCATTTTAACTGAATAACAAAATGTTTAAAAAATAAAAACTTTGGAAAATAATTTTTAATGTCTCTTATTTATGCAGAACATTATTATTTAATAACATATTTTTCTTCTTTAATCGTCTATTTATTTGGCTTGATGCACAAATCTTTTGTTCATACAGTAACTGCAGAAAAAAAATATGCATATGTAAGTTGATTTATGAAATATTTTGAATTTTTAAAAAACATTTTCAATTTAATTTTTTTTAAATGACAAAATAAAAAAAAATATAAAGAATTAAACTTACAAAATAATTTATAAAGTTTGGATTTTAAACATAAAGCAAATTTCTAATTTACATGAATGGACCATATTGATGTTACAGCCTATTATTATTGTAAATATACATAGCAGAAGATATTTATACTTTATAATTTTAATTAGTAAAATTAATTATATGAAAATTAATTTGTGAATATTAAACTTGGACATGTCAAACAACCATTAATTTATTTATGTTTGACTTCTGACTATTTAAAAGATTTCTAATAATTAAACCCATGTTTAATTTCAACAACCATAAAATCAATTTTAATCATTTAAATAACCAAAGATCGTACTGATATGTATTTCCTTTTAATACTGAAAATAATTTGAACCCTTTCAATGTCAAATTTTTTACTGGCATGTAACGAGATTGCAAATGAAATAATAAAATTGTATAAACAAGATAAAAAAATAAATGTCAGTAATATAACATCGATTATGTGTAAAAAATATAAGCTTAAAAGTACTCCTAGAATTGTGGATATTATTTCTAGTATTCCTTATGATTACAAAGATTTAATTTCAAAACTCAAAGCTAAACCAGTACGGACAGCTTCTGGTGTTGCGGTAGTAGCAGTAATGTGCAAGCCACATAGATGTCCACATATAGCACTGACTGGAAACATTTGTATATATTGTCCTGGAGGGCCCGATTCTGAGTTTGAATATTCTACACAATCTTATACAGGGTATGAACCAACAAGTATGAGGGCTATTAGAAGCCGCTACGATCCTTATGATCAAGCACGCGAGAGATTAAAACAATTGAAGAGTTTAGGACACAATATAGATAAGGTTGAATATATAATTATGGGAGGAACATTTATGTCGTTATCTGAAACATACAAAAATGAATTTATAATTAAATTACATGATGCACTTAGTGGACACAAATCTAATACTGTTGAAGAGGCAGTATCTGTTGGAGCCGAGTCAAAACAGAAATGTGTAGGTATTACAATAGAAACGAGGCCTGATTATTGTGCTAAATCTCATTTAGATAAAATGTTGGCATACGGTTGTACTAGGATTGAAATTGGTGTACAAAGTGTATATGAAGATGTTGCCAGGGATACAAATAGGGGACACACAGTTGAGGCTGTTTGTCAATCTTTTTGTATGACTAAAGACGCTGGGTATAAAATTGTTAGTCATATGATGCCTAATTTGCCTAATGTTGGATGGAAACGTGACTTAGCACAGTTTAGAGAATATTTTGATAATCCGCGTTTTAGAAGTGACGGATTAAAAATTTATCCAACTTTAGTTATTAGAGGTACGGGGTTGTATGAGCTATGGAGAAATAATCAATATAAAAATTATTCTCCTGATGAACTTATCGATTTTTTAGCTAGAATTTTATCTTTTGTTCCACCATGGACAAGAATCTATAGAGTTCAACGTGATATACCTATGACTTTGGTTAGCTCAGGTGTAGAGCATGGAAATATAAGAGAGTTAGCACTTTTGCGAATGAAGGATTATAAAACTAAATGTCGTGATGTAAGAACAAGAGAAATTGGCATTAAAGACATTCATGAGAAGCTTGATACAATTAATCCTGAACTTGTTAGGCGTGATTATGTCGCCAATAAAGGCAGTGAAACATTTCTTAGTTATGAAGATGTCAAGCAGGATGTTTTAATTGGTCTTTTACGGTTAAGAAAATGTAGCGAAGAAACTTATAGGGCTGAGTTAAAAGGTGTTAATGACAAAAATATTTATGATATCATCAATCCTGATTTTGAGATTATATTTAATAAAGCTATCAACAATAATAATGCTTCTATTATTAGAGAGTTGCATGTTTATGGAAGTGCTGTTAGTCTTGACCAGAAAGACAATTCAAAATTTCAGCACAAAGGATACGGAAAATTATTAATTGATGAAGCGGAAAGAATTGCCCGCGAAGAGCATAATTCGAACAAAATGGCTATTATTTCTGGCGTTGGTACAAGAAAATATTACGAAAAATTTGGATATCATTTAGAAGGACCATATATGGTAAAAATGCTATAAGTAAAGCATTTTTGTGTTTTTTTACTTTGCTTTTGTTTTAAGGTTGGATTATTAAAATTTTCTAATTAATATTTTCTATCTTTATTTTTTTAACATGTTTAAAAAATACATTGCACAACTAAAGTTTTTTATAAAAAATTATAAACATGGATCAGTTTACAGCTTTTATTGAAGTAATGTACATCAAAAAATCAAATCCTGTTAATAACTTTCGTTTTTGGTTTTATAAAAAAAACTATTAACTATGCTTTAAAAAAAAATACAAAATAGATTTTGTTATTTAAAAATAGACTTAAATTTCTTTTTTATATTTTATTTGTAAATTGCAATCGTTAACAATATAAACTAAAAAGATAATCAAGATAAATAATATTGTAAAAAAACGTTTAAAAAGTACAATTTTATTTAAAAATAATGAATTTATAGAAAAAAATAAAAAAATCAAATGTGGAAATTTATTTTTTTCTAAAAGTAAAAAATATTTAAAACACCAAAAAAAGCATAAGTTTAGGTAAAATAAAACCAAACGAAGAGCATACAATAATTTAATTATTATGTCACTTCTTCGCTTGCAAAGAATAATAAAGTGATTTAATAAATCAATACCAGCTTCTATATGGTCTGCTATAATTTCCTCCTCTGCTATTATAACCACCATTTTTTGTAGTAGACATGTCTATTAACTTGGATGGAACATCTTGATTAGCTTCTTTAAGAATCTTCACTAATTCTTTAGCACAGGCGCTATTTTCTGAGGTAAAAAATGAGTGAGACAATCCTTCAGTTACATCTCCTCTAGCTGTACGTCCAATTCGGTGTACATAATCTTCGATATTATTTGGAAAGTCATAATTTATTACTAAAGCTACATTTTTAATATCCAATCCTCTAGCTGCTACATCTGTAGCTATTAAAATATTTTTATAACCAGATCTGAAATCACTAATTATACGATCACGAATATTCTGCGATTTATCGCCATGAATAGCAACTGCTTTGTATCCTCTTCGTGATAAATCATCCTCGAGATTATCACACATTCTTTTAGTATTAGCAAAGATAATAACTTTTTCATTTTTCTTTTCATTTAATGACTCATGTAATTTATTAGCTTTTTCATGAGAATCAATAACAGAAACAATTTGCTTAATTTTAATATTAGTTTTAAGTTCTACACTACCAATTGTTAATTGTACAAAATTCTTCATATAATTTTCTGCTAACCGCCTAACCTCTTTTGGCCACGTAGCACTCCACATAAGAGTCTGTCGATCAGGATTCGTATTAACTATAATCTTTTTTAGTTGAGGTTCGAATCCCATATCAAGCATTCTATCCGCTTCATCTAGAACCAAAAAAGTAACCCTGTTAAAATGCAAAGCTCCTTGTTCATTCAAGTCAATAAGTCTCCCTGGACATCCAACAACTACTTCACATCCCATACTGATATCTCTTTTTTGTGTATATGAAGATACTCCTCCATAAACAGCAGTACATCTCATATTAAAAAATCTGCAATATTCATCAAACACATCTTTAATTTGAAGACACAACTCCCTAGTGGGTGCTAAAACTAAAACAATAGGACCATCTCCAGATCTTAAAGGAATCTGAGCTCTAGCATGAATGAGTGCTGGTAGTACAAAACTAAGTGTTTTGCCGCTTCCAGTCTGCGCTATTCCAACCATATCCTTTCCTGTGAGTGCCATCGGCCACCCCTGCGCTTGTATAGGCGTTGGACTAGTAAAAGCTTTTAGTTTAAAATTATTTAACACCTCATTTTCAAAGGGTGCATGTTCGAATTTAACATAGGGATGTGGTACATCTCCAGAAATTTTAATATCATGTTGATTTCTAAAATTATCTGCTTCTCTGTCGGTTAAATTATCGGTTTTTTTGTAAAAATCTTTTTTAAATTCTACAGCACCAAGAGCTGGTTTTAATTCAAATGCCGGCCGTGACTCACTTCTACCTGGTGTCCAAGAAACACTTTTATTAGAGGTCCATCCACTTGATCTGTTTGATAATGGCCTTGAATTTCCACCATACCAACTATCTCCTCTAGAAAAAGTATTGTTTTTATATGCTCTATTTCCCTTTTGTAATTTATCATCATTATCATCACGCCAAGATTTTTTCTGGCTTCTATAACTACCGTTGTAATTATCGTTGTTACCGTATGACATTTTTGAGGGTCTAAAAAAAGAAAAATTTATAAAAAAACTTTTACTTTTTTTGTCACAAAAAATATATTCTGTAGAAAAAGCAATTTTTTATACCAATTAACAAAAACCATGTTTATCGGCAAACTAAGCTCCAATGGTCAAGTGGTATGACAACAGCCTTCCAAGCTGTTAGCCTGGGTTCGATTCCCGGTTGGTGCATATTTTTATATGTATTTTTACTTTGTGTGAAAAGAACAAAATATTTTAAAAATAAAAAACTTACTTCATAAAAAAAATACAAATTTTATATATTTATTAGATTTCATTGTTATCTTCATCATAAAATTTAAAATCTGGTCCATTTTTATTAATATCTAGTAACTCTCCAACATCAAATTTGAATTCTTCGTTAGTACAAGTAGCATCAGGAAGTTTAAATTCAAAGCTTTTGTCCAATTTTGGAAGAGAAAATTCAACATCATTTGGTAAATTTGGAGAAGGAGATTCTTCGGAAGCAAGAAAATTTCCAGAAGAAAAATTTAAAGTCTTAGGAAGGTTAAATAATACATCAGATTGCTTACTGCTATTTTCATGAGATTTATCTAGTAAGTTTTCTTCTTTGGCAGATTCATTACATGCATGATCAATATTTTTGTCTATTAAATTTTGTTTTTCTGTAGACAACACTTCAATATCAGATTTTATTGCTTCTTCACTGGCTTCTTTTACAGATGTTTCTTGTAATGTCTTAACCCTTTTAAACTCTTTATTTCTCATAATTTTTCTTTTATTTAAAACAATGTACTCCTTTTCTTCTTCCTCTTCATCACTAATTCCTTCCAAAGAAAACGTATCCTCATCTTCACTATATCCTTCATTTATATCATCAATTACAAAATTAATATCAGTTGAAAATTCTTCTTCTGAATTTTCCAAACTACTATTGTGTCCCATAATGTCTTCTTCACATCCTACACTTTCAGCCAGCAGCCTTATAAATTCAGTTGCTTCTTCTTTAGTAAGTTTTCTATTTTTGTCTTTTAGAAATTTTAAGATGTCTTCGTACATTGGGGTTGTGTTAAAATCGACATTAATTTTTTTATTTATAAAAAAATTTGTTGGTTTGTAAAACAATGACACGACAAAAAATAAATATAATTAGCACATTGCATAATTTTTATAAAAATAAATAAATTATTTATTTAACTAATTCAACCAATTTTGGTTTCCATGTAGTTGGTATTCTTAACTTCTTTTTGTAGTGTTTAATACACCTATTTAATCTACTAGTAATTAATCCCAATCTAAACTTAGAATCCTTATCCCTTCTGTGGATATTAATGTGTTTTCTTAGTATATTAGCTCTTTTAACTAAGTCTTTTACATCTTCGGGAATTTCAATAAAATTGCCTTCTTTCTCTAAATATCTACTAAGACTTAATCCATTAAAAATAGTTTTACAATCCCCGACACCATAAACATCTCTTAATTTATTACCAATTTCAGCAGACGACACACCCTTGGTATTCATTTTTAATACATCAGCTTTTATTTCTTCAACTGGAACATCTAACCAGGTTGGAAACATTACAGTAAATGGTTTTATACTTGTACTTATACCTCTGCCACTAGAATGCATTTTAGCCATTTTAAAATGGGGTAAAAAAACAAAAAAATTTACAGCATAAATTTACGAAAATAATATATTATTTTGTAAAATGTGTACAATATTATAAAGTGTATTGTATCTTAAAACAATTATATGGTTTTTATACCAAAAAAATTTATAAGACAACTAAACATATTTTTGACTATAAAATTAAGTTTTGGTTTGTTACAAACAAGAAAAGAGGTGATGTGTAATTTCTTTATTCTTTTAATTAATTTTATGAAAAAATATTTGCACTTATCTGCCAAAGCTTTTTTACACTAAAAAATTGCAGTCTAAAAAAATAATTAATGTTTGGTGAAAAAGGTGTAAATAATTATATCAAAATATGTGAAGAAAGAATGCTTAAAATATTATATTATAATTTTCTATTCAAGTTATATACATAATTGTTTTATGTCATTTAATATGCACTATATTTTTTTATTATTTTGGATTATAATTTTCTGATTTTCGATTATTTAATTTCAGTATCTAAGTTCATTAAATTTGCCTTTAAATGTAACAATATTTTAATGTCAATTTTAAATTTAATAAAGTCAACTTTGTAAAAAATTTTAATGACATTAGATCATAGAATTATTTTTAATAAGAACTACTGTTTATTATACTTTTCAGTAAATTATTATTAATAGTGGACGTTTCAAAGCCGAATAATTGAATTTATTTAAAAGATATTTTCTTACACAAAGAATTGGGTGTTTAATATAACTTAAAAAAAGAATAGTGCTTGAACTAAAATAAGCAAATTAATTTACCATGCCTACTAAAAAAAAATTAAATTGGCAGATACGCGATGCAATTACAGGCATTTTGGATTCAACCAAAAAATTTGATCATGCTATAAAAGGTAGTTTTTTTTTAAATTATTTATAATTTGTTAGCGGTGAGCAATAGCATGTTTTACTAACAAGATATTTTTTAAAGTTATTGATATCCAATCATGATTTTCAAAACAATATTTTAGTTTTGTAAAACAGCAATCCTGCAATAAAATGTGCCTTCTGCTACTGACTATTTTGATGAATCCATTGTTTAGAGTAATATGTTCATAAAGAATACTATGTAGATTTTTATTATTTTAAATACTCTAGTTTGGATATAAAAAATTCCCTTTACATTTTTTCAAAAATTCAAGATATAATTTTTTAGAGTTTTGTTTCTTTTCCCACTTTTTTATATTTTGTAATTTTCACATTTAATGCCCATGAAGTCACAACATAAAAAAAATAAAAAAGGTACATCTGAAACAGCGAAAGAAACATTCAGTCCCTCAGGTAATGAAAACATTATTAATCAACAGCAATTGCCAGTTAATGATATGTCCAACACAGAAATCAATGAAAATTGTAGTGTTAACGATGAAAATCCTGTAGAAATTAAGCTAGATGAAGCAACTAAACGTGACTTAGACTCGTTTAATGCACTTAACCAAAAAATGTTTATTGCAAAATACGCCTCATTAGAAGATTCTACTGCATCAATTATTACATTAGTAAAAAATATTCCCAGTAACAAAGCTGATAAATTAATTCGTTATATTCTCAAATTAACAAATTTCGATATTTTTGAGATTGAAAAGTTAACATTAGAAAAAAATAGATCTTTTAGACAAATTTCTACCCGCGTTATTTATGCTTATATTATTTCTAAATATAAAGAAGGTATAACTAATAATATTAATATATTATTTAAAAATACTTTTTTACGCCGATATAAAGATGTTGATCCTGTTATTAGAGCATATTCTTACGAATTTCTTATTAATTTTATAAGCCTGGATCAAAAGCTATTTAATAAACATAAAGGAATGCTTTTATATGCAATAAAAGATAAACAAGATATTGTAAGAAAGTCTATTATCTCTACAATGAGAAGTAAAAATATTTTTATAAAAAATTTGCCTTTAATAGAGTTGGCTAAAGGAGATAAAAACAAGAATATTAGATTAGAAATTTGTAAATTTATTTTAGAACAATTTTTAAATGATAATTATGACGAAGATACAATCTGTGACATTTTAAAATTCAATGGCGGGTCTGAAAAGTTTACAAATAAAGAATTCCAACAGTTACTTTGTCGATCATTCAAAAAAATGTCACAGAGTGATGCAATTGGAGCTATACATAAATTTTATACAAATTGTAAAGATTACCTTGAAAGCTTAGAAATAGAATATTTTGAATGTGACTGTACTAAGAACTGTTACCTTCAGATTCTAGAATTACAAAAAAAGTCGCTTAAAATTAGTGAATTATTTGAATTTTATAAAAATAATCTTAATGATCTTGATTCAATTATAGGATTACTAAATTTTTCTGATATTGATAATACAGAAATTTTTATAAAATTTATTGATGAAATAATAAAAAATATAAGACACAACAATGACATGAAGCAATTTGACAAATTATGCGAATTTTTTAAAAAGTGCGAATGTGATTATAAATCTATTATTGAAAATGCAATTAATACAGTTATTAATATTCGGGATTTTAGAAATGTAATTATTAAATATTTTGATATTGAAGACTTTGTCAGAGAGACTGATTACTTAGAAACACAAATCTATAAAAATTTATGGGATATTGTAAATGAAGAATACACCAAATTAACGAAATTAACTGAGAGGCAATATGATATTTTTTGTGCTAAAGATTTGTGTAATTTAATTTTGTATATACATAGCCAGATCAAAGACTCTGCTATAAATATAGATGATTTAAGTAGTGTATGTTGTGATAAGAAAACAGCTCTTAGAGTGTTGTATTGTGATTTAATAAAAATTATAGATTTAGATAATTCTGAATTACTACCTTTTCTTTATAAATTTAATGAAGAAGGAATTTTAGAAGAGCAAATGTATTTGATTTATAAACATATTAAAGATGTTAAAGAATTTTCCAATATTTTTTCTGTCAGTAAAAATAAGATAAATTACGTAGTGTCATTTTTTAAATTTTTAAATGTTTTTGATGGTAAAGATTTTGTTGATATTTTAAGCATAGCTAAGATTATTAATTTAAAATTTAAAGATAATGAAAAAAGAGTTATATTTAAAAATATAAAAAATTTTATAGAATCAAGCACGAATTATATTTGTTTAGATATATTTATTAATAAACTTAATATAAATGAATGTATTGTACTAGAAAGTATTTGTAAAGATAGTAAATTTAAGGATTTATTAAATAAAAGGATAAACAAGACAAAAGGTCTTTATACTACTAGTGAAGAAAAAGTTACTTATTTATAAACAATTTTTTTTACTTTAATAATTTAATTAAATTTGCATATAAATATGATTTTTTTAAATATTCAGGCTTGATATATTTTTAAATTAGTAAAATTCTTATTTTGTAAAACTCTAAAAATTTTTACTTATAAATTAAAGATTCTAAACAAAACTTTCAAATTGTTTTTTAATTTAATTTTTGTCAATTTTTATACTATATGTGTTAAAAATACAGTTTATAAAAATTTTGTCTTTTTTATCTGGTAACCATTATTTTTTATTTAAAAACTATAATTAAATATTTTAACTCGATATATTTTTTAATTAAGTTTTTAAATTTATAAAAACATAAATTAAAAAATCCATTAATTAAAAAATTGCATCTGTAATAATTTAAAGTTAAAAATATTTTGTAATATTCTATATACTTTAAATATATAAAAAGGTCAAAATATTTTAATTTTTTAAAAATAGATTTATGATCTGATAAAAAACATTTTATCTTTACACAATCAATTTTCGTTTATGTTAAACTTCGCTTAGCTTACCTATATAGACTAGGTAGGTTGAAATTAAAATAAAAATTATTTATATCATTCATCTAACATATTGCTTTTTGGGTTATATTTTGTGTTAGACATTTTTTAGAGTTAAGTTCAGATGCCCACATCATAATTCTTTTTAACAGCCAACAGTTGCCTCCCTCCGAAAAGAGGCACCAGTCATTATTATTGAAATTTACATTTATAGATTTTAATCTCTCTATAAGTTTTTCATAACCTCTTACTTTACGTTTCTCTTGTAGATATTTTTCATAAAGTTCAGCTCTTTTTTTTTTTCTCGATGCTTTCATAAAAATATTCCATGATGTTTTTAAAATATAATCAAGCTTTGAAATCTCTTCTTCTAACAATTTCAACCGGGATTTTAATTCCTCAATCTTATGTTTAATATAGACCAAAATAAATTGCCTACAATAAAGACAAAGGGTGATATACAACCAAAATAACATTAAGGGGTCCTTCAGAGTTATTTATAAGTTAAAGCAAAAAGCATTTATCATTTTAAATAATTTATAAAAATAATAATTATTAGAGCTTTTTAGTTAATAGGTTGTTAAATACGAATTATTTAATTAAAATGAAATTTTTAACTGCCAATTATGGAACAAAATTTAGATTTAATTTAAACATAATTTCTTTATGATTTAATCACATATAAAAATTGTTCTGTTTTATCACTTTAAAAAGTTTATTTTTTTAAATAATTAAAAAATTTTGATAACTTAAAAAAATGTTAATTAAAAAACTCTAAATTTTACTTTATTTTTTAGATCAAAAAATTAATGTTTATTGATAATTTTAAAAGAAATAAGTAAAAACAAAAAACATGATTTTGGTAAAAAGTATTTCTGATCGTACAATTTTTAATATCCTTATAAATATTTTTTTGCCCTTATTTTATAATTCACAAACATAAAAAAACATATAATTAAATTTTTTAAAATACCCATCAAATGATGCTGATAAATAAATTTTATTTAGAGAAATAATAACAACACAAGCATGCATTAAATGCAGGTTACTACAATATTGTTCACTGAACATAATAGAACTGCAAATACAGATATTCTATATACAAGCGTATAATTTTTTAAATAAAAATATTTTTATGGTATGGATATTTTGTTCTTGGCTATGTTTCTACAACTTAATAGCATAGCAGCTAAATACTAATGTATCTGATTGTCTTTAATAACATTTCTTTTTATAAAAAATAAATGAAAAGCCTGCATAAATTATTGTTTAGAAACTTTATGCATGGGTGGAAATTGAAAAGTCGTTGAAGTGGCGAATCAAAATTTGAAAAGAGAAAATACAATCGGGAACATATTATTGTAAGTTCGGGTAGTGTGAGAAGGAAAAAAACAAGAGTTAAAGTCATTAAATAAGATGATATTAGAAATGCGAAAATTTTGTATGAAATCATAAAAAAATGTATACAAAGACACAGTCTAATCTACATCGATGGAGGGAGGCCTTTTGTATCTAAAAAATTAAGTTTTTTAAGGTACAAAATATTTAATCATGTATTTGAATATAAAATTCAAAAGACTAGTATTTATTTTTGTATTATTGAATGAAATTGCTGTGCAATAAAAAAAATAGTTTTTTAATAAATAGAACTTTTTTCTTAATCAATACTTATCTTCTCAATGTTATATTTATGAGATTACTCTTTTAAAATATTTAACAAAATGCTTTAATTTATTTTAATTTTAATTTAAATGCAGATTTAGTGGTTAAACATTTACTCCCCCAATGTTTATACATTTATTTTGGTGTTATGAAATTATAATGTAAAAGTAAAAAAATACTTTTGATGAATATCTTAAATTGTGCAGTCAAAGATGGTTATTTAGGATAATATATATATTTATACATAATTATGGAACACAAATGTAAATAGTTGTATGACGTCTTTATATAGAAATTTTTGAATTAAAAAGAAAGACCATTAAATTTCACTCAACTTTTAAATTAAAAATATTTATAAATCAGCATTTATTGCCAATGAAAAAAGAAATTACTTCTTAAAAGAAAACGCATTTTTATTTTTGTATTTTTTAATGTTTGTACATCTCAATAAAGACATAATAACTATCAATGCATGATAATTTTATAATAGTAAACTTTTTTTAACACTTAGAAATAAGATAAATCAATCATTTCTTTTCTATTTTTTTTATAAATACGATTATTTAATAATTGTGCTTGTCGCTCGTAGTTCCAAACCTATAGGTCCTTAGATAAAAAATTAAGTAAATTAACTAGATATAAAGCATTTCACAATGCTTAAACTTTTTATACTGAATTAAATAACTAAAATAATTAACAAATATTTTATATTTTTCTTTCAAACATCTCTTGTTCACTAAAAATCTGACAAAATTTTATTTTGTAACACAAGTGAAAGACGAATACACAATGATATAAAAAACTAACACTTATTCTGGCACAAATATTTATATTTTGCTTAAACTTTAAACTCTTTTTATGTAATAGTTTTGTTTTACTTACTTGACATTCTACAACTAGATTTCATTAAATTTTGTACAGCATTTTTAAAACATTTGAGACTTTTTACATAAGTCTTTAACTTATAACTACTGTATATCGCAGTTTTTTTAATAAAAAAATATGTACAGATTACTTTTACTGTAATTCTATACTTAAATTTATAGTTGGTAGTTAATTTATGTAATCCATTTACTTAAGTTTTTAATACTAATAAAAAAAGTTGTATTCAAAATTTATCACCAAATAAATAATTTATGAATGTTTTACAGAAATAGATAACTTTATAAATTCTTTGATAAAAGGAAGTGTTTTTTTTCAAATATAACCCACACTAGGACAAAAAGGCTGACAAAGTCATAATGCTAAGATTTAAGTTTTTAGTTTACGATATTTTATTATTATTTAAAAGCTATGTTAATTTATTTTTCATTTTGTATTTTAAAGTGTACACTTTATCAATAACTTTTAATTTTACCCATAACTACATTATTAATTATTATAAGCTGCAGCAGATGCTTAACTTCTATTTAAAACATTGAAAAGATGAAGATTGAAATGCAGAGAGAGCAAAAGCTATTTGGGAGGCTAGTCGATATCGAACCCTAAGAAAATTAAAAGAAAACTTTATACTTTCTAAATAACTTACTTTCTGGTTATTATAGTACCTTTAATTTTTTATTAAGATAAATTTGTAAATTTTATCACAAAACATCCATTCATTTTACATGTTTAAGACAACAAAAGAAACTTTGATAATTTTTTTAAAATTTCTTTACCCATAAAATGGCCAAAAAAGTACAAGAGACTAAGGAGAAAAAAGCTCTAAAAGCCGCTTCTACGTCAAAAAAAGAAAAGAAAAAATGGACTGAGATAAAAAAGAAAGATGAAGCTAGAAAAATTTTTACTGTCTCTGACGAGCTGTTACAAAAAGTAGAAAAAGAGGTTAAAAAAGCTAAGATTGTTACTGTGTTTTCTTTAGGTAGTAAAATGAACTTAACATTAAGCGTTGCTAAGAATTTATTGAGACATTGTGTTAATAACGGTATTATATCCTTAATTCATAAAAGTTCAAAAACAACGATTTATGGTCAGCCTTTAGAAGTTGAACAGATTCCTGTTCAACAAGAAGTGTCAGTTGCTGAGGGTGATGGATGGAATTGATAATAAATTTTAATTATTTTTGATGATATAATTCTATAGGTTTAAAGTTTATGCTATTTGTTTTTATGTTTTAATTTGAAACGATCGTTTTATAAATTATTTTAAAATTACAGTAAAAAGGGGTTTATGGATCAAAACCCTAACATCGAAGTAATTCAAGAGTCATTAGAAAAAGATGATTTGTTAAACAGACTAGAAAAATTTAGTGTTTTCTTAGACACCTTGGTTTATCGTATTACTGAAGAGGAAATGCCTGAAGAAGATGTGTCTAAAATTGTTGATCATATTAAATTACAGAAGAAAATATATGAACATGCGCATAACTTATATGACACGGTAAAAGATGAAAATTATGAGAAAGAAAAGGCAGAGGCAAATTTAAATATACTCAAAGAAACACTTGAGGAATATAGCAAATTTAGAAATTTTCAAAAATAAATTTTTAAATTAAACTGATTTGTTAATCAATATTTATAAAGAGTTTGAATCTTAAAATTTTTTATTTTTTACCCTTCTTTTTTAAAAATTTTTAAAATTCTTTGTATTTTTTAAATACGAGTAGCATAAATGTTAGGTTTATTTTTTTAAGCACAAAACGGTGTTTTTGTGCATTTTTTCTTGCTTTTTTATTTAGTTATTATAATCTTATACAAGATGTCTTTAGCAAATTTTAATTTATAATAAAAAACGTCAGTTTGTCATTAAAAATAATAAGTATACTCATGAAGGCGTATTAAATCCATTAAAAAGAAAGAACACATATTAAATTTACGCTCCCGTTTTAAACGGGATGGCGCAAGCTAGTTTATAAGAAAATGTTAATAATTACGTTCTAATTATTTTGTGCATAAAAAATTGTTTAATTTTACAAAAAGTCAAGATTCTCATTATATATGTACACAAAAAAAGATTAAAATTTAAACTAAATCAAAAATTATTATATCTTTTATATAACAATTTTTAATTTAGCTTTTGTTTATATGTCAAAAATAAAGTGTTTTTTATATTAAACGAATGGCCTAAAGATAAACAAAGAAAAAAAGCATAAAAAGAAACTTTTTGCTTACCAATGTACGAAAAGGTGGCGACCGATTATACATATGCACTATTTCTGTTGTCATTTACCCCAAGGGACAGTCGGGGCAATCAGAGATGCAGGTCTAGGCACCAATAGTGTATCCAATGATGATACAAGTACAGGAAGTAGACCAGCACCACGAACCGGAGAAAGTTCTTTTGGCAGATGTATTGAGGTTTAGGAGCCCATCAATACATCTGCAAAGAAGGGTAAAAAAAAGCGAGAAGGAAAAAAATATTGAAGAATTAGGAAATTTTAAAAATAAATAGAGGGTTAAGTATTGGGGGATGTCTTAGTATCTGAAAATTTAGATAAAGATAAGGAACTTGTGCTGAACAATGATACATATACTAAAAAGAAAGTTGTTGAAGGAGAAGAGTAGATAAGGTGATAATAATAGATTTTAATTTAGATGCAAATAAATAATTGACTAGTAATATTAAGGAGGTTAAAAAACGTGAACTATTAGATACTACAGGTTTTGGGACTTTGATTAAAAATACAAATATCAAAAAGGTAAGATTCATTGATGAAGTAGAAGTTTATTGTTATGAACAGGTCATAGTCAAAGAGAAAAGTGATAAGCAATTAAATGCAAAGAATAATGAAGGTTACTTAACTAACAGTGTTGTAGAATCATCCAAAATTTTCGTAAGTTAAATTAATACTGTCATGGGTAACTTAAATAAAAATGTTGTAAATGATGAATCTAATGTATTTGATAATAATGTAAAGAATAGATTTAAAGGACTTCTTGATAAATTTGAGAATTTAAAAGTTGTGAAATTGAAAATTGTGAGGCAGAAAAAAAATAACATTGGTAATATTTCTTATCAAAGTTTTAATTTTACTAAACTGAAATCATTTTGGGAATAAAAATCTATACTATAGAAAATTATTATTGTAAAATAAAATCATTAGCTGTTCAACTTATCATCTATATAAATTAAATAAAATATACATAAAAAGTTTGAACCTGAACATTTTTTAACCCTTATTTTTTTAAACTTTGGAAAACGATTTTTTAAATAAATAACAATCTTTCATAATTAATTATATTGCATAAAGCTTAATTTTTCTAATATATTTTTCCTTTGGTTTTATTCAATTATTCAAATTGTAAAATACGCACTATTGTCATTTTATAATTAAAAGTGTGCAATGTTCAACAATAAACAATATATACATGCACAAGGACATAAACACATAATTTAAACAAAGAAAGTACGTATCGAATTTGAGTCCCGTTTTAAACGGGATACGTAAGCTATCAATCAATCATCATCTGAACATTTTTTTATTTTTTAACCCTTCTTTTTTAAAAATTTGTAAAATTCTTTATATTTTTTATTTTAAGCATGCAAATACCCTAAAGATTTTTATAAAATTGTTACTAAAAGGATATTACGGGGTTTTGTGTATTTTCTTAGAATTTTTCAATTTTTTTGTATGTGCAAAATGGTAACTATTGCAAATTTTACTTTACAATTTAAGACATTTTGTACTTTAAATAATGCGCACAAGCCTAAAACCATGTTACACAATAAAAAATAAGAATTATGTTTATATATAATCCCGTTTTAAACAAGATAGCATTAGCTAGTAAATTATAAAAAAATTAATTTAATCAAATAAAATCTTAAAAACAAATTTGTAGTCACAGATACGTATTCCCTTAGAAAGATCTATTAAACTATTTATAGCCTTCAATCTAATAATTGTATTTCTTCTATTAAGTCCAGTTTTTTTCTTTACATATAATCTATCAACACTTTCTTCTTCAATTTCATGACCTCCTGACAACCTTTGTTGTTCATGAAATAATAATAATTCGGCAGCGAATCCATGTTCATCAATTACATTTGTGTTTAAATTTTTTACAGTTTCTAATCCATTCAATAGTATTTCCATATCTTTTTCAAAATTATATGTCTCTAAAGAATGCATAAATAAATAGTCTTCATATAAATAAGGATAAAATATGTGATAAGATAGAAAAAGTTCATATGCATGTTCTAAACTCTCAAATTGTCTAAAGTCTGGATTATTTATTTGATTTAAATCTTTATTTAGAAAGCTCAAAATCTTTACTTTTCTATTGTAAATTAATTCATAAAAATTCCCAAACTCTCTTGTATCCCCCAATTTATTTAAAAACATTCTATTTGAGAAATATTTCTTTTCCTCATCATCGAAATTATTTTCCATAATTTTTTACCCCCCAAAATCAAAAAAATTATAAATAAAAATATTATTTTCTAGTAAAAGATCAATTCCATTTATTTGGACTATCATTAGTTATGTCTTTAATATTTGGAAATATCTCAACAACATTTATATCTTCACATAAATTAAAATACTCTTCAAGTTGTTTGTGACTTTGTTTGCATACCTTTTCATTAATTTCAGGATCCTTGCAAAAAAGAGGTTCAATGAAAATTAAAGAATCCTCATCATCTGATTTAATGTGGGGAATTATTGTACTCGATTTGTATTCATTTTGTGAAAGGCCTTTTCTTTGACTATCAATTACTTTTTTGTACAAATCATTTCTCATTATGTTAGGTTCAATAAGAAATTTTGAACTTTTTACATCATAAACTTTATTTTTCATAGCCTTGGGTGATTTTACATCGCTTGACAATAAATCTGCTTGTATTTTTTTATTGTCAAATTTAAACTTAATTTTTTCAGGCGTTGCTAAAAGTATAGATGTATTATCTAATCTTCTCGGTAATAAAGCAAATTTTTTATCTACTAAATTATTTTCTAATTTTCCTATATCAACATTATTGCAACCAGAAAATTTGCTCAGTTCTTTAGAATTATTATTTTTGATACAGTTTGTATTATTTTCATTAATAAAAACACTATTACGTTTCATATCAACCTTTAATTTTTCTTTTCTAAAAATACTTTTAAGAATCTCATTTTTCTTTTTAAGTTTTGCTTCCTGATCATTATTTTTTGTAAAATCTTCATTTTTGACTTGTACACATTCGCTTTCTTGTTTAATAGAATGATTTTCAAGATCATTATTACACTCTGCCTTATCATTCAATTGTGGCAAAGTTGGCTCTTTGAACGACTGATTATCACAAAGTAAAGACATTTTTTGATTATCAATGGGCACCGTGGACCCTGCTTTTAATGGTTGATCCGATGTAAAATTATTTTTATTTTCTTCAGTAACTTCATTTATTGAAGCTTTTTTTCCTAGTTTAATAATGCGCAATTTTTCATCGATGTCAGTAATTACATTATTTTGCTTTGGCTTTTTTTTAAAATTCTTCATCACTACAGCAGGCTTTTTCTTTGTTTTAGAGCTTTTTTTAGATAGTGGTTTTTTATTTAAAACATTCTGAAGTTTATCCTTAGAAGTAATAATTGGTACAACCGATTCGAAATTTTTATTTGAATTCTGTTGCAAATTTTCAGGAACAGTGTTTATATTATTAGAATTTGAATTAACATTGGCAGCTGAAATTAAAGATGTAAAAACATCAAAAACGTTGTTTGCGTATTCTTCTTTTTTTTCACTTATATTTATATTTGCCGCCAAATTATCATTTTTTGCATCATTTATTGGTGATGCAATGTCTTTATTACCACACTCCTCGGTTTTTATGCCAAGTTTCACATCAACATTATTTTCTTCTATAAAAATAGCTTTTTCAGCTTCTTTTTTATTTTCAAAGGATTTCTTAAATCTTCTTTGTCTTTCAATATTAAATTTACAAGGCTCAACAGCAGATTTTCTTCTTGTCCTAGTACATTTGTTAGTAACAACTTGTTTTTCCTTTTTTAAAATGGCATTATTAATTACATTTTTATAAAATTTATTCCACTCTTCTAATATTTCATCAATTATGCACTTTATCATCTTAAGGGTAAATAATTCCGATTGCAAAAAAATTAAAAATCTTGGTCAAATTTAAAGATTTTTTTTGATTCGATAAGACGCTCTTCAAAATTTAATATATTTCGTGTTCTGCACCAATAGAATCCATTTTTGAAATTATAAATATTATAAATGGTTTTTATGTAATTAATATCTAAATTATAAATGTACATAATTATTAACGAATCTCCGTTAATAAGTTCATAATCCTTACAGTTAATTTTATTATTCATTTTATATTTATACAAATAGTAATACTTATTACTTTTTTTACAATCTTTATTTTCCAAATAACACATTTCTTGTTCTAATAAATCATATGAAAGTTTCTTTTTTATAAGTTTCTTCTTAAATTTACTGAGATATTTATAACTTGCATTACTAAATTTTCTCATAATAATGTAATTTTCATAGAAAATCTGTTCATCAAACGTATCTTCGTACATTACATTTGATTTAAGATACCTTAAATGTGCTAATTTACATGGTATATTATTATACGTCTCTACGCCCGCCTTGTACAAATTTTCTATGTTATTTATAGAAGTAATGTCTTTTGTATTTGTGTCATTATTTGTTTTTAAAATTTGTTGATTACACCAAACAAAAAACAAATAATTTTTATATGAATGGAAATCTTTCGATAGATTTTGTAAACATTTATCTGGATTAATATGAAATTCTAACTTGTATTTAAGAATATGACGCATACCTTTAAGTATTAAATACCCATCAATAAACTTATTCGTATAATAAAGAAATTTAGCACTTAGTAAATTATTATCACAGGATGAAATTACCTTAAAAATTGATAAATCCCCTATAACTTTGTATAGTTTGTAATATTCTTTCATCTGAAATAGCTGATAATCTTTATTATTAACTTTTAATAAATTAATTACGGCTTTTAAATTTATAATGTCATAAATTTTACTTAAAATTTTGTTTAAATGTTTAATAGAAATTTCATTTTGTAGTATCCATAAATAAAATACTGGACTTGTCATTCTAACATGTTTTATAGGCTCTATGCTAAAAGGTATTTTTGATAATTTTACACCTTTAAGATTAATGTGTTTAATCTTGTCAGTGTAACATTCAATCTCTTTAAATGCTGAAATAAAAAATTTTCCAATGCTTTGAAAGTCGTATTCTTTTTCAAAAATTTCTCTTACAGTATTTTCAAAGCTAATATTAATTTCTACTAAATCTCCAATTTTATCCTCTGTAACAATCTTTGTTATTTCTATACTATTTTTAGGTAATTGTCTATTTATTTCTGTGCTTTTAAATTCTCTTGTATAATAATCTTTGTTTTTTATAAACGATAAATAATCAATCTCTGCAATTGGTAAACCCTTTTCATTGTATATAACGTTAAACAAAAAATTATCATAAATATTAACATCTGTTTCTAAATCTTTTACTTCATCAAAATCAAAAGAATCATTAGGCTTTATTTTTTTAATTTTTCGTTCTATTTTATCAAAACATGATAATTCTTCAAAATCATATTCTTCTTCTTTTAAATGATTAGTTCTTTTTTTACTCATAAGTGCCCTTTTTTTGTTTGCAATATTTATGCCATTATATTTTTTTAAATTTTACAGGCCATTAAAATGGACGATAAGAAAAAAAAACAAAGACGTGTTTCGTTTGCTTCAGAAGCTCCCGAACAAAATGTGTATGAGAAAGAAGTGACAATTAATTCTTTTACTACTGATGATGTTACGGCAGATTTCACTTGTGAACAAACAAAAATAGGAAAATCATTTTATGAAATTGCTAAAGAAGAAGACAAAGAAAATGATTCGTTAATGTCAAACAATACAGCAGTATTTGGAGAACTTGTTGACACACAGTACATTCGTACTATAGTACCAGAACAAAAAAAGGTCCAAGTTAATATCAATGAATTACTTATGGAACATGGAATTCGTTTTTTAGATGATATTGTCATTTCTTCTACACGTAGAGAAACCCTTAGTAAGTCAAAAAAAGAAGTTGATCCTAGAAACATTGTTTACTACAAGCATTTTTTAAGTCATAGGATTAAATTTTTTGAGGACTTTAGTGATGATTTAAAAACGGAATTAATTAAATTAAGTGATGAATTGAAGAAAGTTGAAATGAATTTTGACATAAAAAATACGTTGCTTGAGAAAGAAGATAAATCAAAACTTCGTAGCTTAAAAACGGATTGTAGAAATCGTTCTACTGTGAGTTGGTATGAATTGCGTGCTAAAAAAGAACTGGACTTTAACGATTTTATTATAAAAGTAAAGAGTGAATTGATTTCTGAATTTAATGAAAAAGAAAATGCTTTACTACAAATAAGAAGTCAGAAGCAAGAGCTTGAGGAAGAGTTAAAAAGTGTAGAAGAAAAACTGCAGAATATTAATTTACAAGATATAAATAATATTACAACACAAAGCCTCGATAAATTACGACGTGATATTTTAAGTCACGAACAGGTTTTAGAAGAATATTCTACAGAGCACGAAAAATTACGAATTGATGTCAATAATAAGTTAATTAGTGACAAAAACAATGAAACTAAATATTTAAAAATAAAAAATGAAATAGATGAATTAGAAAAACAATTTAAAGCGGTGAATGTAAATGAAAATGATTTAAACGATGCGAAATTTGAATACGAAAAAATAACAGCTATTTTTGGATTAGAAATTTTAGAATATAAACAGAATTATTGTGTTTTTAAATTTTTAAATTTTAAGCTTTCACTTGATAGGAATTTTAGTACAAACATAGGGGATGTTTATAAGTTGCTTAATATTCAATATTCTGGTATAAAAAGCATTATTCATGAATATGGTGTTATTATTACAAAACAGAAAACTGAAATACAACTATTAGATACAATGAGATTTTTATTTACACTCTATGAATTGTATAAAGAAGTTTTACTTTTATCAATAAATAATTCTATAGATGTTTTTATTGAAAAAGATGAATTGTATATTTTAATAGTAGTAAATAACATTCATAAGCTTGAAAGGTACAAAATAAAATCGAAAGTTAAACCAACACTAGAAATCTTGATAGAGACGCGAGGAGAATCATATTTATATAATTTATATGAAGATAAGGGATGTATTTTAGGTCACATAGAATAAATTGTTATTATTTAAGAATTTTTTTACCCTGCAAATGGACGAAGAAATTTTTAATTTTTTTATCAAAAATAATGAAGTTTATAACCGACATTTAAATAAAGAAGAGCTTAATATAATATTTAAAACGTATTTAGAAAAGCATAAAAAATACGATGAAGCCCTGCTCTTGTCTCATATTGAGGAATTTCATATGGAAAAAAATTCTAAGAATCGTACACCACAAGAAATCGAAAATGCTAAAAATTGGAGACAGACCAGAAGGGCGAGTGTGTGTTCTGATACAGTATTTCCTAGTGATTTTTCTTCTATTAGTTTTCCAAAAACAAAAGAGACATTTGAATTTCTTAGTAATGTTTTAGTCGCCGACATCCCCTTTGGTCTTCTTAATCCTAAGCAGAAAGATAAATTAATTGACATTATACAGTGTGTAGATATAGAAGCAGGCGTCACTTTGATTAAAGAGGGTGATAGTGGTAATACAATGTATGTAGTTGATGAAGGATGTTTTGAAGTTTTTATTAAAAATATAAAAATTAAGTCATTAAAAAGAGGAGATATATTTGGCGAGATAGCACTAATTCATAACATTAATAGGACTGCTACTGTTATTAGTAGTGTAAAAAGTAAAATATGGGTAATAGAACAAAAAATGTTTTTAGGATTAAGAGCCTTTGACAGGAATAAAAATAAGACTATTGTTTTCGAAGGCATTAAATCACACAATTTATACCCTGATTTAAACGAGAAAGAGTTAATTAGCTTTATTAATACTCTAAGTTTTGATTATTTAAAGGAAGACAGTGATGTTTTAGTGAATGAAGATGAAATTTTCTTTTTTACTTTAGATGGCATTATATCTATTGATGGCAAAGAACAGAAAGTTAAGCAAAAAGATACGGTAAAAAAGAGTTTTAAGTGTGTATCTTTAATTGAAGGGACAGTTATGAAAACTAGACAAAGAAAGTTATGTTTTTGATTGTAAAAATGAATTTAATTATATTTATTAGTTTTTTATATGTTTAGTTCTATGTTGTGTGACATCATTTCTATGAAATATATTTTTTAGAATTTATCATAAATAATTTATCCTAGAAGTTCTAATAAACTGTAAATTAATTCTGCAGATTTTATAAAAGATTGTCGACCATATTTCCATAACGTTAAATTTTTTTAAATAGCTATTTTTTAACTACTTGTTTGCAACTCAGACTCTTAATTATTATTAAATATAACTTTTACATATATTATATTAATAATGTATTCTTATTATAGAAACTTCTTTAATTATCGATATAAAAATATAGAATAGATTTTTTATAAATTTTTTATAAATTTTATTTTTTAAATAGCATATTTATGTAAACTTTGAAAGATCCTATAATAACCTTATAGTAAGAAAAAACATTAATTTATGTCAAAATATTTACAACAAATCATAAATTTAAATCATAAAAAAATGTATTGTACTGAATAACTAAACAATAACATTTTATTAATTTTGACACAAAAGTTTTATTTTTCTATTTGTCGTGAATATTTAACTTAAATTAATTTTATAATTTTCCTGTATGTTGATCTACAAATTACACATTTCTTTAATTATTAATTAACCAATGAAATGTTAGTAATTTCATATGCTGTTAATATTAAACATTTATTTTATTAACATCCAATAAGTTATTTAATCTCCTTATTTGTACTTTAAGATTTTTTTAGTCCTAGCTTAACATTTAAAAAATGAATGTTATCCCTAAATTTATGAGATTCTATGACACGGAGACATTGGAAAGCAATGAAGATAAAGAAAATTTTAACCCAGTTGTAAAACAATACAGTCCAGTTAAAAATATCATTAAGAAAAGAAATACGGTTCTTAAAGAGCTTACTGAACGTAACAGACATAAAGGTAATTTAGAAGTTAAAAGTAAAAAAGATGAAAGTGAAATTGGTTTTTTATTTAATAATATGGATCTTATTAACCGAAAGAGCAGATTTGGGAGGGAAATGTAATAAATAAACAATGTAAATTAAAATACTTTATGTATGATTTTATATGTTTTTAACTGAAGACTGTTTTACACACCTTATAATTAAATGCATAAAATTACTGGAGCTTTAAAATTTAGCATTCTTATTGTGCAAGGTAATAAGAAGATCTTTGAATTTATGTAGGAATAGTAAATGTACAACATACATGAATTAAAGATAATATATTTACTTTCTTCTTTCTTTATGTTGTATATTTTAAAATAATGTTTTATTTTAACGATTTTTTAGTCATTTTTTTTTCTATATTTATTACATGACGTAAGGAGCTTTTTCTCACAGTGCTTATCAAACAAAAGCTTTGTAAGTTTTAGATAATTAATAAGAATCAGAAAATAAATAAAAGACTTATATTAACACAATAAGATTTACAGCCTTAGAAGATATATAAAATAATACATAATCTTATTTAATACTTATATTGCTTCTTTGAATTTTTCTTATGTGTTTTAATAAACCCATTATCATCTGCAATTACACTGTTTTTTGACTCAAGAATTATCAAATTAACAAGTTTTTCACAATCTTCAATTTTTAGATTAGTTAAAAATCCTACAAGATTTACTGCTGTCTCCCTGTTCTTACCGTATAATTTTTTTATTAATAAATCGATGTTAATATTAATTTTTTTAAGAAGTAAAAATTCTGTGCATTTGCAAAATCTTGTCCTCTCTTTTACTAAAAACGTATTATTTTCTGTATTATTTTGCATAGAAGATGGTTTATCTTCAATTTGTAAATTTTCTAATTTATCGTTTATTTCTTTAAAAAATTCATCAGTTTTTTCTGATTCAAGAAAATCAGGAATAGAGCATAAAATCTGGAAATCTACAAAATCTTTGTCATAATCTCGCTTCATGTATGCATCTGTAAATTTATTATTATCAATAAACTGCTTCATCTCTGATTTTGTATAAGGTCCCAATATATCATTATTACTTGTTTTTACTAGCCATCTATCCTCTTTTTGAGATGTTAATGTATTTTTATTTTTCTGTGATCGTAAAAGTGGAGCAATAATTTTTCTCTTGAATACTAAAAACTTTTCATCGGGAGTAAAAGGTGTTAAGGTCTTAATTGTATGAGGTTCTTCATTCATAATATGCAAATTAGGATTCCATATTTTCGGTTTAAGAGATTTAACAGTAAGTATTTTGTGAAGATCTTTCATTGCAAGGGTAAAGACTAAAAATGATAAAAAGAGAAATTTATCAAAATGGCTTATTTGGTTGTAAAAATATCACAGGGATGGTAAAATATTTTGATTGTAATGATTTAATTTAAACTTGAGAATAAAGTAAAATAGATAAACAAGATTTTATTTTTGCATTATACAAAAATAAAAATACAGCAACTTCTCCAATTTAAAAATTAATATAAAATTTTATGCCATTAAACTGCGAAAGATAAAATAAATTGGAAGTAAAAAATAAGCATAAATTTAAAATAAAAAGTGGGAACAAAAAAAAGAAAGTTAGCATAAATTGATAAAAAATCAAAAAAGTTTATTTTATAATTTAACAAAAATAAATACAAGATTTAATATAAAAATGGATTATCATCATCACCTCCTTGCGGCTTAAAGTGATCTGGATCAGGATCTTTTTTATTTTTTAGAGGGAAAATATCTGTTTTATCAATTCCTTTATCACTTTCTTCTTCTTCTAAAAAATCTTTTGGATTAAAAATAGCACCTCGTTTCTGTCTATGAAATTTTCTTCCTATTGCAGGATTCAAGTCATCTTCACCTACATATCCAAAGCTGCCTATTTTTTTAGAACATTCGCCTTTATTTTTAGCAAATTCTACAGGCTTTTTTTCCACAGCAGGATATAAAAGATCAAGCTTATTACTAATTTCATCCATTGTATACATATTTAAAGGAGTAAGTAGTAAAGTTTTCTTATCTTTATGCAACATATATGAGTTATCATCTACTTTTACAATTTTATAATGTTGTTTCATTTTTTGAATATACTCTTCGAAATTCATATTAAGGGCAAAACTAAAGAGTTAGTATTTATAATGCAAAAAATGCAATTTTTCTAGTAAATAACTTAAAATGTATTTTTTTACACCCATAATGAAACTTCAGTCAAAATGGGTAATATGGCAAAATACCAGTGAAGATTCAGATGTTAAAAGTTGGGCAGATGATCTAAAAAATGTAGGAGAATTTACACAAATAGAGGAATTTAAATTCTTTGCAGATGAATTAAAAGAAAAAAAGTTAGATAAACTACTGTCACTAAAAATTTTTAAAAGTGGGATAAAACCAATGTGGGAAGATCCTAGAAACATGAATGGTGGCAGGTTGGTTATTGATATACCTACTGCTTCTGGATATAATCCTGAAGAAGTTTTTCTATTGACAGTAGCCTTTTGTATATCTAATACTGCTGCTGGAATATGTGGATGTGTTGTGATGAGTAAGCATGAGTTTATTAAGATATCATTATGGATTGAAAACGAACAATACCACGATGATATAATGGCTAAATGGAAGGATGTTCTTGTGCGTTATGATCTAAATATTTATTTTTTGCTGCATAAAAAAGGTATTGATGGAAATAAAGGAAGGAAAACTTGGAATAAGAAGAAAGCATATTTTTAATGACAGCATAGAATAGTATCTAATAATAAAACTTTTTACAAACTAATGTTAACAAGTTTAATTATATTATTGCAATGAAAAGATTAATTTTAACTTTATTTTTAATTAATGTTTTATTTGTGATTTAATTTCTTTTAAAGAAAGAAATACCCTTAAAATTTCTTAATTATCATTAATTAATGTAGACGTGTAATTTCTTTACTTGCAGTACTTTTTTAGCGTTATGATATGTAAGATCATATTTTTTATTTTTGGTAGAATAAAGAATTATTGATTTTTTATGACACAATTATTTTTTTTAATTCTTTCTCTTAAATTAAATCTACAAATATTTGCATTTTTAAAAGTATAACTCTGATATATTTTACATTTAATTTGACCAGATTAAATATTTTAATTAAGCTTAATCAATATTAGAAATGATATTTTGGACTTTTTTAATTCTCACTTTACAAATTGACTATTATGTAAATTTAATTATCAGATTATTCTTTATATATTTTTATTCTACTTTCCGTAAAATACATTAAATTTTATAGTATTTACCTCAAATTATGACTATTAACATACAAATTTGTTATATCTATCCTTTTCTCAAGCCTTTTTTATTTATAAATTAATGTTGACATGACTCAATATTTAGAATATAAATTGTTTATCCTTGAATAAACAAATGTCTAATAAAAGAATAACAACAGAACTACAAAAACTCTTTAATGCTAAATATGATGTAGACTTTAAGAATAGTACTAATACTGAATTCGATATAATTATTAATGGACCAGAAGATTCACCATTTTCAGGTGCACAATACAAAGTTCATTTTCTTATACCTGATGACTATCCTTACAGAAGTCCATCCATAGGATTTGTAACACGAATATACCATCCAAATGTCGATGAAACCAGTGGATCAATATGTTTAGATGTTCTTAATCAAGTTTGGTCACCAATGTACGATCTTTTCAATATTGTAGAAATTTTTTTACCACAACTTCTTGCATATCCGAATCCTAGTGATCCACTAAACTGTGAGGCAGGGTCACTTTACTTAAACAATTATGAAAAATATGTCAAGAAAGTGGTTGAATACAAAATACGATATGGAATACCTCTAAAAAAAGAAAATCTTGTTGTAGAAGAAGAAACAAGTATAAGTTCATTGGAAGACCTGGATTTATAAATGAAAATACAGCAATAAAAACATATTAGATATAAATTTTATAAATAAAAAAATCAAATAAAATTAGAAAAAAAATGTATTATCGTGAATATTGTTTATTTACATTAAACTATAATTAATTTTTTTAACATTTAAATAAAATATATCAAACAATAACAATTTATTTGGAATTTGTTTATATTTTGTTTGATAAAACCTTAAATTAACAATTATATTTAAAAATACAATGCATAAATAACAAAAATAAAATATTATTGTGTTTGTGTAGAAACATACAATTAATCTTGTTTAATTTCTATGCCAAATAACTTCCCAATATTATCATTATCCATTTCCTCGTACAATATTTCTTTAGCCTTAAAAAAAGTTAAGGATGTTAAAAGTGCATCACTTCCTGCTTGATGTTGGATACCATATCTTTTTAAACCCATGTCAGAAGAAATTTCTTGAAGTCCTTTTGTACCATATTTAGAATTTTTGATGCAAAATTTTATATCGTAAAATTCAGGGAATAAAGCTTTGAGAAGATCATAAAAATCATCTTCTTTTTCTGGTAATAAATTACAAGTCAATACTTTTATTAAGTATCCAAAGTCATATGCAGAATGAAAAGATATCCATACAACATATTCATTCATAACCATCCCAGAAGTAGTAAGTAATTCACCAAATTCTTCGATTTCTATTCCATTTTTTTCATGCTCTTTAAAATCAATCTTTGCTTGTGCAAGAAGATCTATGGATTCTTGTGCATACATATCAGTGTCTAAAGAAAAATTAAAATTAAATTGCCATGTATTTACAGGAAGTGGCCTATTTCCTTCGGAATCAGATAATGAAATACCTAATTGAATGATTTTAAGAATATCTACATTACATCTTAATTGTTGATAAGCAAAAGATGATTGTGATTTAAAATTCCCTATAGGTTTGGCTACTACACCTGGGAATTCAGTGTCCATGCTTATATAATTGTATTTATTTATAAGTTTTCTAATGTTTTTCATTTCTTCTTCCAGATTACTTTTCCATACATTTAATATTTGTGAATCTGGCATGGGTAAAAATATTCTGCATAAAATTTCAAATTTTTTCAACCCATAAAATGGTAAGTGAAAAATTTCTAATTTTAGACTGGTGGGCCTCGTAAACATTTAAACAGACAAGTTGCACTCGACTCATGGAAGATAGATAAATCTATAGGTACTTATGCTATTAGAACTCATAGTGGTCCTCATAAAAAAGACTTGTGTATTCCTTTGGCATATGTCTTGCAGTATTTTTTAGAATATGCGCATAATAGGAAGGAAATTCAAATTATTTTGAAATCTAAGAATATTATGATTAATGGTAAAGTAATTGAAAAGAGAAAATTTCCTGTTGGAGTTGGAGATGTTATAAGTGTTGTTAAAACAAACTTACACTACAGAGTACTTTTTGGTGTAGATAAGAGTTTTATATTGCACCAGATTGATGAAGAAGAAAGTAAGTATAAACTTGCAAAAGTATTAAATAAAAAGACTATGTACAATAATGTGCCATACATTTTTACTAATGATGGTGCATGTTTTAAATATTGTAATCCTGCTATTGATATTAATAATACAGTTAAGATTTGTTTAAAGACTAGAACTGTTGTAGATTATGTATCTTTTAGAGAAGGAGGCATAGTTTATGTTTACACGGGAGAAAATACTGGAAGAATAGGGATTATTAAGACTATAAAAGATAAATCACTAATCTGTGAAGATTTCGGATCTAAACAGTTTGAGGCTTCTATTAGCTCTCTGATTGCTATTGGTGATAGTGAAGATAGTCTTCTTATTAGTTTGCCTGAAGAAAAGGGAGTGAGACTTACAGCACTCGAGGAAAGTAATCTTAAATTTGGAGAAATAGTTAACACTGAGGTGGAATCTAATTAAATCATTAATTTAACTTTTTTTATAAGCAAGGAATCTTAGAAAAATGTTTTGTGACAATTCAAAAGATATACAAATGATCAATATTTATGTTACAAAAATAGCATCTTTTTAGCATTGCCATTTCTAATATAAAATAAGTCAAAATAAAAGTATATATAAAAAGTTTGACAGTTGAATTTTAAATATCTAATTTATAAAATACCGTATTAGTTACAACACTGTTAAATTTTTTTAACTAATAAACCGTGTTTTTATATTTATGCATGTTTAAAATATTCTATAGAATTTACATTTAAATATTTTTTTAGCATAAAAAGATTAAGATAATGAAAATTAAATGAAGTGTGTAGTAACTAGAAATTGTATATTGATTATTTTTATGACAATCTTAAATTATTCTTAAAGATTAAAATTAAAAACACTTTATTGTTATTTTGTTTATTTGATATAAAGTCCCTATAAAAATGAGCGACAACATAAAAACTTATGTAAGAGTAAAACCAGGAACAGACAATGCTGAATTTATAATAAAAGGCAACAGTGTTAGAATAAATGATAAACTTATGAAATTTGATAAAGTATTTGTAGAATGTTCACAGAAAGAGTTGTTTGATTCTATATCTGAGGATATATTAGTTTGTTCTGTTCAAGGGTACAACTGTACAATATTTGCTTATGGCCAAACAGGTAGTGGTAAAACTTTTACAATCCAGGGTAAAGAAAATAATCCTGGGCTTGTACAAAGATGTCTGTGTTTTCTATATAATTTAAATATGGAAGTAGAACTATCATTTATAGAAATTTACAATGAAAACATGATTGATCTACTAGATGATAAAAAAATTTTAAATATTAGAGAAGATCCTTTTAAAAGTGTTACGATTGATAATTTAACAATAGTTAAACCAAAAGATTATGAATCATCACTTTTATACTACGAAACGGGAATTAAAACTCGAAAAACTAAAAGCACTGATATGAATTTAGAAAGTAGTAGAAGTCATTCTATATTCACTCTATATATTAAAAATAAAACAAATAATATATGTAAAGAATCAAAGTTGTCATTTGTCGATCTGGCAGGATCTGAGCGTCTTAAAAATTTAGAAATAGAAAATGTTAAAATTAAAGAAACAGCGAATATTAATAAATCCTTATTTTGTTTAGGACAAATTATTTACAAACTAAGTGAAGATAAAAATAAACACATTGGATACAGAGACTCAAAATTGACATTTTTACTTAAGGATTCACTTGGTGGAAATTCAAAATTACGTGTTGTAGGAAATGTTTGTTTAGAACAAAAAAGTGATACGATTAATACATTAAACTTTTTATGCAGACTTAAAATGATAAATAATGTTGCATTTATAAATTCTAATATGTCAGAAAATATACCAGATTTACTTAATCAGCTTAAAACGCTCGATCAAGAAAATCAAAAGTTAAAGACTAAAATTGCATTATTTGAAACAGGTAATCGTAAAATTGAAAGGGAAGGAGTTGATGATTTTAATATAAATATTTTAAAGTTGAAAGAAAGCATGAGAGAAGTTTTACAATATTTTTCAGAGCTTGAAGAACTTAAACAAGAAATTTCATTGTGTGAGTATAACCTCAGACAGAATAAAATATTAGAGTGCGATAAAGCTTACAAGGAGCTTATAGATCAAAGAACAGAAGAATATAAAAAAATGTTTAATTATTAAAAATATATTTAATTTACAACAAATTTTATATAGGCATCTCATCTTCAGCGTATAATTTTTCCAGTAAATATTGATTACTTTTTTTATAAATAATTATATGACTTAATCTAGCCATCCTTCGTAACTCATTATTTCTAGACTTTAAAGCCTCTAGATAATACTTTTCGGCAAATCCAATATATCCAAATAAGTGATATGTTACTCCAATATTATACGATAAATTACACAACTCTTCATGATTACACATAGATGTCAATGCCTTTAATCCTTCTATACCTTTTTTTAACATTTCATTTTTTATATCATTCCTTCTACTTTTATAAGTTATAATTAAAATAATATAATAAGTCATTCTGTCTCTAACACTTCCATCAAGAATAATATTATTAATAATTTTATATGACTTTTTAGCAATATTTTGAATAAAAAAGGTGCCTAATAGTAAATTTAAATCTAATGATTCATAAACAGAGGAATACTTTTTTTTAATTCCAGAAATTAAAACATGATTTCTTTTGAATGTCCTTCTAATATTTCTAACAACACTTCCATAGCTGTTTTTAAAAATGTAATCTGGGAAGAAGTTCAGAAGATAAAAATAAAAATTTGCCCAGCTGTAATCCCTAAACACTCTGAATACTTTTTTAAAACAATTAGAAAGAAGATTAAGGTCATTACAAAAAATTGCGTGTTTTATAGTTAAAAAAACAAATTGCAAAAAAATTTCATATTTTTTCTTAAAAATATTACAATCAAGAGATTTTTTTAAGAGATGAGAAGCATCTTTTAAATTACTTTGAGTAATATTATAAATTATAAATTCCAAAAGAATGGCAGACCATTCATCGATATTTAATCCGTGAAGACTTAACAGGCGTGTATTGGCTTCACAAATTTCTTCATTTGGGTCGACATCGTCCTTGTCAAGTTTTACCTTCTTAATTTTTGTAAAAAAAAATCTATTTTCTAAAAAGTCATTTATAAGTGGGCGTACAACATAATTATATTCATGAAAATTTTCTCTAAAAAGTAACCTGGATTTAGAATAAATATTCCTATTTTCATTACATTTTTCAATAGATGACATAAACTTAAATTTATCATCATTTTGAACATCATTAACAAAATTAATCAAAGATGAAATTGTACGAAATTTGTTAGCCAGATCAATATTCCCCATAATTTTATATATTTCGTATAGTTTACTTTTAATTAAATTATTATCTGGATTGATTTTTAGAGTCTCTTGATAATAAAAAAGTGCATTTATAAAATCTTTTTTTGTAAAATAAAAGTCACCATAACTATTGTATACATATTCTTTTAGTGTGTCTATTTTATTTTCCAAGATATTTAAAACTTCAAGATACTTATCATCCATATTTAACTTAAGAAATATTTCTAAAAGTCCTTTTATGTATTCGATTTCAGTAAAATTTTCCCACTGTGATAAATCCCTAATGAATATATCAATATCTGAATATTTTTCATATAAATCTGTAGATGATAGTAAACTATTTATCTCTAAAGTTTTACTACACTCTTCATTATTGTTTTCATAAATATCAAATATCTCATCTTTACAATTAAGATTTTTTAGAACGGATTCTTTAGCCTCAAAAAGTGCTTCTCTAAATTCTATATCATCAATATTATAATCAGTAAAACTTGACTCAATTTTTTCTGGTGGGTCATTGTTTACTAAAACACACATAATATAAATTATTCTAATATCCCTTGGTAAAATAACCTTTCCTAATAAATATTTTTCTATAAGATTTCTAGTTTTAAATAAATATCCTGTGTCATATTGCAATCTAATTATATTTTGTAAAAAGTCTAGTCCACAATTCGCAGGATATTTTTCAAAATATTTTATAAGATACAATGCACATCTTGCAGTCATAAATTTATGCTTAGTTTCATTTCGTATAATATTAAAAATGTTAAAATCTACACCTTTAAAATAAAAAAGCTCTATTTTTGTTTCTAAAATTTTATACTTTGATTTGAGAATTGTATACAGTTGTAATTTTTCTTCAACCAATTCTTTTGTATTTTGTCTACGTTGCAATATCTGAATAAAATAGATTTTATCAGACAACAAGTTTAATGTTGTACTTAACTCGTATAATTTCTCCCATAGCAAATAATTGGTTTTCATAAGCTGTGAAGCAATAAGAAAGAAATTATATGCTTTCATTAAATCTTTCATTTCTTCAAATACCAATCCTATCATAAAATATGCATTTGCATTTTTTGGTGATTTTATTAAAATTTCTTTAAGTACTGATATGCATGAATTATTATCATTTTTTACAAAGAATTTGTTTGCACTGATCATCATTTGTCTAATTTCTCTAATTTTCTCCTTTTTTTCTTTTTTCGTTAATTCAACACCTTTTGTTTCAATACTATCAAATAATAATTCTCTGTCATTTGTAAAAATTTCTCTTTTATTACAATCTTCAAAACTTTGATTTTTTCTTGGATTAGTTGATTCTTTGTCAGTAAAATCTTGTTCTTGATAAGACATCGAAGGGCTGGAACAGTTGAGTTTTTGAAACAGTTTTACAATAGATTGTCAAAGAGACCAAAGTGTTTATAAACAATACGATTTTTAAACTACCTTCATTTTTATGTATAAATTGAATATGCACATGTTGCATAATTTGTCTATTTTGCCGTTTAACTAGCATCTTAATTTTATGCATAAATAAAGAAAAGCATCTTAATTTTATGCATAAATAAAGAAAAATATCTTTATTTTACGTTCATGTTCATCTTGTGGTATAAATTTTATTTATTTTAATTGAAAGTTTGATAATTAATAGTTATTAAAATTTACGTTTTATAAATCTAAGCTAGAAGGTATCAAGAACACCTTAAAAACAACTTCTACAAAAGCTATTCTATCTTTAAATTAAATTAATAAAGCCAAATGTTGTAATTTAAAAATAAAGATTATCAATAAAGCAAGTTGTTTAATACACTTTAAACTTTTCAAATTAAATTTCTGGATATAAATTTGTATTTAATTTATTTATGTATATTAAGATTAATAAATTATAGAAAATTAAGTTTATTGATAGTTGGTTTGTACATATTTAACTTTTTATTATTTGTTGACAAGTTATTATTATTGTTTACATTTACGATAAATATTTCCGTGAGTAAACAATAAATGATAAATTCAGAGAATCAAAATCTATACGAAAAAGCTAAAAGTATTAATTCTATCGTAAAATTAATTGGTGCACCCAATAATTCTACTCCAGGAGAAGAACCTGAAATGGAAGAATTAAATGCCAATGGTACAGAAACTTTTACACTTGAAGAATTTAGAAGCTTAATAATAGATTGCAGAAAAAAGAATGTGGATTTTATTATTGCAAGGGTTACTACTCCCGATCCAGATGATCAATCAACACTTTTCAATTTTTATTATGCAGCAGCAGAACTGAACAGAGTGTTATTTAGATTTGAGACTGAGAGAAGACTTTTACATAGAATGAGAGTAAGAAACCCATTAAACAATAGTTTTATACTTGGACAAGTATACTATTACAAATTAACACTAGAAGAAATTGATAGATGTTTAGTAGAATATTACTTTAAAGATACAAGTGATGACAGAAAGAAAAAAAAGATTAGATCTTTTTCGGCTGTTTTCAGGTCTAAAAATAGTGAATCTATTGAAACAAACGTACACTCTAAAGACACAGATGACAGTATTATAAACAGCAGCTTAACATTAGATTTGGAAAATGAGATATCACATAAAGATTTATTAGATAAGCACCAAAGTAATGTTTCATTACAAGAAATTCCAAGCGATAAAAAAATTGTTTATTACGCTAAATTTTTCGCGACTGATGATGATTTTTTGATGCAAAATGAGGTGCGTGATTATTTCAGACGCAACACGCTCGATGAAGACGACGACTTTTTATTCGAAATTGACAGGGGACAGAATGACTTTTTTGCTCTTCTTGAATCGGGATCAGAAGAAGAAAATGATGAGATTGTCAGTTGGAAAAGAGTTTTAACTGCACATGTAAGCATGTTAATAACATTACTTGGTATATGCCTGTTAATAGGTACAGGACCGATAATAATACTTATTGCTCTTCCTATAGCTTTAATTTTCTTACTTTCATTTATTGCTTCTATTTTTTATATCTTATTTTGTAGAAGAAGTACATTTGATACGTTAGCAGTGCAAAGTATCGAACAAGTGTGATAATAAATATATTAGGAAATTTATTTTTTAAAAAATTACTTAAATATTTTTGTATAATTAATGTATCTAATTTATTGTTTTTTTTAAAAAATTACTTAAATATCTTTCTGTAAATTTATACGTCTAAATTATTGTTTTTTTGTAAAAATTACTTAAATATCTTCCTGTAAATTAATGTATCTAATTTATTATTTTTTTATAAAAAATTATAATTGATAAATTACTTATTCAATTCTGTTTATTTCTCTTTTACACAAAATTTTCATAAATTTGTAAATAAAAACAATAAATTTTATTATTTTACTTTTATACATAAAAACTATATAAATTAAGTGTAATAAATTTTTATTAAAACTACAATGTATTAATTAGTTTACTTTTGAATTCACAATAAATTTTCTATAATCGAGTATATAAGTCAAATTGAACAAAAAATAAATAATCATTAAAATAACACCTAAATCTTTACTCAGCTTCTGACTCTTCATCGCGTAATTGAAATTGGTAACTGCTATACAAATTGCGGCAAAAGATATGCTAATCTTATTCCCATTATATTTTACTAAATAATAACGCTTTGATATTAACTTTTCTATTGGATTAAAACACAAAGATGTCAAAATAATAGAATTATAAATTGAACACACCGCCATAGTAGAATTGTTTTTTCTAGAGTGGTAGTACAAATTTAAAAGTTCAGGTAGTCCGATTAGTAATGGAGTTATTACTGTATTTATGTAATTTATATTTATATTATTACATATTTTAGAATCTATTAGTATTTTAAATCTATCAGTAAAAATAACAGTGTAAAACATTATTGATAATAACCCGTAAATATAATTTACTATCTGAAGATGTTGCTTTTTGGAAGATTTCATTAAAATTACACCGAAAAGTAAAGATAAGAAAAGTGCAATAATTTTTTCTCTAGGTCCTATTAAAGGCTTAAAGTATAAAATAAATACACTAGCATTAATAGCGGGAGATATAAGAGTTTGTACACTAGTATACAAACTCTGCTTGTGTAAATTATCTAAATTGAGAATCAATAAATCATAAATGTGTCTTGTTACATATTCGTTAATTTTTTTAAGAATCCAATATGGCATATTAAGTAAGACAACAGGTTCTGTGCGCCTATATAATTGTCTCAATCGTAAAGTATAAAAAAAATAAAAAGCAAATGTTATTGCAGCGAAATTTCTATGAACTTGTGTATAAGTTTCTTCGTTGATATAAAGGCTTTGAATTAGAAGACCACCTGTTAATGCGAATAAATCTTTTGTAAAACTTTCGAAATGCACAAAAGATTTTGATTGTGTAAAAACAATTATTATTCCTATTCCTAGAGACATGTAAGAAGTAGTAAATCCATTTACAAAAGTATCTTGTCCATACAAATCAGTAAATATTAAAAAATAAATCCTAGGAATGTTTGCAATAATGGAGTAAAATAATGCTTTTCTGTACACATTTGTAATATTACAATAAACAGAAATATGTTCAGTAATTTTAACATAGTATTGTGTTATTAATGTAGAAAACATAACAATATTTACCAATGTATAAAATAAAAGTGTGGCTATGTATTTCTTAAGTGATAACTCTTTAAGGTCAAGTAAATTAATCATGGGGCATAGAAAAAATGAATAATAAACCAAAAATAAAAAATAAACAAACATTAAAAAATTATTTATTTTTTTTACTTTTCTTTTGTTTATTTTTCTTCCTCGCCACCAAGTTTAACTTATTTTCAATAATTTCTCCTTTTTTTGTGGTAATGAATTCTGGTACTTTTTCTGTCGACATGCGTTGGACAGGTTTTACAGAAGAATTTTTTATTCTGCTTTTAATGATAGTATCTCTAAGTCCTTCTATCAAATTTTTCTTGCCATACATTTTGTTAATTTTAAATCTGCCACTTCTAAAATAATCCCTAGGATGTCTTTTATCTATTTCTGCTGTACAATCAATTTCTAAATACTTAAGCGCATTAGTAATTTCTAAAAAAGTAGGTGAAGAGACGCATAAATTTTTATGATATTTCCGTCCTTCTGAAATTTTTTTATTTGCATCAAAGTATACAGGATATAGAACATAGAAATTATTAAAAGTCTCCATAAGGGTAAAAATAAATAAAAATTATTTAATGAGATAAAACTTGAGTAGTATCGAACATGCCGATAAATTTATCATTTTCCGCAATCTCTTCCTCAGTCATTCTAGAACTATATTCTGGGCAATATTTAGCTTCATTAAGAATGGCTTGTACCTCTTCAGATAAGTATAAATCTTTGAAGCTGTCAGTAGTACATAACTTCTTGGGTAATGTAAATTTCTTTAAAAGTTTTGATTCACTATTAAATTTACCAAACATACTTTCTAATTTTTTAAAAGAACTTTCAGTCCATAAAATAAGCCTACCAGCATGACCTCCAGGTGCTAGTTCGTAAATATTCAATTTATTGATATTTAACTGATCCACACCAGGAATATTTCTAAAAGCTTTTAATTCAACAGGACTATCATGAATAAGTAAAAGACCTTTTCTCATTCTATACCTTCTATTTCTCATTTTACCTTTTGTACCACGCAAAGATTTGCTATTTTTAACTTTCTCTACTTCTTCTGCTAAATTAAAATTCTTAATAACTTCAAAGGCATCTTTAGTTTTTACTAATTCTTTAATTTTATCACTGACTACTAGCGGAATATTTTTGACATTTTCAATTCGATGTCCTCTAGCTTCAATAAAAGAAGGCCTGGCTGATGCAGCAATAGACATAGCAATTGCTATTCTTCTAGTATTAAGAGGTATCTTTCTACACCATCTTCTCATAGTGGTAGTAGGATGTGCCATTCTACCCTTCCTACAGAAATTAGCGAAAGCACCCTGTCCAGATCTTCTTGAACCACCTCCACCAATTCTAGGACATCTCGCAATAGCTCTTCCAGTTCCCCAAGAAACAGCAGAATGTTGCATACCAGCATCGGGAGACACAGCATAAGGTTGTCTCAAATTTAATCTCTCAAGAGAATGAACCTGTTCAATAATATCAGATCTAATATCCACTGAAAATACATCTGGCACATCGATAGTAGACTTTATGGTAGTTCCGTCTAATTCATAGCAATTAGTTTTATTTTCCATTTGACCCTTCTTTTGAAAATTTTTTTATAAATTTTCTAAAAATAAATAATTTTTAAGTGCATAAAAACAGTAAGAAGGAATTTTATAATTATTGTAAGAAATAATAGTTTTATGAAACATGAAACAAAAATAAAAATTACAAATAAAAAAAATTTAAAAACAACAAATAATGAATTCAAGAGATACAGTTCAATGTTACACTTATAAAATGGTAGTATTAGGATATTACAGTGTAGGAAAAAGTAGCCTTGTTTTGAAATATGCTAAGAATGAGTTTAATCCAAATGAAGAAAGTACTATTGGTGCATCTTTTATTACTAAGACGATGACAACAAAAGATGCTTGTGTCAAATTTGAAATTTGGGATACTGCAGGCCAGGAAAGATACAATAGTCTTATACCAATGTACTACAGAGGAGCACAGATAGGTCTTATAGTTTATGACATAACAAGCAGAGAAAGCTTTGATGTGGCAAAAAGGTGGGTAGAAGAGCTAAAATTTGAGAAAACAAAAGACTTTTTAAAAGTCTTGGTGGCTAATAAAATCGACCTAAATGAAGATAGAAAGGTCACATTTGAGGAAGGACGTGATTATGCAATACAACAAAATTTATTGTTTGTAGAAGCAAGTGCAAAAGATGGAACCAATGTTAGCAAAATTTTTGAGCTAGTAGCGAACAAAATTCCAAAAGAAGCACCAAAACCAAAGAAAAAAGGACTAAAATTGAGTGATTCTTTTATGAAATATTTTTGCTGTTAGTTGATTAAAAGGTCCAGTTTTCTCTATTTATCCATTTTTTTAATATTTTATATGTTTTTAATTCCTGATATTTTAAAATAAACTCTTTAGTATCTAACAACTCTCCAAAAAGTGGTTCTATTGGTAATTTTTCTATAAAATTAATTAAATAATGTTGGCTTAATTGTTGACCACCTTTTGAAGCAAATATATTTGTTATATGACCACAGCAGTTACATTTATATCCACTTAAATTTTCTATAATACCCAAGATTTTAATATTATTAATTTTACAAAAATCTATAGCTTTTACTGTATCACTTAATGCTACATTCTGTGATGTAGTAACAATTAAGCTATAAATATTTTTATCTATTAAAAAACCATGTTCTTCACTAACGCCGGGAGGTGTATCAATTATTACAAAATCGAAGTCATCTATTGAATCATAAAACAAATTTAATAAACTAAGCTTTTTTGGGCCTCTCCAAATAACAGCATCATCCGGTTTTATCATCGAACCCATTGATAAAACATACAAATTATTTGTAATTTGAATTGGTGTTAGGCCTTTTTTGGCTTTTTTTACTTCTCCCTTTCCATTTAAAGATGAAAAGCAGCTTGGTCCACACAAATCAAAATCAAGTAATAAACATTTGTGTTTTTCGCTAAGTATGGTTGATAGTAGTATAGAAATGCTAGATTTACCAACACCACCCTTTCCACTCATAACAGCAATCTTTTGTGGAATTCTTTCCATGGGATACTAAAATATTTTTTTTTACAATTTGATTGTACATTATGTTCTTGTTGATGCTAGACAGCCTGTTATTTGTTATTAAATTTATTGTTATAAATATTTTATTGTAAAATATGATGTCTTAGATAATTATTTATAAATATGCTGCTATAGAAAAATTATTTGACTATGATGTCATAAACAATTGTTTTTATATTACGCCTTTTTAAATTTTGCATGAAGTTTACCAACCAAAGCCAATCTTTTATTAGCATTGCGTCAGTAAAGTAAAAATAATGTGGACAAAAATTTAAGTAAATCTTAGAGTATAAAAATTTACAAAATATGTTATTATATACTAGTATTACCTTATAAAATTATTTTTAGCATAATGTTAAATAAATAACAAATTTTAAATTGTGTTTTAAAAAAATAAAAATAAAGATCTTTTAAAATTATTTTTTTACAACACTAAAAAAAGACATCAAGTGAAATTTGCTTTCATTTTACTAGCATAAAATAAATGATAATTGTCACTATACTTCAGCAGTGTGAAGAACGAAAAAAATCAGAATTACCATTGATCATTTTTATAAAATATGAATGAAGCATTAAGAAAATAAAAAACATCATAATATTTTTTACAAAAAAAATAATAAGTACTATTTATTAAAGTTAATTTCTAATAATTCTCTTCTAAATTACAAGATCTTAAATCTACATTCTGTATAAAAACAACCTCCTTGTGTTTATTTTTCCTACCTTTTTTATTTCGATATCTACTTTTTTTGATAATTGGAAATAGTTGATCTAAGTTATGATAATCTGGTTCAATTTCTTCATCAAGAATTCTAATCTTTTTTTCTCTTTTCTTTTCAGTTTTAATGTGATTTATAAAAAGTTTATCTATATATTTAACTGTAATGTTTTTGTAACCAGCATTTAGTTTTGTATTTTTCTTTAGTAACGTATCATAATTATCCTTGTTTATTTTTTTAACATTAGATAAATTCTTATTAATTTCTTGAAGAGGGAATACTTCGTTTATGTTGTTTTTTATTCTTTTAACTGGTTCTATATTTTCATTTGTATGTCTAGAATGCTTTTTAGAAATTTTAGAGAATGTAAATTCAACGTTTTTAGGCTGATTATCATTTTTTTTGGATAAAAGATCAATGTTAATAAATTTAGGATTTTTACATGTTTCAGTTATTCTTTTTAAATTAGTATTTCTCAACTTACTAACATTGGAAACATTTTTAGACATAAAAGAAAGATCTTTTTTTTCATCTATTTCTTTGTCAAAAAAATCATACTCAATCATCTGTAAAGGAGACAATTTATAATTTATAGTTGGTTTTTTCCTTTTTCTTGTATTTTCATCAGAAACGTCATTAAAAAATAATTTTTCTTTTTTATTAATACCATCATTAATGCTTCTAACTATATTACAAGAATTATTTTTAATCAAAAAATTTGATTTATAAATATTACTATCAAAATACTTCTTTAGTATACAGTTAGGATCTGAATGTAAAATATCGATTGAATTTGTTTTTGTTAAATTTTTATATTTCGTATCAAACATAAACAAATTAAACATGCAGGATGCTTCAATTTTGCATAAAATTAAACTATTGACAATTAACAATTCTAAACATCTACAAATGTTTTCGGATTTTTTGTTAGAATAAACCAAACATAGAACATTAGTATTACAAACTCTAAATACAGATTGATAAAATAACAATAAGAATAACTTCCTTAAGAAATGCTTTTTTTTAAAAAGAAAGAAATGTACATCTCTAGAAGTGTAAAACTTAAATTCGCATATTCTTTTATATTCTAGCTTATTTTTTAAGGTATAAAAAAAGTACCCTTTTTTTTCTTTACTGAAAATAATAATATCTCTTTTTAGCTTTATCTTATTTAGAAGAGAATACTTTTTGTTTTTTAAATAAATAATAATTTCTCTTTTTGTTGGAGTTCCTGTAAAAATAATATCCATACCCTTAAATTTGTTTATTTTTTAAAATCTAAAACTATTAAACACTATATATTACTTTCATTATTCTTCAAAATTATCATTAAAAAATTTGTATATTTTAAATCCGGTATCTTGTCCAAGATTTCTTTGAAGTGTTATTCTATTACTAGTGACTAATTGTTTTAGATTTTTATAATGTTTAACAACCTTTCTTAGATTGAACTGATTAACACCGGGTATTGAAAGTAATATTTCTTGTAAAATTGGATTGATTTCAACATTCATTTTTACAACGTCATCTTCTAAATTTTTCTTTTGCATTTTTCTGAAAATTTTAGTAGTAAAAAATGTTGAATCAGACCATAAAACCTTAATAGATGGAAAAGTAATTAAAAAGAAGCAGAATTTAGATATTAAAGAATTCCTAAAGGTATCTGCATTATGATTATAAAAATCTGAAAGACAGGGCCGACTACTAAATTCTAACAATAAAATTGCTTTCGTGTAATGATATGTAAGTATCCTAATTTGTGAATACAACCTACCTGCATTCATCGAAGATATAAAGTCACCAATACTCTTTCTTTCTATACATATATTTTCATTTATCAAATAGTCTCCTATTTGCAAAGTGGCAATTATAATGTTATTACCCGCTTTATAAAGAAAAAAAGGTAATTCTGCTCTTAATTCTCTCGAGTCAACAACAATGTCATATGTACAATCATCTTCATCTGAGATTTCGTCTTCTAAAATATTTCTATTTATGTCAGAAAGTATTGGTAAATTACCACGTTTTTGAATTAATTGTTCAAAATAAGATATTTCTTTTCTTAAAGAAAGAAGATTATTTTGTTCTTCAAGAGAATCCCTAAATTGGAATGAATGCACTACAATATTTGCTTTAGTTCCTATGTATTCACATTTTCTAATTGAAGCCAAATCTTTGTCATATAAAAAAAAATTATAACTTTTAGCAACATCTATAAAAATAATATCATTATTAACTTTAAAATCCGACACATCCTCTTCTTCACTATTATTGTCTATGTAAAAAGTATAAAACTCATCAATACTCTTACTTAAATTAAGATTCTTATTCATCTTAATAAATCTACTATTCAGGTCATCGTCAGAAAATAATAGATTTGAATTAACAAACTGCTTTTTTGTCAAGAGTTTAACATTCTTTAATAAATTACTATTGAACAAATTAACAATATTTTCAACATCATTTAGAACAGTCATCGAAGAAAAAACTACAAAACAACTCTCATTCTCAAGTAGTATCAATTCTCTGATTAATCTTCTAAATTTAAGATTAAAAAATGGTTTTTTTAGTTCTTCTAAAAAATCCAAATCTTGTGTATCAAATGTTATATTCTGATTATTTATAACACTATCAAATTCACATTTATGCTCTTCTTGTTTTTTTATTTTTTTATGCTTGAAAAAATATTTAAGATTTTTAAAGACCTCCTTTTGTTCGAAAGAAACAAACTGTTCATTTTCTGCAAAAAATAAATCTATTTTGTCAATTAAAATTTTCGTATAATTACTATTAAGCCATGTACTTTCTTTACCACACTCAATTTGTTTAGATATCAATTTAATGCACTCTGTATAAAATTTAGATAAATTGCAAGAATACAACAAAATTAATAAAAATTTAATATCTAATATATCAAAAACCTGTTTTGATAAATATATATTAGACAATAAAACAAGTTCATAGTCAACATCAAGTTTATAATATTTTATTAGTTCTTTTAAAATTTCTATTAAAATCATTTGCAGTTCAATCATTTCATCAGGCATTTTAAATTCATGCTGCAAAAATTTTATATCATTTTTAAATGATTTTTGAATTTCTTCATGAAATCTAGGATACAAAATAAAATTATTACATCTGAATGTATTGGCGTATTTCTCTAAACTGCCAATCCCACATGCAAATGGTATACAATTTGATGAAAAGGCTTTTATAAGACCGTGTGCATTTTTACGTCTAAAAACATTCAAAATAAAAGCTTCTAAAGAATTTTCACGTATTCTATCAGCATTATTGATTATTATAGCAGAAATAATTTCTATATTTATATTATTCTCTAAAAAATCAGTAAGTAAAATTCTACTACTGCAAACAAATACACCACCTTTCAAATACATTTTTTTTCGAGCTTGTTTATCACAATTTTTCAATATTCTTAAATATTCGTGAGAAAAAGGAAGTGAAAGCTCATCAAAGTTAAGTAAAAACGCAAATGAATATTTATTCAAATACATCAAAATATTAATGTTGATTAGTGTATTTAAATGAATTCCATGCCCACTGACCAAAATAAATGATTCAGATTTTGTATCTTCTAATATTTTTAATTCATAATCTAACATTAAAGGGTACATCGATATTTCATTTTTAACCCACATGAGCTGTAATAAAGAAAACATGCAGAATATAACATTAAATGACAACGAAAAATGGAATTTTTTAGATACAACAGAAATAATTGATTTAAAAGAAACTTTGTTTAGTGGGCAAATTTTTAATTTTCATAAAACCGATTTAGAAGAGTTTACTGGTACAATTTATTTTTTTGTGATATCATTCAAACAAGTTAATCAGAAAGTGCTGTATAAAATTTTGCATACAAAAATTAATAGTGAAGAATTAATATTATTTTTTATAAAAAAATTTTTTAATTTAAATTTAAGTTATAAAGACATTTTAAAAGACATAGATGTAACAGGGCTTAGGTTAATTACTAATTCACTTATCCCGACAATATTTTCATTCATATGTTCTGCCAATAACAATGTTAAACGAATTACTAAAATGGTCAATTATATGTACAGTAAAGGAGAGTTTGCATGTTCTTATAAGAAAATTAATTTCTTTTACTTTCCTGACATTTCTATGCTTTTAGATTGTGAACATGATTTTAAAGAAAATGGATTTGGATATAGAGCTCGATACATATGCAAAACCGCCGATTTGTTAAAAAATGATAAATTGTTTGCAGAAATTAATAAATATGATGTAGATATATTACAATTTAAAAAGGTTAAGAACAATTTAAATATAAATTTAATAAAAAATTTATTAATAAAATTACCAGGTATCGGATTCAAAGTAAGAGATTGTATATGCTTAATGAGTTTGGAATGTTTTGAAATAGTTCCTATAGATACACACATTTTAAAGTACGCCAGACATATATTTAATCTAGAAAATAATGTGCTACTTACTAAAATAAGTTACAATAAAATACAAAGCAAATTTATTGAAAAATTTGGTAAATATGCTGGTATTTATCAGCTATTTATCTTTAAAAAATATTTAGAAAAAAAAATCATTAATTAGTCCTATTTTAATTTAATAGAAATAAACTGTTAAATTTAATTACATTTTTTATATATTTGGTAAAAATTTTCTAGAGACAAATCTAAAACATTACTATTACCATTAACAGTTTTTTTTAAACTTTTAAACCAAACTTGTGGACTTTCAAAGGTTTCGTTTGAAAAGTATATTTTATACTGTAAATCTAAATAAAAAATAGCATAATCCTGAGCAACAAAGTCCGGGAATATCCCGTGTGTATAAAATAGCAACAAGTTTTGCAAAAGTAACTTAGTAACTCTATAATTATAAATTTCTTGATTTTTAATATTTGATAGTATTTTATTTTCATTTATATTATACGTAAAGATGACATTATGTATTTGAACAGATATCAAATCTCTAAGGGTTTTTTCTTTATATTTGTAAATATTAAAAAGAAATTTAAGATATAGATTTGGATCTGTAATTTTATAATCTAAAACTTTTATATAATTATTATGAATATTTATCAAAAATGTATCAAATTCAATTTGCAAATAATTGTTTTTTAATTTCAGTATGCATTCATTACTTTTGTTACCTGAATTATCATGTTGATTGACGTACTTTTGCAAATCGTAAAGTAACAAAAGACTTCGATTTTTTATCAAAACATCAAATTCAGAAAACGATAGGTTGTTAGATTTTTTTTCAAATGTTAAGAAATGATCTTGTATAAAGAATTGTAAATCTCCTGCATATGAATCAAATTTAACAATATTATTTTTTATACTTATAAATTTAAAGGTAATATTATCGAACATAATTTCTTTTTTGTTCCTAAAAAATTTTTTATCTTTAAATGCACATTCAATAATTTTAAAAAAATTATTTTCACTCATAATAAATTCTAAAAATGTTATATAAACCATCGGAGAAGGAAAAAACAATATCGCTTTATCATAGTAATTATTTTTTATAAAAAAACTGATGTCTTGTTCATTTTGTAACGTAAAGTCTCTGTTAACATTTTGTTTTTCTTCAATCGTACAATTATACAATGAATACCATCCATCATCAAGAGAAAAGTGTAAATCTTTATATTTTGAGTTTAAAGCTAGAATAAACTGATCTAAATTAAAAGTGCCGATATTTTCATTCGCTTCAAACTGTAAATTGTCAATTATGACTTTAAAATTCAAATAGCCTCCATCAAAAACTAAATCAATTTTAGATTTTAAGCTTTTAAACTTTTTATGTAACTCAAACAAATCGAAATATTTATTCTCTAATTTAAGATAAGTAGTAAACTTACCAAAAGTAAAATCTTTTATGTGTATATTTGAATCTATAAGTACAAATTTCGGATTAACAAGTTCTCCACACAATGCTATCTTATGCTTGTCATTTAAAATGACAAGATTTTTTTCAACTTTAATGCTATCAAAAAAATCCAAATTTTCTTTTTCTAAATATATTTTAATTAATCTTTCTAAGTAAATGTCTTTAGCAGAATTATCAGGATATTCTGATAATATTTTGCTGGTATATAAATTTTCAAGGCTGGCCTTTACGTTCCAAGAAGGTGAAACAGTTAACTTTAAGTTTTCAAATACAAAAGCTAGTCTATTAGCAATATCCTCATAATAATTAAAACTATCGATGTTTTTAAACACCGATAAATATTGAATTCCTATGTCCATCAAATACAGCAATTCAAAATCAGAAATTTTTTGTTTAAAAAAATCTATTAACTTCTTCCTACATTCTATCTCTTTGGATTTGTGATACGAACTTAACTGTAGTTTAAGCTCATTTAATGAATTCATAATAAATAATCTGATAAAATTTTTGTAACTATTTTGATTAAATTCTTCATCAAATTCAGAAATAGGGAGACGTATCTTAGTCATTTTTAAAAAGGGGAATTAAAGAAAAAAATTTTAAGTTTACAAATAAAAATTTATAACAAACTGTTTACTACTTGTTAATCCTTATAATAATCTTTAGAAATGCTAAAAGGATTGTATTTATATTTTTTAATATGTGCATAAAGGCACTTACAAGTAAAAACAACCATCATGCAAAAATATATAATAAGGACTGGTGTATAAACTGGAATATTGAAAATACTAAAGCACGAAGCAACGAGTCCACCACAAATAACCTTTGTACAAAACATCCAATAATCAAATTCAGGAAGATTTCTTGTAATAGGCTTAAACTGATTATCTATAAGTTCACACTCAAAATTATCTTCGTCTTCTTGGTCATAATTTTCAAATGGATCTGCAATATTATCTCCTTTGGGTGTTAAAAATAAAATTGTACCATGAATTAGATAGATTCCTAAAATATAAGCTACAAGATAAAAAGAATCAGAAATAAAAATTTTGAGAAAAAAAACAAATAAAAGAGTTCCTGTAATTGTCCATCTAACATAAGTTAATGGAGCTAGTTGATCTAAATATATTTGTAAAAGAGAAAGAGAATTCATTTGGATGTTATGGGTAAAAATAAAATAAAAAATATAAAATGAATTTTTTAAAAAAAACTCTCCCACCGGGACTCGAACCCGGGCCACCAGCGTGACAGACTAGCATGCTACCACTGCACCATAGGAGATCATTTTATATCTCACATGTAAAGGTTCTCCTATATTTTTCCTTTTTTATTTGTTTATAAAAATGCCCCCAAAAGGAAGTTATGAAATCACTACATTCCATTTTGAGTTTTGCATTATTTTTAAAGGGTTTTTTAATTTATAATGAAACCTATGATCAACTGAATGAAAACAACAAGTATGTAAATAATTACCGAACTAATAGCTCTTTGTGCTTTCTTACAGATCAGCTGTATAGTGATTTTATATGGAAACATATCCCTCTTAACATGAAAATATCCGCAACTAATTTAACTAGTATTTTTTTATTGTGTATCGATTTTATTTCGGAAGCAAATTTGTATGCAATTAATGCTATATTAAATTCAAAAAGCAATAAAAAAAATAAATTAAATGTTAAAGAAATTTGTAAAGCTGAAAAAAAAATGAATTTATGTGGTTTGAACAGAACAATAAGAAAAAAAAACTTCTTTGAAGGTAAGCAAAAAAATTTTTATGATGTTAAGAATAAAGGAAAAAGGAAAGAAATTGTTTTTTCAAAAATTGATATCTTTAAAAAGGTCGATGAAATTCATTTCTATGTATTTACTAATGATTTTATAAATAATCTTGATCCTATTAAGATTCAGCAGTTTATGAATTACGTAGCAAATTTCAACTTTTTAAAAAAGATCAATAAACGTTGTATCAACTTGTTTTGTCAAAACCAGCTCATAAAAATGTCAATTGCTGAGTATTTTATTTTGGGGATATGGTCATTTTTAAAAGAAGTTGATGAGACAACTTTGGGTAGTGGATTTCAAATAACAACTAACCATGACTGCTATTAAAACAATTTTCCATAAATTTATCTTTCTTATTACTACAATGCAAAAAGCTATGTCTAAGGTTATAAATCAAAATATGTTCTTTCTTGTAGAATGAAAAATATCTTAATTAGTGTATCTTCTATCACTTTTTACAAACATTTGCCGATTTAAAAGACTAAGCATGATAAAGTAATAATTAAATTTTTGTTTTTTGAAAGTACAAAAATGTCACAAAAGTTATTTAATTTGAGCACAAAATATAATTTGGCTACTTTACGAGTTTTATAGCTAATAAATCTATACACTTGCGATTTTAGTATAAAATAGCAACCTAATTTTTTTAAAACTAAAAAAGTAATAACATAGACTGACAAAAATAGTTCAAAAAGTCAAACTTATTCAAGTTTATATCACATGGATCGCCTTTACAAATTTTAAAAAATCTTCTTTTATTATTTAATTTTTACTTTACGCCAGAGTTCAAGAATTATGGTACAACTTTACAACATAAAAATAAAATTTTCGTCAGTATTTGCGCGTCCTCTTTCGTAATTATAGCCACAGCCAATAATAAGTTTATCATTATATGAAGTTATTTTAAGAACCCCATGATTATTTTTAAAAAAAATTTTTGATTTAAGTTTGTCTTCTTCTTTCCATCTACTAACTATACCATCACTTCCTCCAGTATAAAGATAATTATTATAAATAATAGAATTTACAGGATAGCATTTTTTTGTATTATTTAATATTTCAAAATGCGCATTAACAATAATCTCATCATTTGTAAAAATATTAAGAATTTTCAGCTTGCCTTCAATATCCCCAATATATAATTTATCTGCATTTTTGTACAAAGATCTAATAATTTTTTTATTCACCACTTCTTTATAAATCTTTAGAGTTCTTAAATCATAAAAACCTATTTTAAATCCAAAATTAAGAATTAAATCATTATCGCTTAATATAGAATTATATACTTTATTTTCTACATTAAAAAAAGTACATTGACCAGATCTATCAAAAATACAAACCCTCTTTTGAAATCCGCATAGTAAAAATGCATCCTTATATGTCTCTATTGTAGATATTCCTCTAAAATTAAAATTTATTTTATCAAAAGATTTTGTATTTGAATTTTCAAAATTTAAAAAGCCTTCTGTGTCTCCACAAACTAGATTATTTTTCCATAACATTTTTAATATTGGGGAAAAATTTTTAATTTTGTACAATAAAACTTGAGTGTAGAAATCATACACGTAAACAAACCCGTCCCATGAAGATACATAAATTTTGCCATCATTTACTAATATATCGGTTATTGTATCTGTAGGGGTATCTCGAAATTTTATACAAGTCATGCAAGGGATGCATACAAAAAAAATGGAATTTATAAAACCCTGCATGAATAAAAAAATAATTAAAACAATAGAACTTATAAAAAAGTCATACGCGCAACCAATTATTTTTAATACACTAATAAATAATTTGAGTTATCTAATGGATACTTGTAAACCATTATACGAGATAAAAGATGATTGGTCAAAAATTTTGATATACTGTGTAACACCCAATCGTATCCCCAACCAAGGACTTGATTCAAAAATTCTTAATTTATTAAAGAAAATGAGAAATGAAAAACTTGAAGATGAGTCAAATTTAAAATTATTAATTATTTTGTATTATATGAAAAATAGAAATCTTAAATATTTAAATCATTTAATTGTTTTTGAACTAATAAGTAATTACATGGGAATTAATGATTTTTATGATGGATTGATTTTATCAATATTTTGTTCAGCAATTAATGCAAATTTGTATGGTTTTGAACAAAATAAAAAATACAGAGATGATACCATTTGTCATCTTTTGAATACTATAAAAAATTATAATTTGAGTTCTTTAAATATTTATATTGCTCTTCCACTTTTTATACAGTATGATGTTCCATATGCTATTAATGATTTAGATATTCAAAATGACTTTGCAACATTTTGTAAGTTAGAAGCATTATGTTTCTATGCAAAATATTCAAAGGATGAGACTAAATTAAAAGAGTTAATGCCTAAAGACGACATTTTTATAAAAGCTTTTTCTGAGTATATAAATAAGATATTTGTGATTCAACAAGAACATTTTAAATGTAATTTGCGACTGGAAGATAGAAGTATTTTTTATAAAATTGAGGATGCTTATTCCAAGTCTATAGATCGACAAAAGTTTAAAAATGATTTATTAGAATTTATCACTAACCTTTAGATTTAAAAATCGAAATTTAATATATCTTCGCCTAAACTAATTATTTGATCAATATCTGCAGAAATTTCTTGCAAGTGTTTTTCTAATTCCTTTTCATTTTTTAGTGACATAAGGGGCATAAAATAAATTTGCTTTCTGTCTTTAACTCTACATTTCTGCGTTTTAATATTTGTTGTGTTATTTAAAAAAAGATTGCGAATGTTAGTTAATTGTATAAATTTCAACGACTATTCGTAAATGCAGATTTATAAAATTGTATGGAATAAAAAATCTTTAAAAATTCACACTATACGTAGACTAAGGCATTTGTTTGAAAACTTATAAAAATCATTATTAGAATGAGGTTGACGTATAATTTAAAATTTGTTGTTTTAGATAAGAAAATATTCAAAATGAACTTTTTTAATTTATTTCTGTATTTTTATCTTGTAAATTATATCTTTTAAAACACATATAAAGAAGTGTCCCTGAGGATACAAAAAATAAGCTATATAAAGATAAATAATCGATTTTAAAATCTAACCAAATATCAGATATACAAGATGATGAAATATTACAGATCATAGAAATAATACTGCGCTCAAAAGAATCCACTTGCATTGATAAATATATTGACATTTGAGATGATAAAATATTTAAAAGAACTAAAATATAAAATGGCAAAGTTAGTAAAGCAGTTTTGTTGTTGTATGTACTATTTTCTACTACAGCAAAACATAAATTAAAAGGAATATAACATAAATTATATGTAAATAAATAATTCCATATTGATGATATAGAATTTTTAACTCGATGCTCAAAATGTACTGTGGAAAATGCGTTAAAAAGTCCAGAAAATGCCGCTGTAACTATTGCCCATGAAAATTTTTGTGTTTTATCATTTTCAAATTGTATAAATATTCCTAAACTAATTAATGCTTTTCCTAACCACTGCCATTTATTATATTTTGTACTCATTAGATACATTGAGAAAATAGATACAATTAAGATTTTTAAAGAATAGTAATTATTAAATGTAATTGACGATATGTTCATATATATTGACAGAAAATAGAATACTGATGCAAGATTAAATCCACCAGTAATAATCAGTACATCGCGATTGTAATATACTAATTTATTAATTTTAAAATATGCTATTAATAAATTACAAATATTAGCAAAAAAATATATCAACATTCCTGCTTTAATATTCTTAAAATATGTTCGTGCTATGACTAAAATCGTGGTATTAATAAACGTATCAATTATACAATAAAAAATCAGGAAACCATACATAAATTATGGGTTATAAATTATTTAATTTGACCATAAAAATTATGAAGATTTACAAATTAAAAAAGTTTTGTACAAAATAACTAATAGTGTAAGCTGATTTAAAATAAATTGCTTTTGTGTTTTTTTTCATATAACCTGATTTTAAAAGGAGTCACAAAAACATTAATAATAAAACACAAATATGATTTTTTTTTAATTTCTATTTTTACTGCTCATATTTTGTAATAATTGATTTTTTACAGGATGTACAGAAAAAGACTTGAAGACTTATATTATTTTTATTTGAGCAAGATACAAACATTAAATGACGTGAGGAAAATTTATTGTAAAAACTAAGTTTTAACTTGAATTACATAAAAGTAATTTTAATTTTTTTTTGTAATTGCAAATTAATTTAAAATTTTACTCAAAAAAAACAAATGTACTTTTATTAGTTAAATTAACTTAACTTGATTATTTCTTAGCAGACGTAGTGAAAAAAGATAGTCTTTTGCGGTTTTTTAATTAACTATTTTTTAACGTTTATTTGCGTTAATCTAAACGTTAAAGTACAAAACGGATCTATTATGTTGAATACATACATTTTTTTGCCAATTATAAAAAGTTGCATAACAATTTTCATACAAAAAAATTAATATTGCATAATTAAATTATGTCATAATCTTGATTAATTTTTTTACAATTATAATTATTTTAACAAACATCTTATCGATTTTTTATTATTACAATAACAGAGACCATAAATATCGTTTTTTGCCATAATTTTTATTTATATTTACTTTTTTATTTTTTTATATGCTCCATTGCAATTAACAAATGCTAAAACTTGTAAAATATTTTAATGAGTCGCTTTACACTTTTTAAAAATACAACCTTAAAGACAGCATATTGTATCTTACTAACTTTTTTAAAGTTTTGACACCCTTAAAATGCGAGAAATAATTACTCTTCAAATTGGACAATGCGGAAATCAAATGGCAACAGAATTCTGGAAATCAATTCTCAATGAGCATAATCTTGATAGTGATGGTTCGATTCTATCCAACCAAGATTTGAATGACAGAAAAGATATATTTTTTTATGAATCTGATGATAATAAATTTATCCCTAGATCCGTATTGATCGATCTTGAACCTAGAGTTCTTTCTCAACTATCTCCCGTTTTTAATCGGGAAAATATCTTTATGCCTAATGAGGGAGGCGGTGCGGGCAATAACTGGGCACATGGATACTACATCGGTCAAAAACATAAAGATGATGTTATGGAAATTGTTAGAAGAGAGGCAGAAGGATGTGATGCTTTGGAAGGGTTTTTTGTTTGTCATTCTATCGCAGGAGGTACTGGATCTGGCTTTGGATCTATGACTTTAGAACAGCTACGAGATGAATATCCAAAAAATTATACACAAACGTATTCCATCTTTCCTAATAATGAAGAATCTTCAGATGTTGTAGTACAACCTTATAATTCTATATTGACATTACAACGACTTTATGAATTTTCAGATTGTGTTATAGTTATGGATAACACAGCTTTAGGAAAACTTACTTTAGATTCTCTCAAGATTGATACACCAACTTTTAGACATATTAATTCGTTGATTGCCACAGTCATGAGTGCATCTACGAGCACAATGCGCTTTCCAGGCTATACTTTTTCTGATTTTGCTTCTTTACATACATCGTTAGTTCCTTTAAAAAATCTTAAATTTGTTGTGCCATCCTACACGCCGTTTACATTCGAGTCAATTAGTAAAATAGTTCGTAAAACATCTTGTGGTGACGTTATGCGTCGGTTGCTTTTGCAAAAAACAAGACTTGCCACATTTGAAAATTTTAAAACTACATCTGCAATTTCTATATTAAATATTCTTAGCGGAGTTGAAGACGCATCAGATGTACATAAATCAATTATAAAAATAATGGATAGAAATTTAATTCATTTTGTACCGTGGATGCAACCCATTTTTAATGTATGTCTTTCTAAACAAAAAAGCAAGGCATCGCGGGTATCTGGATTATCCTTGTTGAATACAACAGGTATTTCTCATTTATTAAATAAGATTATCGGACAATTTGATAAATTAAGAAAACAAAAAGCTTTTATGGATATTTACAAAAAATATGGTATTGAAGTAGAAAATTTTGATGAATGCAGAAATAATATATTAGGAATAATAGAAGAATATAATTCTGCTGAACACACTTCATACCAAGAGCCAGAGATGTAACGAAGATAAAAAAGATTTAATAAACAAATAGTTTTTACATTTTATTGTTGACCTTTGGCTTGTTTCAATAATAAAATTTAATATAATTTGTTAAAAAATGTATGTTTTAAATTTATAACAATCTACTTCTAAATCTTTTCTCCAATACATTCTAATATTTATAAGTAAAACAAAGTTTTTGTTCATTGTCGCCTTTCATGCCTAGTTATTGTTGCGGATAAAAATTTAAAATAAATGATTCTTAACTTTTAAATCACAACATTAACAATTTTTTCATTTAGCATTGCAACCATGTTTTTTTAATAAAATTTTCAATTAAGATTCAATCATTTTAAGAAGCATATTAACAGAGATTTGCATTTTTAATTTTGTTTAAATCAAAAAAAATGCTTATATGGTATATGAAGCAACACAAACAAATTGTTAACTTATTACACATAATGTTCTTTTAATAACTTTGTTACACTTTAATGCATTAAATTTATTATATTACTTCACGGCAAAAAATAAAAAACAATAAAATACATATTAGATATTTAATTAAATATATCTACTAAGTGACTTAGAAGCATTATTTATAACAGAAGCAACCCCTTTAGGAACTTTCATTCCTTCTGTTGCTTCAAAACTTCTTTTTGGTAACAATTCTAACATTTTTTCACTTTTATTTTCCACGATCATTCCTTGATACACAAAAATATCCATTAAAAGAAATATAACATCGTATTTTTTATGTACTACTTCTTTAGTACAATTTTTTATAACTCGCTTTAATGCATAATTAAATTGTTCAAATGAATTTCCTAAAAATATCTCATTATTGTCAGCATAAGAAATTAGTACAGAAATAAGTTCTTGCTCTTTGTAACAAAATACAAGATAATCTTCATAAAGAAATAGAGAATCTTTTTCTAAAGAACATTTAGTTAATATTTTATTTAGCTTTTCTTCTGAAATGTTAAATACTTTTTTTAACAAAATACTGCCTTTAAAATCTGAAATGACTAAAGCATCAACATCAATAATATTCATAAAAAGGGTAAAAAAATATTTATTTCCACCAGTTAATCGGCCCTAAACCGGAATCTTTAATAGTAGCAATAAGACGCCCGTGCTTCTCGTCATATCTTACAACTTTGTATTTAATAACATCATTGCTTTTTATGTAAAATCTGCTATTTTTATAGTTCCAAACCCAAACAAGACTTTTGTTTTTATTTTCATCATAAACATAAGTTATCTCAGAGTTATCAGGAAGATATTCTATTGGTATATATATTTTGTCATAAAAATGTATAGATACAAAAATTCCATTGTCTTTTTGATCAGAAATAACACCTTCTAATATTTCGTCCTTTAAAAATCTACAAAAAAAAATATTAAACTGTATTTTATACAAAATGAAATCTTCTACACATTTTCTTTCTATCACATCAAAATTTTTACTTATAAAAATACCAATTCCCATCTTGCTGATATATTTATTTCTATATTTCTGATTCAAAATATTGTAAATAGCCAATTTGACATCTTCTGTTGATGGATAAATTTTAATACAATCTTCTATTTCTGACTCTACAAACATAAGGAATAAAATTCAGTTTATTTAAACAGCAAAAAAATTATAATTTTTGATTAATAGTAATTCTACGAGAATAAATTATCTTTTAAAGAACTTTGTTTGAATTTAACAACAAACCCTATGCAAAAAAAATATAAAAAAAAATTAATGCATAAATTTAATAATATCTCCTACCCATAAATGGCCTCTATTAAAGGACCAAAAAGTGCGTTGTCTGATTTTATAGAAGAACATGGAATTAAAATTAATTATTTAGATAAGAGAAATTCAGAAGATGTTATGCCGACAATAGATAGAAAAAGAAAATTAGTTAAAAAAACAAATAAAAAGATAAAGCCATTTGAATTTAGTAGTAAAGATTTACATAACGTTTCACTCCAAAATATTTTGATATCACGTATACTAAAAAACATTAACTCCTTTACTCTTAATGACTCGCATCTGGAAATGATTTCGTCATATCTTAGTAAACATAGAATGTTTAATGTTTTTTACTTTAATAGCTTAGTTAATCTTTGTAAGAACAAACTTATTATATATGACTGCTCAAATATTAAAGATGAAGAATTTATAATATCTAATCACAATCTAACTTGTTTAGAATTATATCAATGCGGACAGCTTACAAATAGTACATTAAATGATATATTGAAACAACAAAATAATTTAAAAGAGCTTCGTATCACCGGTGGATATTTGATTACTGAAATTTTGTTACCATCTAAACTTTATATTTTAGATTTAAGCAATTGCAACAGACTGTCTAATTCTATTATTGTTGAAATTAATAAGAAGTATAAAAAACTTGATGAATTAAAATTGTCATATTGTTATAAAATTACTGATGACGTAAAATTGAAAACATCTGTCAAAAGACTGTTTGTAGAAGAAACCAGGATATCTGAAAATTTTTATTTAAAAAAAGAAATTCAATCATTATCTTTTAAAAACTGTTGTCTTATAAATAGTTTAGATAAAAATTATAACAATTTAGAATATTTAAATTTGGCAAACATTACCACTATTAATAACATTAAGATTGGAAATAAATTGAAAAGCCTTGATATTAGTAAGTGTTATAGTCTTAAAAAATGGTTTTTTGAGAACATATATAAATTAATTAATTTGGAGTATTTAAATATTTCTTATTTAGATTTTGATTCATATGACTTTTTGCATAAGCTAAATAGTATTAAAGAATTGGATATTTCCTGGTGTTCTAATATTACAGATGAAATTGTTATTTCATTAATGGAAAAGACAAAAATAGAAAAAATATATGTATTTGGTTGTTTTAATTTAACAGATATTACTGCTAAATTTTCTTATAAATACAAAGATACAGTTACAATTGTAGGAAATCATGCTGAAACAAGATATTTGATACAAAACTCCTAATTTTTAAGATTTTTAAAAACTATTGCTGCTGTTTTTGCTGAAAGCTCACTGATTTTATAGTTTTCAAATTTTTTTCACTAAATTCTTTTGGTAAAGTAACTTTTTTTTGTATGTATAATATATAGAAAGCTAGATATGAATCTAAAACTGTCATCTTATAAACAACTTTTCGAGCTTCTAAAAAGCAACTTAAATTACATAAATAAATAAATATATTCTCAAAGTTTTCTTTTGGTAACAGAAAGCAATTAACCACACTTTCTAAAAAATTAAAGAACGATAAATATTTGCTTAAATCAGATGTAACAAATTTTTCTTGGGTAAATCGCTTAAGAAAATAAGTGTAAATCTCAGAAGCAAAAAATCTTTTTTGATAAAATGCTCCACTTTTTTCTATAGAAATTTTTAAAAGATTTATAACCGCTTCAATTTCAAATTCGTCGGGTATGATTGATATCTCGTCCCATAACTTAACAAGCATGGGAAGAAAGAATTTATTTTCTTTTTGAATAATAATTTTGCCTGGATTGTTTTGTTTACTATTTTTTATTAAATAAGAAAATATTTTACTTATGACTCCATATTTTATTTTCCTTATACGACTAGAATCCAAATCAAAATATAAAATTTTATCAAATATATAGAATAAATCTTCGTTGGTTAAGTTCTCTTCGACTTTAAAAAGCTTAAAAATATTGTATGCTACTGTTTCGTCTCGAATTTTATCAAGAAACTTTAAACACAAATCATTAATTAATTTTAAATCTGCATTCTTATCAATTTCATTTAATTTATGGCATGAAATTATTATATCGTTAACGTGATTATCAAAATTGACATCTTTTTTTAGGGATTCTATACAGTTTTCAAACAAAATTGATTTTTTAGTCTTTTTATATACTTTTTCTAGTTCTAAAAATAAATGTTCAGAAATCTCATTTCTAAACTTTATAGCAAGTTCTTTTATATTATATTTAATCTCTATTTCATTTCGAATTTCAATTTTTTCCAGATATAATTTTAAAATTTCATACTCCATTATTGGTTTTTTAATTCGTCTAATAAATATTTTTAACTCTTTTATTTTATTAGACTTAGAAATTATAGATAATGAATGTTCGTTTATAGGCATTAATTCTAGTATAGGAGAACAAACAGTGTAATTCATTTGTATTAATTCAATAACATACTCAACATTATATTTACTATAATATAAATTTTTCATGGTTTCCCAAAAATCAACTGTAACATCCAATATTTTTTTCGTAGCCATTTTATTTATTACCATAAATAATGTCTCTCTTTCATTTACAGTCAAAAAATTAACTTTTTTTAATTTAAAGACAATTTGTTTTTGCAACAAAATATATTCTTCGGTATCTAATGTACAATCTCCTAATACTAAATTTTGTAAAAAAAACATCAATTTACTATCGTCAAATAAATCTTTACATAACCAACTTGTAGCCTTTAGATCGCTTCTATCTACATTAATTAGTGCTTTGTACAATATATCTTTTCCTACATCAGAAATATGCAATTTACATACAAGCAAATAATTAATAATAGACAAAGTTTTTTTTACATTAGAGGATAAAAGCAAAGATAAATTATAAGACATAATTCCAGGAAGAAATTTCTGTAAAATTTCTTTGTCTAATGAATAAATTATTATTAAATGTTCATCGTAAGTCAGCTCTGTTTGTGACAAACGTAATATAAAAGCAATAGTCTCACTTGTCAAATCTTTAAAACACAAAAATTTTTTTTTCGCTAGCTTAGTATTTATATTTTGTACATAATCTAAGGAGTTATATTTATAGATTTCATTTAAAAACTTTTCTTTTTCCTCGTTATAGCTTTTACAAAGCATTTCTAAAATTTTGTCTAATAAATTATCTTTTTTCTCTTTATTTTTTATGCAATCACAAATAAGATTCAAAATTTTATATTTTAGCATGAAGGGAAAAAAATAAAAGTAGAGTAAATACGAAATTTTTATTATTGATTAAAAAACTATTTTAAAGCTACCAAATAATATTTATTAGATCAATTATACAGTTTGCAATTTCTATTATAGTTAAACTTTACTATTGCTGGCAAGTTTAATTCTTTTATTTTCTTTATTGTATCATAATTCGATTATCTTTAGTAAAGCTGATATTAAAAGTATGTTATTAGAAAATTTAAATTATAAAATATTACTACACAGATTTATGACCGTCAAATAAATTTTACAAGAAACCAATTCCTATTTAATGCGTCATAAAATCCAAGAATCTAATATTTTAAGTGCATTATTAAGAAGATTGGGATTTTTAATTAAATCTTCTAATTTTATCATAGAATTTTGAACAAAATCATTCAAATTACCTGGATCTATAGGTAGGGATAGCATTTGACTAGCAGGATGTATGCAAAATGGCATTTTTATAAGATGTATTAGTGATTTCGTAACTTCGCTATCAATTTTTAGGAACATCTTGTCATACAATATCTGTAAAAATTTTTTATCTTTAACAAATTTTTGTGAAGTTAAATTGCTTTTTTCTACAAACCCTTGATCTATTAAGTAAGGTATGTATCGCATTAAGATTTCTGTGTATTTATCACTGTACATACAACTTGCACATACTTTTTCAATATAACTTACTATATGTCCCCTTATTTCTTCAGAAAATTTAGATGCATAAGAATCAGTCACCCAACAATGGACGCCTCGTCTACCTGAAAATACAAAGCACAATTTTTTAAAACCAAGTTCTTCTTTTAAAATATACTCTAAAAGTTCTACTGATACTTTTATTAACGATATACACCTTTCACAGATATTTTTATCAATACAACACGTTCTATTATAATCTGTCAAGTCAACATCAAAAACAAGCTCTTTTTCAACAGCTTTTTTTATTTTATTTTTTTCTGGTTTTACATCGTACACAGCCCCTATATCAATCTTTTCAAATGTTAAATCATTAAGTCTTTTTCTAAAAGATTCATAATCACTGAATGTTTGATATCTTGTGAATATACCATTCTCTAATGTAAAAGAAAGCTCTCTAGTAGAATTTATTTTTAGCCATTTAAATATTTTTTTAGATGGAAAAAACCGTTCATAATATAATTTTGAATAATAAGAATTCATGGGCTTAAAATAAGAATTTATTTATTTTTTAAAAATACATAAATCTTGTTTAACACACTGTAAATCTTCTTGTGAAATTGGCTCTCCATCATCAATTGTCATAATAGAGCTTGTAATATCTGTAATTTTTTTTACTACAGAAGGTTTCTTTATTAATTGCGTACAACAGAATAATATCTTCTTTGTTAGATTTGTATTCCAGGCACCGACTATATTAATTTTAGATAAAACATAAAGAAATTTCTTTCCTAATTTTGTATCGGCATAAATAGTATATAGATTTACACATATCTTATAGAATAAAATTTGTGTGCCATTTTGCTTTTTAGAATTTTCTATTAAATACAATACACGATCGATAAAATATTTTTCTGATTTATCTAGATTTTCTAATACTGGACAAAATGCATCTATTAAGTAAGAAGAATCTTCTAAAAAATATTCATGAAAGAAAACGTTTAGATATTGTTGTATATGATCATCTTCTTCTGTGAAATAAAATGATAGTGCAAATATAACATACTTTAAAATTAAAGACTCATCCAATATTTGCTGAGATAAAATCAATTTAGAACCTGGAATAAATACAGAAGCATCATTCGTATTTATTTTTTCAAAAAAAATCTCTTGTGCAAAAAGACGATACTTATCACATTTAAGTTTAAGGGATAGATCTACAGACATTTCAAAAAAAAATTTACATTTTTTTCTGTAACTTTTAAATAATTCAAAAATATCATCATTAGATTCAATTAATTGATAAAAAAATAGTAATTCCGCTATCAATTGATCTTTTTCTAGATTTTGTTCTTGGTAAGGTAAAACTATTTCGTTCATTATTGCCTCGTGGATTTTATTTACAACAACAGAATATTTAAAAATATATTTACTAATTTTTAGTGCAAAAATAGGAAAAGTATCTATATGTTTATGAATCAAAGCACCAAACATTTTGTCTCCACTTTGTGGATCAATTTTATACACAATTTTTATTGCTTCTTCTAAAATGTCATCTTCGGCACCATTTTTTATTGATTTATAAATTGTACTATTAATTATTTTTCTAGATTCATCGTCAAAAAAATCATAAAAATTTAATATCTTGAACATAATCTTACATTTTTCTTTTTTTTCGACATCTTCTTGTGCATTTTTAATAAAGTTATATAAAATTTCTACATATTTTGAAAGTTCCAATAAATTTAGTTCATCCTTACTTTTCGTATCTTCAATATGTGACAGATAGAAAAAGTAAAATAATAAATTACTTAATGAAGAATCTTCAAAAACTTTAATTGGATCTAAATTAAAATCTAAAAAATTTAAAAGTTGTTTTATAAGCTTTTCTAATAGTTTAAAAGTACTTGGACTATATAAGTCGTCTATCAAAGCGGTAAATTCGGTGGGTAAATCATAATAAAGTAAACAACAATTCACAAAAATTTCTGTACTATTGATTTCCCGTTCCGTAAAAGCTTTTTTTAATAAATACATTTTTTTATCAGATCTTATTTCTCTAATGTTTATTTTTTCTAACATTTTTTTATAAAAAATATTTCTAATACCTAAATTTGTATCAGAACATCTTTCAATTATGCAGTTATGCGTAAAGAGATTTATTTCAAGATTTTCAAATGCTATTTTTCTACATTCATTACTTGGATCATACCTTATAATATTTTTAAATAGACTAATTATTTTCGTACTTTCATTTAAATCAAAATTTTGATATCTACACAAAAAAAGTATTGTTTCCTTTCTTACACTTTTTTCTTTATCAAATAATCTTTCAGAAATTTTTATTAAAATTTCAGTACTTATTTTTTCATTTATAAAATTAAAGCCTGATAAAATATTTAAAAGAAAGATAATATTTTTCCTAACTCTAGTAGTCTTAGAATTTACCAGTGATATAAGATGGTCAAACAGCTTTAAAACAGACAATTTACCTTCTTCTTCAAGAACAATTTCATCGAATAGTCTTTTTAAAAAAAGCACTATTTTTGTAGGAATTTTCGACTTTTTGCACAATAAAATAGGGTAAATCACTGAAAGAAGAACATCTAGTGAATAGTTCTGACTTAGGAGAGATATACAAGTTCTGAGATTTTCTATAAATTTTTTGTTATCACAAATTTGTATTTCATTAAATAAAATTTGTAATTTTTGTATCTGCTTTTCTTTACCTTCTAAAATATTCATTAAGGGCAAGAAAATGTTAATTTTAACTTATTATTGAGGGTAAGAAATGAACAACATAAAAAATACCAACAATAAAATTAGAGCTAAAATAGTAGAAGATCTCTCTAATAATATTTCTGAGATAAAGGAAGCTATTTTATCTATAGACAATGAAATAACACAGAGTGAAGAAATAATTACTAGTTCAATAAACTTGCTTTATAGAAATTGTAATTCCAAATAAATACATTAAACGAAAGTTAAAATAAATACAATTTAAACTTTTTCGGGTTGTTATTTAGTTTTACAATAAGTTAATATGTATTAATTTTTTTTAATATTTAATTTGTTTGTTTTATAGCAACAAATTGTTTTTAACATATTAAAATCTAGTATGATAAATGGCAACCATTTAGTGTAATAAACTGCTATCATTAGACCAGAAAATTTATATAATACTATTAACAACCATGTTTTGTGTCTTCACATAAGTGCTCTTTTAAAATATAAAAAATATCAATTTTTTTTAATGTGATTTATGCAATTTTAAATTTTTCAATTTTTACCCCCCAAAATGGATTTTGCTAAACGAAACTACACTGTACCACCATTTAAGGAATATAAATTATCAGCCTGTTTAACACCTTCAGATAAGAATCCCCAGCCACAGATTTACGAGTCTAATATCTTTGCTCAGAATCATGTACTTGCAAGGTCAAAATTTTTTAAATTATTAAATGACAAGTACAAACTTAAGCCGAGTAAATTAGTTTTACTTGATGCTAAAGAGGTTAAAGAAGAGGTTACTGGAGAAGTAAAAAATTATGGTATTAGTTTCGTTTTTAGGTGCAAAAAAGGACTGCAGAATTCATATAGAGAATTTAGAGCAATTTCACGTGTTAGTGCTCTTGATTTTTTATTTAGAGAGGCAGCTATTCGAATTAGATGCAAAAGAAATGATATTTTTGTTATTGAAATTAAAGAACTAGCGGATGATGAAATTAAAACTGGTAAAGTAGCAGAGTTTAATCAGAAAGATCTTAAGTTTCCTGTCTTTAGAAAATATTCCAATACTAAAGACTTATACGTACCAGTTGATACTAATTTAAGTGATTAAATTTATTTATTTTTGGCACTTTATACAAATATTCAGTGTATTTTATATTTTTACCAGGAATTACAACCAATCCTAAATATTGGCGAGGTGATTGTAAAGGAGTTTTTGTATCTTTAAATTCTTCACAGTCATCAATCATAGCATTACATTCATTATCTACCATTATAAGTGTTCCTTCTAGAAACGTTTTATCCTTTGTAAATATTTTAACTCTATAGTTTAAAAATTGCTTATCCATAAATTTAGGGCAGAAATTCTATTCACATGTGTAGTAATAATTTAATTATATATTTTTTTTAAAAAACGGCGTACTACTAACTTATTACTTATTAGACAATGTACAGATTTAGGTAAACATTGATCTTTACTTCAAATTATTATTAAATTCAAATAAAACAGTAAAGTCTAAATTACACAAACATTTAACTTATATGCTTTTATCAACATTGTAATTTTTTATTAAACGTAATTTTAAAGATACAAAAAATCTGTAATTTTTTTGATCTTAATTTTCTTAAAAATTTTTAAAAATTTCCCCTATGGAAAGGGAAAGAGGAAGATTTACTTCACTTAGATTTGTATATCTATTTACATCAATACTTTTTTATTTTTTTAATAAACAACCCCAAACAGTTACATCTGTCAAAAAGACAAATAAAAAGCATAATGTTGTTATTCCATATTCTATTGCTGATATCCAGGATAATTCTTTCATTTTTGTAAATGTATCGGAAAGTCTATCAGAACATCTTTTTAAAAAATGCATTTTATGCAGAAATATTGCTTACATTAGGATATTGAATTTAAAGCAGGCAGAAATATTTACTCAGCTTAATCTTACAAATCTTGAAGGTATATTCTTTTTTAAAAATAGAAATGAAATTTACGATTTAAAAAATAGAAAATGGATTGCAAAAAAATATAATGATGAAAAAATTATGTGCTGGGATATTTATTTTTTAAGTGAGATTTTGAGATTTAAAGCTTTTTTTGTCGATCGCAATATGAAAGGCATTGAGTTAAGTATTTTAAGTTTACTGATTAAAATTGTTTTACAACGGATGGTGTTTTGAGATAAAAAAGGCATAAATTTATACTATATTAAAATTTTGATAAATAAAACTACAGTCAAAATAACTATTTTTTTATTTAAACACGTATTATTTTACGAATAACAAAACAATTTGCTTTTCTAAATTTTATATTATATTAGTGCTTAACATAAATTAGGGTTTAATAAAATAATAGAATATAACATCCCCCCTCCAGACGGTTAGTCTCATTCACCATAATTTAAGACACCAATCCCTTTTAGATCGTAATGTCTCTTTTTAACAAATCTTCCATTCTCTAACCTCACAATGTACGAA